AATCAATCCGGCCTCCTAAGCTGGTAGTACTTCCTCACGCTTCTCGGCCGACCAGAAGAAGGGATGCACCAAGATGTCCTTGGTCTTGGGCCTCTCCTTGGGATTCGCGCTGATCATCTTCTCGATCAAGTGGGTGGCCTCGCGCTGGTACTCGCCTAGCACCTCGAGCCTATCGAGGCTGTACGTGCCCTTGCGGATATTGACCTCCCGCATGAAGGAGCCGCCGCAGTCGAATGGGTGTGAGCCCTGCGTGAGGACGTAGAAAAAGACGATACCGAGTGAGAAGATGTCGATGGATCGGGTCACGCGGCGTCGGTTCTCACCCTGCTGCTGGCTGCTGCTTGCAGTGCCGCTGTGCGTGGAGCTCGCGTCTACAAGCATCGGGCCGGTTGAGGCGTCATCATCGTGTAGGAGCTCTGGAGCTCGCCAGCCGGCAGTACCAGCGTTGTGGGCCGTAGTGGCACCAAGAGACGACTGGCCATTCTCGAGCTTCTTGCAAAGCCCGAAGTCGGACACCAGGATGAGAGGCTCGCCGTCCATATCAGTAGTGATGAGAATGTTTTGTGGTTTCAGGTCACGATGGACTGGGTCATGTTAGTAAATGAGACGGTTCAGAAGAGACTTCTTTCACGACGTTGATGCCTGTAGAGAGGCATCAGGTGAAATATTTCACTGACCGATTTGCAAAGAATGAAGGTGATCCAGCCCTTTTGTGACCTGCTTCAGGACTCCAAGCGGGTTCTTGGACCCAAGCTCAGCCAATGTGCGGAAGTGCGACGGCTTCTCGACAACGTCTGCCAGCGAAGCCTCACACAGCTGCAGGGCGATGTAGATGAAGTCGCCGCGCTCCAGCTGTGCATAGTAGCGAATGACGTTAGGGTGCAGATCGACCTCGCGCAGCAGCCGTGTCTCGCGCGTTGCGATGTCATAGAAGGACCGCAGCATCCGCTTGACTGCCACTGGCCGGTCTTGCCACTTGCCGGCGAAGACGATGGTACCGTTGCTTCCCGTGCCCAGCTGCTGCTCTTGGATGACCTCAAGACTGTCGTCGATCTTCAGGATCGGGACGGACACGTTTCCGACGTCGTCAGGTACCGTCTGGATATCGGGCTCGGGGCCTCGGGCCGTCTCGCCCAGCTTCTTAGCCATGTTGACTGCCTCCTCCACGTCGTTGAGGGCCTCATCATCAGCCGAACCGTTGTCCCCCTTCTTATTCTTGCGGTGTTGTTTCCCACCACGCCGGCCTCGGTGAGCCTTCTTCTTCTTCACCTCAGGAGGGGGCTGCGCTGTGTCCGCCGGTACGTCACCCTGTATCTGAATGGGCGCATTGATCTCGATGAGGGCCCTTGGAGTGGCTGGGTCCGGTGGCGTTTCATGCCCGAGATTGAGCACCTCCCTTGCTGGTGCGACCTGTTCGGGTGCAAGCCTCTCGATCCCTTGATCACTATCCGCCAGTTGAGTCTCTGGTGTCTCGTCCGAAGAGTCCTCGTCCAGGTCAACATTGAAGCCTTGCTGCTTGAGAACACCCTTCGTCCACCGGACAGATTGCTTCGGGACTCCCTTGACACGGCGGATAATCTCATGGCGATACACAAATAGAGCCGTCATGAAAAGGAGTGCGACAAAGGGGTTGGTGAAAGCTTCGATGGCACTATTGGCTGCTTCCTGAGGGAGCTTCTTGACCCTTTCGATGACAGTGCTGCTAGGGTTCGGAGCATCAGTTGCAAGAGTGGGGACATCCGGGTGATCCTGCCGAGGACCATCCAGCTGGGGCACGTCTGACCCTGCCGAGTTTGAGGCCCCTGGTAGGAGTGGGATCCGGGGTCTGGTCCAGGGCTTGCCAAGAAAATGCTGGCCCACCAAAACTTCGGAAAGCCGGGATGGGGCGAGCTTCTCCTCTTCCTGGAACCAGTCGAGCTCAGTGATGAGGGCAACTGGGGCCTTGGTGAAGAGGGTACGCCCGAGCGGACATGGCATACCAGTTGCCGGCAATCTGGTCGAGGAAAATAGCACCGCTCCGCACCAGAGCCTCGTGCTCGTCTTTGGCCGGGAGCGCAGGCTGTGGTAGCGCAATGAGCTCAGTGTTCTTGTCGTCCTCCTCGTACGGATTGTAGCTGCGAGCCGGACGAACGACGTCGAAGGCCCTGGCGATTGGGGTAGGGAAATGCTCGACAAACGACTGACGGCGCTCGGCGTCCCGGTCAAAGTCGAATCCATAGACCCGGCCGTCATGGCGGCTAGTGATGTATAGCTTGTCCATTGTGGTGGAGTATTGCCGCATTAGGTCCTCGTCCTTGATGTTGGGGCTCCACTCGGAGTACTTGAGCGTGGCGACGGGGTACCCGCGTGGATTGGAGATGCCAACCGTGTACTCGGTCCGCCCTAGGGTGATGGTACCGCCGTGGCACTCCTCAGAGTCCATGCTGGCAACGGGGTCTAGAGGCCGGGGGCAGCTGTCGTAGTCCTCGGCAGTGGATGCCGTCGGCCCAAACCACCGAATGGCACGGCCAGTGGCAGCGTCCAGGGCCAGGATGTTGGTCTCCTTCTTGCCCGTGTAGACAAGGCCGTACTCCTTGTTCTCGTATGGCGACATTTTCTCCACGAGATCCTTCATTGTCAAGCCGGTGGACATGACGCCCTCGGTCTTGCCCGGGGCGTACATGTAGATCTCGCCGTCGCCGGTGGGCTCGATGGCCCAGACGCTCTGGTCCCAGATGGTATTGGAGTCGCCATCGGCAGGTGACTTGACCTGGCGGTGATGTTTTGTCTCGACCATGGACTGGCCGAGCGAGATGTGCCAGCGCTCCTTGCCTGTTCTCCGGTCGCTGGCGTAAAGGTCTCCATCGATGGTCGCCAAAAGAACAAAATCTTCCACTTCCCAATCATCAATCGACCTGTCGGGGGTCAACGGTGAAGGGGCTCGGACGGACCGCCCCTCGGGGATGTCCGGAGCCGCAGCGGAGATAGCGCTCGCATCGTAGGTTTGAAGGTTTTGTTGTTGTCTGTATTGGGGTGGGTGTTCTTCCTTGACGGATTGTGTGTTGGTCCTCTTCCTGCGCGAGGAAGCATGCGGGGTGTCGAGGTCGTGTTGTGTCAGCGCAGTCGCAGCAAGATTGCGGATGACACTGTCTCCCTCGAGGGGAGACTCGTGGCGGGGCTGGGCCCTGGGCCTGGCGGGTTTGCCATGTTGCTCGGGTTGGTGATGATGATGGTGAGGATCGGCAGCCCGGGACGCAGCTAGCGACGGCGAGGCAAGAGCCGGGGGTTGTGGCTGGTGGTCGACGGAGCGGTAATCGACAGCCTCGACGAGAGGGAGCACGGGCAGCAGCAGAGCAGCGAGGACCCAGTAGAACTTCCTGTTGTTTGGTTGCTGGACGACATGCCGTCCCTCGCCAGGAGGCCGTCGCAGCATCATTTGTTTATCTAGCCGTCTAGTAGGGCTGTGGGATAACCGTCATTGGCGATTATCCCAGAGTGGTATGTCGGTGGGTTGAGAGGGCGACCTTGAGGATGCTACCTAAGCAGCTGTCGGCGGGAGGAGTCGGGTTTAGTGGGCCGTCTATCCCAGGGGTCAAGAGTCGGCCGTTGTTGTTGGCTGGCGGTCAAGCTGTCGAATGCAACTGGAGCTCGAGTCAAAGGAGGCGGGCTGGCTGGCCTGTCAACCCATCAAGAGGCAGCAAGCAGGACGAGGATGTGAGGAGGAGAGGAGAGGAGAGTCGAGCTTGAGGAGTTTTTGCCGAGTGTGATACTCCTGCTAGTCTAGTCCAGTGCAGGCTAGGTCGGGGTCAGGCCAGGTCAGATCTGGGTTCTGTTCTGCTGGGTTTCTCGCTTTGGTGGTGGTTCGGCCGAGTCGTGCACACGGCAGGACGGGCCTCAGCCTGATCAAAGCAAGACCACGCACAGACTGGCGGAAGGCGTCAAAACTCGACGAAGTAAGCGAAAATCCTGGATGACGGAGGGCGGAGGGGCAAAGCAGGCGATGGTTGCCGATGAGGTGAGGACACTCGCTTCGCTGGCGAGGAGTCGAGCGATGGATGGTGGGAAAGGGGTCGAGGTCGGTCGAGGTGGTGCGTGGGCCCCGGGGGAGTGCTGGGGGACTAGCAGCAGCTGCAACTACTAGATGGTTCGACATGAACCAGCGGTGGCTGTGAGTTTTCCCCAGCGGCAGTACGTACGACGGTACAAGTAACCACACGAGCACGCCAGTTGTGGAGGCAGGGGTCGGATGTGCGGGAAGGGGTACGTTTCTACTGGGCAGGGTTGCCGTCTTAGACAGGCCACACAGGGAGGAATGGCTGGAATGAGGCCCGTGCTTTCTTGGGGAGGGGAGCTCGAGTGGAGGGGGACGAATGTCACTGGATGTAGCTGCACACATCGGCCACACAAACATGGACTGACGGTCAAGGGAGGAGGGATGAGTTTTGAGATGATGGGGTATGGGATCTTGACTCCCAAGGGAGTGAGTGACTGAGTGGCCTGCTTTTCCATCAGTCGGAATAATTGGATGCAGCCTTCAACACCCCACCCCCTTCTCGGTGCGAGTGAGTTACAGCAATATGCTACACAATATACCACTCAGCCTAAAATGCTGGCAGAAACAGAGCTGACGAAACCCAAGACATGCTCATCTGGCGAGCCTGACAGTCCACAGTCTGACCCACATTTTGTGACCTCACAACCGACTGGAGGGACAATCATTTGCGGACAACATCTGTCCATCAACATATGCGGCAAATACATAGCCGAGCCAGCACATGGAGAGAAACAGCCAGAAGATGTCAGACCGCATCGTGAGACGGCCCCAGCCCAAGAGCCCAGTGTTTCACCCGGGGGCCATTCCTTCTAGGCGTGGCCAGAAATATCCATACATATAATTATATCTGCAATCCCTCTCGCAAGCCTTATCCATCTTCCGTCCGCAGCGAGGCCATGAGTCGCAGTGCATGAACGCTAACCTGTCCCAATGCCGTGCATTAGACACAAGGCATATGCAGCATCCCGAGAGTTTCTGTGCCTCATCGGTCCCCGTCGAACTCGAAGAATGCACTGACGGAGTAACTACCAAAGCGTACCAACCCTTTGCCACCGACAGACTCCACCCATTATCTATCAACCGGTGTAGCCAGTCCGGGGTGCATTGCGGTAAACAGGAACTGGTGGAAGGAATGGAGGGGAGAGGCAGGGCTGGCGGATGGTCGGCCCAGTGTCGATCAGGGTAGCCCACAAACTCGCTCACTAACATTGCTCCTGCGGGATTTGGTGGCCGTCTGATGGGGACGACTGACCTTCCTCAAAGCCTGCTTTGCTGTGCCCGGACCCCTGCGTTGCGGATCGGCCGCCTCTGCAAGGGCGACGGAGAGGCTAGACTAGCCTCGTTTGCCACCATCAATGCACATGCACTACTCGGTACGTTCGGTTCACAGCAGCATCGTAGACGAAGAACAAAAGGCGTGGAAAGTAAATAAGTCCCTCGGGTGAGATGACTGCAGGGACTGAGTACACAGGTACAGTACGAACATTCCCACCCCTCAGCATCGTGATCTGGGCCAAGTATCAAGTACTCAGCCTTGTGAGTATCCGTACATATGACCAGGTATACCTCCGCACCCCGTTCGCCACCGATCTGCACATTTTCGGACCAGGTGCGTCCGGCCAGATGCCAGCTGCTAAAGTCCTCGCCGGCCCGTTCCCTAAAGCCATTACGACTTTGCCCCTGCCGCTACTGTGATGTAGAATGCATGTATCGAGATTGCGGCTGTTGACAGTCTATCCAGCCACTGTAGATGGAACGGGCTGACATTTGAGTGCACAAGCGTCCACATTCCTGAGGAGCCCATATCAAGACAATGCGCTCGGTTGTTCTTTCCTTGTGGATGGACCATGTGTTTTGTTTAAGGCGCGTAAGGTATGTCGCCAGAACGTGTATGTAGATGTGGACAACTGCATGGCATATCCACATCGACCTACAGTCTACCCAGGGAAAACCTGAAACCCAGACAGTTCGTTGGTTGTCTAACCCCAAGCAACAAGCACATTCTTCCCCTTCTTCCCCTTGCCCTTCTTCTTCCCACCCCCAGCCCCAGAATCCTCACCACCACCCTCGGCGCCGTGCTCCCCACCAGCGCCACCTTCCTCGCTCGGCCCGCCGCCGCCACCCCACGAGAACCCCGTCTCGCGCCCGCCCCCAAAGTCCCGCCTCACCCCGCGGCCCCCGCCGTACCCAAAGATGGTCGTCTGCACCTTGGGCGCCGCAGGGAGCGCGGGGAACGCGTCCTCGCGCGGCGGCGCCCGGCCCCCGCCCGCGCTGGGCGCTGCCCGCCGCACGGTGGGCGTGGACGACCGGCTCGCGGACGCGGACGACGGGCCCGACACGGCGGGCTGCGTGCCGCCGATCCAGAGCGGGGCCGTCTTGGCAGCCGTGGCCGACTTCTTGCTTCCCGCTGCTGGCGGAAGCGCTGGGAACGCGGCGGATGATGTTGATGCCGCTGGTGGCCGCGCCGGGCTTGACCACTGCACGCTGCTTGGTCCGGCCGCGGGCCCCGGCACGGCGGGTTCCGAGCCCGGGACGCTGCCGCGGCGGGCCTGGGTGCTGTTCTTCAGCTTGAGCACGCGCGTCGTGTGTCTCTCGCGGGCGGCCGCGGCGCTGCCGCTGCCCGGGTGCAGCGTGGGTCCTGAGCTGGCGGCCGACGCCCATCCGCTCGAGCTGGTGGTGGCGCCGTGCATCCCGCCCAGCCCGGGCAGTGAGGGGTAGTCCTCGTTGATGGCGCGCCAGTCCTGCCACGCCTTGTGCAGCGCGTCGGCCTTGGCCTTGTCGTCGAAGAGGTCCGCAACCTCGCGGACGAGTGTGCCCAGCGCGTTGGCCGAGGTGTCGCTGAATAGCGAGAAGAACGAGTCGATCAGGCCTGGGGCCGTGAGGCTGCCATTCTTAAAGGACGAGATGTGCGAGCGGAAGTCGTTCATCTTGGTCGCGTCGTTGCCCAGCAGGTTGGACGCGCGCTCGATGACGGCGCCGTGACGGACGAGGCGCGCGCGTTCGGCCGGCGTCATGTTGGCTTGATCGGTCACGGAGAGTGTAGAGAGAGCATCGGCAAGAGGCTGGGGCTGTTGGGCTGATGACGACGATGCGCCATTTTGTCGTTGCTGGTTGCGAGCGGCGGCAGGCGTGGGACCGGAGGTGTTGGCGGTTGTCGTGAGCTGGCCGCCGAAGGTGCGGTTGGAAACTGACTGAGCAGAGTGGATGGCCATTTGTCGCTGGTAGGCCAGCTCGTCTCGTCGTAAAGGCTGTGCCGTGCTGCGAGGCAGAGGCGCGTCGGCGTTGGGGTCCCTGCCCCTTCCACGTCCTTCTCTCCCACCCCTAGATCGTCCGCCTCCTCTCCGTTCCTCCTGGTATGGTTCATAGACGTCAAAGCCGGAAAGATTCACCACTCGAGCATCTCGCCGTACGTCCTTGGACAGAGAGTCGGCGTGCTCGCTCAGCTGGTGGGCCTTGAGGTCCATCTCCGACTCGAACACCACGAATTTCTTCTCTAGGCACTCTCGGTCGAGACACAGGAAGTGATCTTTGTGGAAGTGCTTTTCCAGTGCGTTGTAGTCCTGATAATAGTGTGGCGACCTAGAGTCCCTCCTGTCGCAGATGAAGCAGCGCTCATGCTTGTTCCGGCAGTGCTCGTACAGCTTGTCGTCGTCGTAGAACCTCTCGCCGCAGAAGCCACACAGGGGATGGCCCCGGAACCCCGTCTGCGCGACGTCGCCAGGCCTGTCGTCGCCGTGGGCCATGTGCTTGTGCAGTGCCTTGTCCGTGAACAGCTCGTGCTCGTGCGTGAAGACTTTCTTGTTGCGCGTGCACAGGTCGCACATCTTGTTGTGGTGCACCGACCGAACATGCCTGTGCAGGTCGGGCCAGCCCAGCCCGGCGAAGTCGCAGGACAGATCGGGGCAGTTGTACCGCAGCAATAGGACCGTGTCGCCCACGATGTCCTCATTTGTGTAGCGGATTCCTATATTCTCGTCCGCGCTTGAAATGTCGGCATCGGTGTAGGCTTCAAAACGTTTCGAGGGGTCATCGGTGAAGATGACAAATGGTGCGGGTGTTCGGCAATGCGCGCAGTCCTTGTTCTTGTACAACGCTCGCAGTCGTAATGAACAGATATGACAGGTCGTGTGGTTACAGGGGGCGACAGAGTGGTGTTGGATCGGGTTGGCGCATATGAAGCAGACATCGTCGTCATCTTGGTCGGCGTCGTCGCCCTCTTGGCCGCCGCTTCCTTCTGCGGCTTTTGGCTTTGACTCTCCTGCCCCGCGGAGCGCTTCTTTGGCAGCCGGTGTGAGCCTTGGCCCTTCATTCTCCTGCTCTTGTGACCTGACGGCGTTCTGGTTGTTTCCACCACGTCCCCGGCCGCGGTTTCCTCCACGGCTTGGCCCTGCGCCGTCACCACGCCCCCTGCCGCGCCTGGCACGATCTCCTCTGCCACGGCCCCGGCTGCCGTCGCCGCGTGATCTTGATGCAGTGTCTCCTGCTGGGTCGGTAGGAGGGGCGCCTCCTGTGTCTGCCATGACGGGGTTTCGTTCGTGTTTGTGGGTGCTGTTGTTGTGCGTGGCTCCGTCTATGGGTCGCAATGTGCGAGTAGATTGGACCAGCACAAAAGTCTCGTCAGAATTTTGGTAGCTTTCTGCTCGAGATCAGACCAGAGTCGTCTCGGACGGTCGATGTAGTGTGTCGAAGGTAAGCTGAAAATGCTGGCTCTGGCTGTGAAGGTTTGGAGGGGCACCGGTTTGCGGGACAAAAATCAGGCTGGATGCTGTTTGTATGGTGAAGAGCCAGAGGCCGTCATACAAATGCAGCAGCGGGCTGATTGATAATTGTAGAGAGAGCTGCGGACTGTTCCGTACTGGGCACTAGGAGCGCTGCACCAATTGAGACCTGACGCACAGACCAATCAGCTAGCAACGGCGAGCCCACGTTCAAGTCCGTAGCACGAGGTCAAAATCAAATTCAGATCCAGCCAGACTGGGGTCACTTCGACTCATCTCGCCGAGCTGCGCGGGCGGTGCAGGCAATGCGGGCAGTGCGGGCGGGAAGCTCCAAATCCCACCCAACGTCACCCCTCCTTTTTCCCATACCAGTCCGCCCATCCACCTGGAAAGGAGCATGGATGATGGCGAGCCCTGGCCCGGGAATTTTCTCTCGTGCTCTCTTGATTGCATCAGCAGCTAGGGGACCCCGGTGGTGTTGCTGAGGCTGATTAACATCCAGGCACACTAGGCTTACTTATCACCACCGAATTCGTTGCTGTTGTGTCTCCAAAGTCATGTAGACCTGGTAGGCTAGTCTGTTCAGAGGTGCATTTTGAACATACCTAGGTAATGTGCCAGTAAATACAGTAACTTCATGTCCCTCGCATCGGAAGACTCGCTCTCACTGTAATCCGTTCTATCCATCGCGTGTCGATCCTCACTCAGCAGTACTTGTGGGTCTGTGTTTGCGATACCTGAGCTGCAAGAGTCACGCCGAGAAGCATTCTGAGCAGCAGGCTTGCATCGGCGAAGGCCGCCCCCAAAAATTACCAGGGGCTAAACTGTTCCTGTTCCTGTTCCTGTTAGTGCATGCTGTCCGCTCGTCTCGTCTGATGTTACGATTTGGGATCTTGGGGGCTGCGGTGCGGCATGGCACCCTAGAGTCCCAGTCCAGGGGGTGGCCAGCCGTCCCCTCAAATGCCCAGGTGCTTGGCCACCTGGCATCAGGCCCGCGTCCACGACAGGCCGTCGAGCCAACAACACTGTCCACCATGTTAAGGGCCAATATGTTTAGGATTGATTCAGCTATGTGCGCTGTTACCGTATGACTAGTTGCGCTGGGCCGCCCAAAAATAAATGATTATCTTGCCAGCAACCAAATGGGCAGCACCGTGCTATGGTCTGGCCCGTCGTGCCGATCAGAAAGTAAGTCCCTTGGAGTCTCGAGACCGTCCCTGTAATGTCCAAGCCTCTTTCCAGCATGGCCCAAACAGACCAAAGAATAGAGCAGACCAGTGTCGCTCGAGTATCGGCCAAAGGTCTCGAGACTGTCCTACTCCTGCTATACCGCAGACACCCCCATGTATGCAAATCATTAGGTCGTATGTCAAGAACGCCTGCCCCAAATCACAGTGCACAGCCCATCCGTGGTTGCGAAAGATGGCACCATCCGCTCTACTCAATCGCTGTTCCGTTCTCCCTTTCTCGAATTGCGCCCAAAACCTAAAGGGTATGTTGACTCGCCAGTGTGTTCACTCGTCAAGCGGGTAGAGCTGGCTGCCCAGGAGCTTGTTCATCGAGAACATGTTGACAGTGGTCTGCTTGAACACTGCCTGCATCTTGTCGTCGCAGCGTATCTGTCGCTTGTCGGTGGGCTCCTGCAGGTCGTTCGCCTTGATGTGCTCCCACAGTTTCTTGACGACCTGAGGACGTGACAGCTGTTCAAAGTGTGGTTAGCCTCGTGTCATGTATGATCCAGATTGTCCGGCCTGGCCCAGCCATTAGGCGGTACATACCCGCTCGGCCCCCACGATCTCCTGCAGCGGGAAGCTGAGGTTGAACTCTTTCTGAAACCCGCCGCCAGCCTTGCGTTTCTTTGTGGTGCCAGAGTCCTCGGTATCCAAGTCACTGTCGTCTTTGACCTTGGCAGAGCTCTTTTTCTTCGGCTTGGACTTTGTCTTGGGTCTGTCATTTCCACGCCTGGTCTGGCGGCCGCGTGCTAGCTGATTCTCTTGCGCCTGAAGTTCACGAGCAAGCCGGGCGTCCTCGTCCTCGACCATTGACGACGTCCGCTTCTTGCGGGGTGCCGTCGACACCTGGATCTCGCCTCCGGAGGCGTCGTCCATGGGATCAACATCCGTATCGCCATGCTCTTGCTTGGTGCCGTTCGGCAAGCCATTACTGGTAACCTCATCATCATACTTGTGTGGGGGTGTGGGCATAGCCTCGGGAGGCGTCGGATCCTCGGCGATGGCGTCGAATCGCTGCTCGATGAGGGTCTTGATGGCATTCTGAATGGCGGGAATCTCGATTAGTCCAGCCCAAGGTCGACGGGAAGGGGCTTGCGAGAGCTGTCGAGATCTTACCTTCTGGTCGCTCAGGTCCTTCCCCCCAAGCTTACGTTCCAATGCCGATCGCACCTTTTTCCGCGACACGGTCGCGAGGTCGGCGGTAGCAAGGATGTCATCGATAATCGAGGTGTACCGGTCAACCTCCTCCGCAGACACTGTTTGGCCGAGTTAGCCTGAAAAAGTCAGTTCACACAGCGCGTAGCGGTCACTAACATGGTTCCGACATCTTGGGCGAGTTGCACCAAATGCAATCAACGTAGGTGAGGGCGGTGTAGCGAATGTCGACTGGGTCAAGCGCTTAATGCCGGCCCCGGGGGGTTTGGGGAAGGCGGGATGCGACAGGCGCGGGTGCTAGCAAGCTGTTCGAGCACGGATCGAGCTGGACGGCGATGGAGGCGTCAAGGGCCTCAAAAGACAGTGTAGACGACGAGTGGGGGGACTGGGAAGCGTAGTGGGTAGGAAGCAGCGGACGCCTTGATCAAAGCATAGCTGTTGTTCTCTTGGGGGGGGGGGTGCCAGCAGCCGAAACGGCACGTCACGAGGAAGTTTGGATGGGTCTTTTCAGGTGCGTGCGGATACACCCGTGGAGAGATGGCTAGCCAGGTCCTTGTCGAGCGTGCGTGCCTGGATGCAAAGTGTGACGGCAGTGGTGTTTGACGGTGTTGTTGTTTCGGGATCGGCAAAGATCGCAAGCGACGCAACGGAGGTACGTTCAGGGCATCAGACTCTTCTCTGGCTGCCTGTGGTGTGAGCTGCCAAGACCCTTGGGACGAACGAGGGTGGGTAAAGTATCTACACAGTAATTGTGTATGTTTGCGATAGGGCAGGGTTGATTGAGATGTTGATTCCGTTGGACGAGCGGCAAGCCAGACAGAAGATGCAGCAAAGAGAAGACAAAGCAGCTGATCAGTCAATCAAGAGTCTGGTGATGACCTCTACGTGTGTTCTGTTCATGTGTGCGAGGGATTGGCGACGGCAAGGGGAAGGCAGGACGTTAGGTTGTCCCGTCCGTCGGCCGGTCCGCCAGGCTAACAATGGACAATCGTTTTCTGATCTGCTGTCCGTTGTTTCCGCTTCTGGCCTATGCTGGTCCGGGTCTGGGCCTGTGTGAGTCTAGGTGTCTGGGTCTGGGTTGTCGGAGGGGGGGTCAGGGTCAAATGTCAGTGACAGTGTCCAGCTGGTCAAAGGGAGGACCCGTTTCGCAAAACCCCAATCGATGAGGCTCGACCAGGGGTTGCCAGGGAGGTGTGACCAGGCGTGTGAGTGGTTGGCTGGGCCGGCCTGAGCACCCCGTCGATACCTGGGTACTTTGCAGTCGTGCTGCAATGCTGCTGGCTCCCGAGAGACTGCTGGTGGAGGGAAAGTTGGGGTCGTCCGCCTTGTGGGGTTCGCATCGTTGAATGACTGGGTGCGGGTGCACCACGAAACGGTACGTACCGTGCCCAGGTACCGGCAGCTGACACCAGCAGCGCCAGCTACGCTGCTCACCCCCACCTTGTCTCTGCTCCCTGTCCCCCAGGCGACCAGGCCTAGACAAAGCAACATGCCCCTGTCCGTTTTTAATCGATAACGATAACGGTCACCGCGGGGCAGCAGACTACCTACGGTACCTGCTCCGTACCGGCATCAAACGCGCATTGCTCTTATCCTTCCACGGGTTGCTGAGATGGACTTCTAGAAGCTCTCTCTACTGCCTGCGGCCGGGATACTCCAGATCTGCATTCTGACTCCCTTCTTCGTTCGTTCTGGGACATTCCACGGACAACCATAACTCAATCCTGGAGAGGGCAACCTCACAACCGCGTTACCTAATAAATCTCTCACTGCGCTTGCATATCTTCCTTCCTACATACCCACCCACCTGCGGTCTGCTGCACCCGTCGTTCAGAGAGGCAGGCAAACGCCCACAGCAGCCATGTCCTACATATCCGTGGCAGCTTGCACCCTCCCCAGTGTGCCTCTCGACTTCCAGGGCAACCGAGACCGCATCATCCAGTCCATTCGCGTCGCAAAGGAAAAGGGCGCAACACTCAGGACGGGCCCTGAGCTCGAGATCCCCGGATATGGCTGCCTTGACCACCACCTGGAAGGCGACACTTTCCTCCATAGTTGGGAAGTGTTGGCCGACATCATCTCGGACGACGCCTGCAAGGGCATGCTCGTAGACGTCGGCCTTGGAGTACGGCATCGCAACGTTCGATACAACTGCCGTGCTCTCTGCACGTACAAGAAAATCTTCTTCCTCAGGCCCAAGATGGCACTGGCCAACGATGGCCTCTATCGAGAGATGCGCCACTTCACAGCTTGGGCCAAGCCCTACGAGATCGAAGACTACTACCTCGAAGATGTCGTTTCTCATGTTACCGGCCAGTCGAAAGTGCCCATCGGGGATGCCATCTTGTCCTGCAAGGACACTGCGGTAGCTTGTGAGACGTGCGAAGAGCTGTTCACGCCTCTCAACCCATCTTCGTATTTGGGCCTTAACGGCGCTGAGGTCATCCTCAACAGCAGTGCCAGTCATGCCGAGCTGCGCAAGCTGCATACCCGCCTTGACCTGATCTCAAACGCCACAAGAAGACTGGGCGGCATTTACGTCTACTCCAACATGACAGGTGTGGACGGCGATGCGCGTATGATGTTTGACGGATCCAGCATGGTTCTCGCCAACGGGGATGTCCTAGCTCAAGGCTCCCAATTCTCCCTGCGCCCGGTCGAGGTCGTCACGGCAACAGTCGACATCGAGAAGGTCAGAAGCTACCGGTCGTCCATCTCTCGAAACCAACAAGCCGCAAAGCAACGAGAGTTCCCCAGGGTGGAATGTGACCTGCGCCTCGGACGACCGTCTCGTCTGGTGCATCGGTCCAAGTATCCAGCATCAAAGACCATGGAGCTGAAGATTCTCGACCCCATGGAGGAGATAGCTAACGCCCAAGCCGTCTTCCTCTGGCAGTATCTTTCTCGGACCAACTCCCCTGGCTATTTTCTTCCGCTGAGCGGTGGTCTCGACTCATCGACTGTTGCTCTCTTTGTGTACAGCATGGCTCGTATGGTACTCCAGGCCATCCAAGAGGGCGAACAGACTGTCCTTGACGACCTCCGCCGTATCACAGGTGAGAAGTCATTCATTCCTTCGAAGCCTGAAGACATCGTCTCCCGAGTGTTTCACACCTGCTACATGGGCACGGTGAACTCAGGCGAGGAAACGCGGTCCCGCGCAGAACGCCTTGCTAAACACCTCGGTGCTTATCACTCCGATATCAAAATCGACGACGCTGTAATAGCTCATGAGAACATCATTGCGCAAACCCTCGGCGGCTTCCGTCCAAAATACTCAATCGAGGGTGGTAGCCCATCTGAGAATCTAGCACGGCAAAACATACAGGCGCGCAACCGCCTCGTCGTAGCCTATGAGCTCGCCCAACTGTCCACCACCGCGCGAGATACTCCCCGAAAGGGTGGTGCATTGCTTGTTCTGGGTTCTGGAAACGTTGACGAAAACCTGCGGGGCTACTACACCAAGTATGCTTCCTCGGCCGATATCGCCCCATTGGGGAGCATTTCCAAGACAGATGCCAAGAGCTTCCAGGCCTGGGCGCGTGACAACTGGGATCTGCCTATCATGACAGAGTTCATTGAAGCCACTCCGTCGGCAGAGCTTCTTCCCCTTTCCGCAGGCGTACAAGATGACGAGTCTGACGCGGAGATGGGCTTCACCTACGATGAACTCTCTCAATTTGGTACGTGGCCAACAACCCTCTGGTTCCATTTTCAATATTATTGGAATCAGAGGCTCCTCATTGATAGCCCTTGCTAATGTGACGATGAAACAGGTATCCTGCGAAAGGTCGAAAAGCTGGGACCTTGGTCAACGTACCAGCGTCTTCTCGTAGACTGGAGGGACCGGCCAGGCTTCGACCCACGCAAGATTGCCGACAAAGTCATGCGCTTCTTCAGGTTCTACTCCATGAACCGGCACAAGACGGTCATCCTAACGCCGAGCCCACACCTGTCGGCGTACAACCCAGACGACAACCGTCATGACCTGCGACCCTTCCTGTACGTCATTGATTGGCCCTGGCAGTTCAAGAAGATCCGGGACGACGTGGATGAGCTGGAGAAGGAGATCAAGGACGAGAAGAATGGCAAGGGCCAGGATGTCGATTAGAAGTCTGCGGCCTACGCCAGGCGCACGGCTTGCAAGAAATGTGATGCTTGCAAGATGTGCCGTAGTTAGACTTGGTTGATTCGGGTGAACCCGTAATATTTCCTCGATAGAGCCGTTACACATGTAGAAATAAGTTTTAGATCAAAGTCACAGGTCATGTTGAACTTTGTCTTTGGACTGATACAGCAGATCGGCTCACGGTTCATTCACCTGGGCCTGGTCTCAGCCAAGTTACTTGCCCCTACGTACAATTATTTGTCAGAGTCCATTCTCAGGTAACCTCATGCGTACTTTTAGACACTTTTCGTCGGCCTCCAAACTCTCGCATAAATGTCTGGTTGATCGATACCTATTCGGCCGAATAGCGAAAGGCTGTCTAAACAGCCACGCCAGGAAGTTAGACGTATTGATGTGCGGCCTTGTGATTTCAGATAGAGTGTACAGGCAGGTAGAAGTGACTGTGTGTACATAGGTAGCCAGGGTTAAGTTGTTATGAAACATCTCGTAGTAGATGGTATATAGATTATGTATCTATCGAAGCTAAGAAGTGGAATCTAAACATATACACGGGGATGTATACAATAATTCTTATCGAGGGAATGCATCAGGAAAGCTTTGTACCACGTCGTACCACCATCCGAATGAATATGAGACTACGCGTCGACATCAATCGGTGCGGCAGCGAGTGAATCAGTAGGTAAGGGAGACGCCAAAAAGTTTTAGCTTCTGCGGCTAGATAGAACAGTGGAGTAGAAAGAGAGACGGAGGAAGATTTCACCTGAAGCCTACAATTCCCTGATTTCCTAGTCATCTTTCCCTTTCTCACCTTTCTGTAACTTCAACGAGATCACCCAGCCTGCCACACGAGCAAGCACGGATTCAATATGATCCTGTTCCAACCCAATTGCACCATCCCACCAGACCCGCCGGCTTTCGTGATAGCACCTGATGTTCGCTCTACGATGAACATTATCTAGAGTTGTACATCTGCAATCCTACTCTGTTGCTGGTCCATTCAGCATCTCAACGTTCCTCCCCAATTTCAGCCTAATACCACCCGGCAGAAGCTCATGCGCAAGATATTCTTTTTATTTCGCAAGCTCAAGTGGATGATCATAACCCTCCTTGCTCCCGAATTTATTCTCGCAAAGGCAATAACGGACCTACGCTCATGTCTACTACATTCGCCTATCCTGCAGGAGCTTGCCGACGAGGACGGCGTGCCATGGAGCAAAACACACACCTTCCTCGCAGATATGGGCGGCTTTGCGCTTCGTTTCACGCCTTCTAGCCTCTCCATAGAGTGCCAATGCCCCTCTGCGCCTTCCGTCGATGTAGATGCGGATCTAAGATCGTCACCACACAGGGCGTCTGCTCACACGACAAGAGAAGGTCAGCGCAATTCAGATCCTACACAGGAGGTGCAGGATCAATTGAGGGGCCAGGTATCAGGAGGTAGCTTTCTGAAACAGTCTCGGTCCATAAATCCTCAAAGTCAGGAGAGGCTGGGTAGCATTGAAGCCCGTGACTGCGCTCAAATCACCAACAAGAATCAGCTTCTTCCAGAAGGACGGGCGACAAGCGGCCAAGACACGATTATTCAACAGGAACTCGTGGACGAACCATCATCGTGTATCGAACTTCCAAGGCTTTTGTCTACCAACGAACAATACAATCGGCAAGATCTGACCTCAGAAGAACCAGCTCGGCAGCAATTGCAGCCAGCGACACCGGGCAACGCGGCGGCCCAGATCTGGCAGAATAGGCAGGTTTGGAGGCAAGGCCGTCGAAGGTTCAGAGCCAGAGTTGAAAACGCCTCTCAAAGTTTCGGTGACGTCGCGTGGAGCATTTCCAGGCACAACGCAAACATGGCCGAAGCCTTATCGGCAACATCAGACGCAACAAATAGGGACAGGAGTGTTCAGTCAACGCTACTGACTTTTGAGGGGGATGTATGGGTCTTGACGGCAGCGCAGCTCATCGAGGCTAGAAGGAGGAGGCTCATCGTCCGACTACCGCATCTTACCGAGGACGAAGTATCCGATCGAAACAAGGGAGACTTCCTCCTGAAATTCCTCGCACTTGTCCAAGTGTCTTGGATTGTGATGCATATCATCGCCCGTGCGATCCTCCATGTATCTTCGACTCCGCTCGAGACCATGACACTGTCCTTCGCCGCCTGCGCGTTCATTACCTACCTCCTGCTCCTTAATCATCCTCAAGATGTCAACACATCCATATACATAGACGCGTCCCGTCTATCAACGGTTGACGATATGCGAGAAATTGCCGACCTCAGCCCAATGTACTATTGGCTTTCGACAAGCCGGCTGCCTTGTGTACCTAATAACGTAGTCCACCAGCCTACGTGGAAGGGTAGAGGAGTATCAGGAGGCCTTTTTGATATCGGTCTCGGTCTGGGAGCAACTGTATTTGGCGGGGCTCACATGGTGGCATGGAACTTTGTCTTTCCTACCGTCATTGAGCGGACCCTCTGGCGCACGTCGTCGCTTGTTACGCTGCTGAGCCCATTGGCGAACATCCTGTCGCCTTGCAAAGCAACACCCTCATACGACGGTTTCGAGGCAGACATGTGCAATACACCAGAGACCGCTGGATGCTGGCGTTTATAGGGCTGAGTACGCTGGCTCTCGTGCTTGCGCGGCTATTTGTGATAGTAGAGGCGTTCCGATCCCTCTATTATCTTCCTCGAGACGCTTACTTTGCCACATGGGCTGCAAACGCACCTTATGTAGCTTGAGCTTCTTCGATAAAATCAGCTGCGCAATTGTTCAAGGCGAGCCCTTGCAAGTGAAGGGAAATTGGAACACAGAAAATGAAATCTAGTCGCGTCTGGCCTGGATTCAGCATGAGATTTAAAGTTCAGCGTACACCCTAATTTCAAAGGCAGACTACATGATTGATTACGAGAGGATCATTATCGCGATCAACCTCCACAAGATGTCCCCACGCCCACCGCCCCATCTCATTAAGGTCTCTCTAGCCTCTGGTGAGGGAGTCCTCCTGCTCGGGCTCTTCCGATCAGGCACCAAATCACTTTACCACGCCATGCGCATCCTGGGCTACGAGCACATCCGCCGCGTCCGTCTTCGCGGCGGAGCTGACCGCGGCGTACCCGGGCGCCAGGGCGGTGCTGGTGCAGCGGGACTTTGAGAGCTGGCTCGCCAGCGTCGACACGGTCTTCATCAGCTCCGTGCTCGACCCGCGCAGGAAGCTCCTGTACGACCTCGTCGTCCGGCCGGTGCGCAAGCTGCACTTCTACGTCTACAGGTCGGCCTGCGGGGCGTCTGCATGGGGCTGTTTGGGGCGACCTCGGCGGAGGGGGCGAGGCGGAGGGCGAGGGAGGTCTGGGAGGCGCATCACGGGACGGTTAGGAGGATGGTCCCCAAGGAGCGGCTGTTGGATTTCAGGCCGGGCAAGGAGTTGTGTTGGGAGAGGCTTTGTGCGTTTCTCGGGAAAGAGGTTCCGCTGTCTTTCTCAAACGAAGTGCAGCCCCCCCACTGTCGCTTTGGTCAGCTGTCCCCCCCCCCCCCCGGCACCAAAATTTGGCTGTGAACGCGGAATACGCACCAAGATTCTTATAAACAACCTCATTAACGTTACCACGCACCTAATTTAGCAAAAAAGAGGTTATTACAACCCTATTTTATATATATTCTTAAAATAATTAAAAATAATAAAATTAACTTGAGCTTATTATATAAGGGAATATATGCTTTGCTAGCCTTAGCTTAAGGTAATTATATTAATAGCTTACTTAAATTAATAAGAAACTTATTTTAACGGCCCTTAAGAAGTAAAAGCTTAGCCATTATAATTATATACCTATTTATAATGCTAAGTTATCTACTTTATTAATAAGGCATATATTAATTAATTAATAGCATTATTATGCATAAAGAAGCTAATGGCGAAGGCGAAGGCTGGTACTGCTGCAAAACAAAAGCCAGCAGCCCAATCGAAGCTCTCTCGAGATAAGCAGACGGCTGTCTAGTGGTGCGGGGGGGGGGGGGGGACACAGCTGACCAAAGCGACAGGGGGGGGGGCTGCACTTCGTTTGAGACAGACAGCGGTCGGTGTGGACCTTCCGAGGGTTAATTCGAGGGAGGCGTGGGTTGGAGAGACGGCGCAGACGGAAGATAGAATCGTATCCGGTTGTCTGATTTCTGATTGCCTGGGCCTGGTACCTCGTCCCCGTTTTCACGTTTTGCAGCGGGTATTTTATTGCAAAGTTGACATGACCGGGCAGAAGACGGGCCGCTGTATAAGAGTGGCGTGAATTGTGTACTGTCGTTGGAATTCTGCATTAACAAAATGAAAACACGGCAAGATCAAATGCAATTGAACGAATTTTCCGGTCGAATGCCATCGTTCCGGTTCGATTTATAGCAGCTCTCTCACGTCCCTCACTACTCATGGCATTGAGTCACAGACTGGCGCCCATGCTTCTGGCTACGTGTAGGGAATAACGAGCTGCAAAATCGACAAGCCGCGGCTGATGTGCCTCGATATTTGGCGGGTATACCTCGGGATGCAGGCGACAAGCACCGAATCCCAGCTCAGGACCACCGCCAGACGATCCATATCCCACCACGCGTGCATTCGCACACTGTCATACAACCTGCTCATCATACAGACAACACTTTCACACTCACGGAGCGCAGTAGAGGACGTGCACTTGGCGACCAGGGATGAAAGTACAAGAGATGTTGTTAAGCCAGATACCCTACTCGAGAAAGAAGCAAAATATGCTTCCTAAATAAATCACGCCTGAACGAACAACACTTGATTTTACATTTGACACCTCTTTTGGAAATGTCGTTGTCTCAAATATTTGTATTACGCCTCAGGATGCCTACAAGTGTCATAACACGATCATGCCCCTCGAAGTAAGCTACAGAAAGTTCATATACCGTGGAACGATCTAAATTTGCGGCCTCAAGCTCCAACTCCCATCGTAAGACGCAACAGGTCGCTTACTCATCTATGAGGGTACAACAAGCATAATATCATTGTTTCTGTCCGTAGTTGTTATCGACGAAAGATGTTACTGGCTGCGTATATGCTGACGGATATGGGTCCAAGTCGCTGGGTATTAACTCATTGTACGACCCGGCACATCGGGTTGCTATTCGTGGAATGAAAGACCACATGCATTCAACAGCGAAGATCATTCATCGTAGTGGCACACGGGGTACACAGGAGTAGTCGGGCGAGGTCTGGACATTTGTCCTAATTTCGATAGGCCAGATCCTCCAACGGCGCCTGCCTTGTCCGGCGCCGTTTCCGCCTACGCGGATTGGGGGAAAGCGGGTCGACCTCTTCGCCCTCGGAGTCATCAGGATACGGATTGAAAGGATCCATATGCAGGAGATCGACATCCGTGTATGCCGAGCGCCACGGCACAGGCGGCGTGGCCTCGGTTCCGAAGAATCGCCTGACCCTGGCATCCAGCCTGGGCAGCGGGTTCCCCAGCGCGTTCGTGATGTCGGTCTGGAGCTGGTTGAGGTCCGGGCGGTGCTGCTGGCGGGCCATCATGCACTTTGCTATCGCCTCGCAGAGGGCCGGGGTGAACCTTTGCTGGTACTCCCGGCCCTCGTCGTCGTCTGCGATCAGCCGGTAGCCATATGTCCATCGTTGGTCCTGTATCGGGACGTCTGCGGCTGGGGGGACGATGGCTGGCTCTTCGCTTTTCATGCGCCCGGCTACGGGTGGGAAGTCTGGCCTTTGGAGAAGTAGGATGCACCACATGTTCTCGTAGGCAGCTTCTGCGTCAGCTCAGGATCTATTTACTTATACGGACAGGGTGGTTGAGTGGGAAATTGTGGGGGGGGGGGGGAGAGATGCCGTGGAGACCATGTCTCACCAATCCAATGTGCCATATATTCGATCGATGGCTATACCGGCCTGGGCCAGAGGTAACAGGCCATCGGCTCCATGCTGGCCAGGTACCCGGAGGCGCGTTCCAGGGCCCCTCTTCTTGATCACGGTCGAGCAGGTCCCACTCTGCCGTGAATTGTTCCTGTGGAGTAGAGAAAGATTAGGGTCATGGATAGAATGATCCATGCTTGAGAATCTTTGAAACTTGAAGCAGGATTCCTCACCGGAAGAAACCAACCGGCTTTGGCCATTTCCCTTTGCTCCCAGAACTCCATTCTTCTTTCCGCCTGCTCCAACGTTCTTGAGCCGGGATAATTCACCGGGTCCCAAAGGCTATCATGGTCTCGGGCAAGGCCAAAGTCTCCGACCTGTTGCAGGTAATGGGAAACTCAGTAATTGGCACTCATTCATGTCCCCTTGTCATAAGTGGACGAGCTAATACTCACTTGGAACCTTGGAACTTGCGTATGAGGGGGGTTTAGGACGGGGTTCCTGCGGCGTGGGTCGTATCCGAATAAAAATACTAGAGATTTCGAGCAATTTAGCACATGTTTTCAAACTAAGAAACAACGGGGGAGTGCATAAGAAACGGCGCAACATACTGTTCTTTGGGTCCAAGTCGAAATGCACATAACCTTGGAACCCATTTGCTGGGCCTGCTAAGCCTCCAGGAGGTACAACCTCCGGAAGGGGGTCTCCATCGCGTGACGGGGCTGCTGCTGGAACGAGCAAGGGAGGGTATTCCATGACGATGCACGCCTTGACGAGGCAGTCAAAGATCAGCCACAGCGCCTCGGGTGGCAAGTGCCTGTCTGCACTCGCCAACCTTTCAAGAACATTGTGCAAGTCTCCTAACTTGGCGAATTCCATGAATAGGAGTCCCTGCTTGTTGAGGAGATTATTCGCGATATCATGCTGCTCTACCGATTCATCCCTTCCTGGCTTAAGAGGAGGTAATTTGGAATCGAATAGAAAAGGTTGCACGACGTGCGGCGCCCGACAGAATTCCTCCAGTTGCAGACAAAGCTCAGCTCAGTCCGGCACTTGCATCGCGAGGAACACGCGCAGTGGGGAAGCACCACTTACAAGCATCATGCGTTTCTCTTCTTCAATTACATCATAACGCGGGGTTCCATCCGCGTAACGGTCGGTTGTTAACTTCATGACAACGTAATGCCCTTGCTCCAGCGGGTTGCCGCCAGGAGTCCATTTCCAAAGTACCACGATTCCGTTGCCACCAGCTCCCAGAATCTTGACAAAGGTGAAGTTCTTCTTCGCTGTCATCAGTGCGGTTGCACGCCGGAACTCGTTTGTGGCGATGTTTCGTTGGGCCTGGTTCAAATTGCCGCTTCTTGCACTTCTATTGCGATAAGAGTTTCTGTTCAGGACCGCCCGTGGTTCTAGTAACCTTCGTTTGTTATCAGTCAATTGTGCAGTGTAATTCACCCTCGGAACTTGTCTGGCCCTGATCCTGTTGAGACGGGCTACAAGACCATTCTGGAAGTCCATCTTTATATCATCTAGACTCCTGCCATGTCCATGGTCTCCGGATCTGTACATCGAAAACCTGTCTTGTAGGTACTGCTGATACTCGGGGAAATCAATTTGCAGGTCCTGTAGCCTCTGCTGCTCCTCCGCAGTGAGTGGTGGTATCGCCGCCATGGCAGCATCAATTGTACAACCTAGGCGAGGAATGGAGAATTGGCTTATTTTGACGCGGAACTGATCTTGCCAGCCATGCATCTCACCTGCAAATGCGCACGGCGGAGATGTTCAGGTGACTTTGAACACAAGACAGGACAAAGAGGTACTTCTGACGTCCGTTTTCGGAATACCAAGACCCGCCCGTGCGCGCTTCACGGTTGGACTTCCTCGAGAATCTATTTCAGTGTGGTTATACAAAACAGGGCGATGATCAATTGAAATACTACCGGGTCATCATATTGCATGATACGGAATTTGCGTATCCATAATCATGACGGGGCAAATTATCCCGAGCGAGCTGATCTGTAGCAACTAGCGACGGGATGAGAGCAATGTAGTTACCAATTCCAAGCCGCGCATAGCATAGAAAAAAAAAAAAAAAAAAAAGAAGGAAAGCCACTAGCCCTTCTTCTCGCCCCTTTTCTGACAAGCGAGCATCGTGCAGTCTCGTGATCTCTATCTGCCGACTCATGCTGTCACAACTGTACTGGATTTCCACTATGGGCTCGATGTATGCTCGACGCAGCAAGCACAACACATGAGATTTAGTTAACATAGAACCAGTCTGGAAATCAAGATCCTGTAGCCTACTGTATGCAAATTGCTCGCAGAATAATAATTTCATTTCGCGGTATCATCTAGCGCCAGCCCGTGTCCTCTCTATACCTTCCGGCCTTCTGCCCCAGCTCTGGACGGCTTGCCCGTTGTTATTCACTTGTTCCACAATGGCCTCTCTGGATGGGATGGAGTGAAAAAGTTTCATATCCATCTATGAGCCCTATAGTCCCAGAATGGGTCTATTTGTTTCACAAATTCTGTATTTCGTGGAGGCTGTGGGGCCGGAGGCTGCGCGAAGAACGTGTTTGTCCAGTAGGCCGGCACGGCCGCGTTGGCCGCGTTGGCCAGCTCCTGAGTGACGATTGTTTGTATCTGCTGCAGGGTGGGCCGGAACTCCTGTTTCGCCATGAGGCATCTCGCGACGAGGTCGATCAAGGGCCGCTGGTACCTGTTGAGCCATGGCTCGGCGGGGTCGAGCAGTGACCAGCCGTATGTCCAGCGTTGTTGGTCTACCGGCACTATGCCGCCAACGGGCGGGGGCGGCTCCTCGGTTGTCATCCTTCCTGCGTAGGGCGGCGAATCGGGATTGCGTAGTGTCATGCACACTTTCATGATCTAGTTCACATCTCAACAGTCAGCCCTTGCCAAGCAATCCCGGCCGAGGATATCGTCTTGACGCATACCATTCCGATGTGCCAGACATTAGACGCAGAAGAATACCTCCCAGGACCTGTGGTGATCGGAGGAGGTGGGTTCCACGGCGCCATCCAGGCTGGCATCCAAGCCCCCGGATCTGATGGGTCTTGAGTGTCAGGTACCATGTCCCAATCCTTGCCGAATTGTTCCTGGGATTCCGCCTTGCGATTAGTATATGTGAATGAATAGGTGAATGGGAACTACTGTAACCTATCGTGCCTTACCGGAAGTGAATATCCGAGCTTGCCGGCATGCCTCCGGTTCCATCTGTCTCTGCGTGTCCAGACGTTCTCTATGGCTCGCACCAAAGGATCATTTGCAGGGATCCAAAGCTCATCCTCATCTTTGGCTGCCCCGAAGTCACCTATCTAGATAGATACTGTTAGACTCTTGCCTCCTTCGATATTGGATAAATCTACACAATGCTTACTTGTATTCGTGGAATCGCTGCGTGTCCCGGTACAAGACCGGCTCCGGGGGCGTCGAAGTCTCTGACGAAGACTAGAGCTGTGTTAGCCTCCGAGTCGTATGTACAATGCAACATACAAAGGTGATGGGAAATACCATTTGTGGGGTCCTGGAAATTAAGCAGTCTCAAGGTTAGCATTAATTATTTCAGGTGACTTTGATAAATAAATGGTCCAAAAGGAACGAAGACGCCTCGAAATTCGTCTCGCGAAACCCGACCTAAGCGTGAATCGAAGAGCAACTTCAAGTTCTCATGAGAATCTCCACGGGGGGAGGGGCCTGGGGGCGGGGCCGGATGGGGTTCGAAAGGTTCGAGATAAATCAGAAGACTACCTACAAGATCAAAGTGAACCATGCCTTGGTGACCCGCGTTGACTCCGTTGCCGGGAGCAACCACCTCGGGCAAGTTGCCTCCAAATGTTGGCATTGTAACAGGGGGAGGGGGAGCATTAGCAGCAGCGGCCAGGACCGCATTCGCGACTGGAAAGGCATTCGGGGCACCGAATGCAGCAGCCAGGGCCGCAATGACCGCAGAAAGCGCAATAGCTAGAGCAGCCGGAGGAGCAATCGGAGGCGGTGGAGCAGGGGGTGCGTTCCCGGGCACATATCTCGGGGGGCATTGCATCGCCATGCAACCCTTGACCAAGCAGTCGCAGATGCGCCACAGCACGGGTTCCGGGAGCCATCGCTCCGTGTTGTCGGGAGGCATGTCTACCGCCGCCTTCATGAGCTGGGACTCCAAGGTGCCGAACTTGCAGTAGTCCATAAGGATGTATTCTCCTTGGGCATCGTCGACCCTGCTCGCCATATTTGCCACACGCTGAGATCGCCTGTTACCGGGGATTGCAAGACCTCCAACTGGGTGATTTCCCATGAAGAACCGTTGTACAATATGGGGTGCTCGACAGAGCATCTGACGGAACCGATTCGTCAAAATACCTAGGTAGCTGGATAGGGGATTATTTGGGTTGCAATTGGGACGGACTTACAGTCATGATGGCTCTCTCACGCAATATCGTCGCTGTGGATAAACTTGGTCTAGCCCCCCCTCGTCGTCCCCGCGGCCGACCCCCACGGGCGGATTGCTTCATTACCACCCGAAACTCCTGCCCACGAGAAGGCTGATATCTCCATAGCGTCAACATTCCATCACGGCCCCACCCAACACATTTGACGTAGCGAAAACTCGTCCTCAGTAAATCTCTGAAATTGTTGAGCTGCTCCCTTATCGCCTCTCCAGCATCGCGATCGGGGCGCGGGATGGGTGGTAGTGCCCGTCCCCGAAAAAGTGTGCGACTGTCGGTGGCAATCGCGCGAAGTCTTGCGCGATGCCTCAAAATGAACCGAAAGTATCCCGGCCGTGGAATGGTGTTGCGCCGTTGAAGAATGTTGCCCCAGCGTGCAGCAGCAGCCGCGTCGCCATTCCTAGACCCCTGATAGATGGTCCTAAGGTCATCTCCAGCTCCAGGTAAACCATTTCTGTACAAATGAAACTTGTCCTGACAGTATGCCTGTATTAAGTTGAGCTCTTGATTGGCGCGCGCCAGTGCCATAATGAAACCCTACGTCCGGCACACAGGAGTCGTCAGATGGATGATAGCAGCCATAAGAGAAAGCATGCAATAGAGACCACGATTGATAAATTTCGCTCAAGTAGCTCTCATGACATTAAAGACCGAGCAACCGATGAAGACATCGACTGAACAAAGACGCCACGGATTCTTGATTCCGTTTTCGGTTCATTGTCCAAACTCGCTCCGAATCATTATACAATAACAGCGGGGAAGCCACAAACATCATATGGTCATGGATGACCCCGTCCAACTATGTGGTGGACAGCCTGAGGGGCACTTAGAATTGTTCAAACCATGCAGAGAAGGCGTTCATGGCACGCCTTGCCAGTTACTTGGATCATAGCACTCGTTTGCTCGGAACGGAGAGTAAATTCATACAGCCATGAACCCTATAATAGTGGAAAGAAGTAACCAAGCAAAATCAGTTGTTACGTGCCACGTAGCCCAAAGTCTGCTCACGTGGACGCCCACTTAGAGAAATACATCTAGTCAACGCAGGACAAAAAGAAGGAGAGCCACCCCGAGCCACCTGGCCACTGACCACTCGTCAACTCAGCGCTAGGTGGCGATGGGATCAAGTAGAAGCTGGCCACCACGAGAGCTCGCGAGCCCCTTCACGGCGGCGACGAGCTCAGCAAGGATCGAGCCCACGAACACCTCATCCCGCTCACTGCCAACAACACCAACACGCAGCTGCCCATCCTTGACGAACGACACAGCCTTCAGGGGCCGAGGCGAGTCCCCATGCGGATTCAGAATCTCCAGCCTCGCGGTCTCGCCAGCGAAGGGCATGCTGTCGGCGTCATCCCAGTCCTGGTGGTGCACGATGGAGTCGAAGAACACCCCCTGCCCGTCCGACTCCGACGCCCACTGCGTGCACTCCCTCGAAATACTCTCAAACCCGACAAAGTCGTGCGCAGCCGACTCGCCGCTCTGCCGCTGCACGAAGCGCAGGAGGTCGACGGCCGTCCACGACGGGCCGAACGGCACCCTGATGGGCGTGAGCTGGTAGCAGGGCCCGACGACGTTCTCGACGCCCGCCATGTCGACGCCGCGGCCGGATGTCACGCCGCCGAACGTCACGTCGGCCCTGCCCAGGCGGCGCGCCAGGAGGAGCGCCCACGCCGCCGTGAGGAGGTTCGCCGTGGTGATCTCCGCCGGGGGCTGGAAGCCCTCGACGGCGAGGTCCTCTTTGAAGATGCCCCTGTCGCCGGGCTGGGTTGACTGGCCTTCCAGGACGGAGAGCGACGAGTCCCGCAGGAGGTCGCGCCAGTAGCCGAGCGCTTTGGTTTGCAGGCCCTGGTCTGTGGTTCGGGCGATGTAGGAGGGGAAAGGTTCGAAGTCGGCGACCTTGCCGCTGCTGTACAGGGTTTCCAAATCTTCGAGCAGGCGTGGGAGAGACAATCCATCGTACAGAGAGTGTGATAGCCCAATGACGAGGCAGTGGCGGCCATCTTTGCCTTCGACATGGAACATCTTGAAGAAGGAAGATCCGAGAATGAAGTCGGATTCGATGTCCACTGCGCAAACCTTGTTGACGAGTTCGTCAATATCCTCATCGGCGCGCCGCGTGACCAGGGGAGTATCAAGCTCGTGCAGCACGATCTGGAAGAAGGCCGACTCGTGCTCGATAAACACGGTTCGCAGGATGTCATGGGTCTTGACCAGATCCTTGCAGGCTCGGAAGAGCCTCTCTTGATCAATGCCATTGGTGAAATGCAGCATGGTATATTGCACAGAAGTCCGCGGTGCATTTACCGTGTCCCTGATATCGAGGGCTTGTGAGTCTGTCACTGGTGCAGCATCCTTGATCGACCACTCGGGCACAGCAAGTTTCGGGCGCACAACATCTGCCAGGAACCGGCCCACGTCCGGAAGGCCCAGAGTGGAGAATGGCTTGTATGGCTGTATCTTGCCCGTCGATGCCAAGTTCACCTTCAAGACCCTCGCCGCGCCACCGAGGCGCATGTGTTGGAAGACGTCAGCCACGGAGAGACCGTGGCCCTGCGCACGGAGGCCCGATACCAGCTTCATCGCCAGCACCGAGTCGCCTCCAAGGCGGAAGAAGTTGTCGTCGACATCGATCTGCTCCGGGCGCATGCCCAGCAGCCTTGCCCATGCAGACCGCAGGATGTCTTCCGAAACCGACAGGTTTGCTTCACCCAGGCCGCTCTCCCAGACCTTCTTGTACCCGTCGCGAAGCTGGCCTAGAACGTGTGGTGGGATCTTGGAAGCAAACTGTTTCAGTGTGCTGCGGTCCACATGGCCTTCCTTGAGGGGGAGTCTGTCAACCACGACGTAGGCCGAGGGCTTGAGGCTAGATGGTAGATCGTCCCTGATGAACTTGTCGAGCTTCTTGAGTGCAACTGCAAGGCTGACGGGGATTTCTGAATTGACTGTTGCCCTGAAGCTGTCAGGATCTGCCTCGTCGCAACTGATATCATGCCTCATGAACATCAGCTCGACGCTGCCTTCCACAGATGGCTGTTGCTCGACGAGGATGATGAGCTCTTGATCCTGTGCCTGCTCATTACCGTTCGCCACTGTTTCGAACACCGCTACAGCGGCACGGGCTGACGCTGGCAGGAGCCTATGACAGTGTGCTTCAAGATCCGCGACATTGACTGCATGTCCCGACACCGGCATGATATCATCTTTCCGACCAACGAATACGAGGCTTCCGTCGTGCCGTAGCTGGACAATATCACCGGTTGGTTGGACCTTGCCCGCGCGGCCGACGAATCCAGAGTTTCCAGCCACAAGCCAGACGGGAGACTCGACAGCTTCATCTGCAAGCATGGCACTTTCCAGCCATAGCTCTCCTTGACAACCAATGGGCGAGAGCTGAGATGGGCTGCGCGGGTCGCAGACCCAAGGGACTGCTGCTCGAGGATAATCTGAGCCGGGCTTGATGCTTCCATGAGCTCGGAGTCTTCCCGTCGACTCCTCAGGGGCCAGCGGCGCCGTCTGGTTCCAGCGCCAGATCTGGTCCAGCTCCTCCTTAGGCATACACGACACCTGCCCGACCTTCCTGTCAAGGTCCTCCGTCAACCTCACACAGGCAGCCTCAACCTGCGCAAGAACCCTCTCCATCTGCGCGACATCAATCAAGCTTTTGTCAAAGCTAGCACAGACCCTGAAACCCCCCTTTCGCAGCCCAAAGGCAAGCATGAGAGGGTACGGGTTGAAGCGCAGCGCCTCGCGCACGGGGTCCCCGAGCCCGAACCCGAGCTCGCCGCCGACCAGCTCCGGCTCGGGCTGCACGACAATCCCCGTCGGCGCCTCGCACGCGTGCTGCGCGTCGCGGCTCACCCGCCGGATGTACTGCATGCCCATGTGCTGGAAGGGGGTGCGCGCCGACACGGCCTGCTGCACGTCCCGCAGGTACGACGCGGCCGAGGCGGCCCGGTCGACGCGGACGCGCACGGGGACCGTCGCGTTGAGCGGGCCCAGGACGTCCTCGACGCCCCGCAGCGAGATGTCGCGGCCCGTGAGGGTCTCGCCGAAGACGACGTCGTCGCTGCCCGTGTACTGGGAGGCCACGAGGGCCCAGGCGCCGCGGATCAGGGTGGCTGTGGTGAAGGGGAGGCCCTCGGTCGTGTCGAGGCGCACCAGGCGCTCGGCTGTGCCGTTCGGGGTGGGGAGGAAGTCCCGCGACGGCGTGCTTGGGAACTGGGGCCCGACGGCGCCGTGCAGCTCGTTGCGCCAGAAGTCCTGCATGGCGGTATGGTCTGTGTCGTGTACCCACTTGACAACGTCCTTCATCAGCGCCTTGGGCTGGATGTCGATGCTGCCGTTCTGCAGGGCCTTGGTGACCATGTCGAGGATCAAGGGCTCTGACCAGCCGTCGTATTGCACATGATGGACGGTCCAGACCATGTACCGCTTGCCATCACTGGCGTCGTCGACGATGGCATACCGGGCTAAGCTCTGGCCCAGGTCCATCCTCTCGTTCCGGTCATCTTCGAGGTAACGAGCCAGACTGGTCGAATGCCTCCAGTCTATGCCTTGCTTCAGCACGACCTGTTGCAGGCCGGGATCCTGCAGCTGGGCCACACGTGTGCGCAGGATGGGGTTTGCTGCAAAGACCGCTTCCCAGGCCTGCTTGAAGGAATCGATGCTCAGGTGAGACGGCACACACGCGATCCTCTGCGCGACATAAGGCTCCGTTGACTTGAGCGAGAAGGTGATCAACGACTCCTGGGTAGGTGTGCAGGGGTAAATGTCTTCCACCGCCGATGGTTCTGTCCCGCAGGCTTGCGACGCTTCCAAACATGCGCTCTCAACGGGCTGGGTGATGAGAGAGAATGGCAGTGTCTCGGTGTGAATGTCCACGTCGTATATCTTGACTGTCTCCGCCATTTCTTCAAGTGTGGGATTTGCGAAGGTACTCGTAACGGACAGGTCGAGGCCTCGTTCCCTGCACACAGACACAAGTCTCATCGCGGCGAGAGATTCACCACCGAGTGCAAAGAAGTTGTCCTGATGGTGGATGGAATCTTCATCAACCTTCAAGACCAAACTCCAGGCGTGCCGCAATCGCTGCTCAAGATCAGTCAACTCTCTGGACTCCCGAGTAGCCTTCGCCGCCGGGCCCTGGTCCAGTTTCTGCAAGTCGACGGTGACACCGAATTGCCTGAGACGCTTGCGGTCTATCTTGCCCGAGATCAAAGTTGGGATGTAGCTGACTGGGATGTAGGCGTTCGGCACCATGTATCGTGGCAAGACCTTTGCTAAGGTCGTGTTGATGCTTTTTAATGCTTTGGTGAGGTCTGGAGATAGTTGGGCAGCTTCTAACTCTTCAACCCCGTTGACCTTGGCGAGTTGCGAGACGAACGCCACCAAAGTAGGCTGCCCTCCGGATGCCTGAGGAACAATAACCTCGGCGATCACGTTGGCATCCGAAGGCAGAGCGGCCTTCAGCTGGCTCTCAATCTCGCCAAGCTCGACTCGCTGACCACGCAACTTGACTTGGGTGTCTTTGCGCCCGGCGAACAGAATGCCTCCAGACCCATCCGGGTCATACATGCCAAGGTCGCCAGTCTTGTACAGACGGCCGCGACGACCAGGAAAACCCTTGTGGCCGGCAACCAGCCAGAAAGGATCGTGGATAAAAGCAGCCGCAGTCTTCTCGTCATCGTTGAGATAGCCCTGTCCAACGATCGGGCCTTCGACGAGCAACTCTCCAACCGCACCAACCGGCACCAAAGCCTCGTGGTCATTGGGGTCGACAATCCAAATCGACGCCCCGTTGCCCGGGCCGATCGAGATATAATCCCTCCCCGTCGCGGCGCTGCTGTTAACCGTGCAGCCGATGGTACACTCACAAGGACCATACCCAATAACGATCCTCGTCTCCCGCCCCCACATGTTGACATCCCTCGGCGCGGACGCCTCCCCGCCCAGGCCGAGAGCGCTCAGCGAGGTGATGACGTCCTCGTCCAGGATGCGCGCGACGGAAGGGGTGATGCCCGCGTAGTTGATGCGCATCCGCCGCATGACGCCGTTGATGTCGTTGAGCCGGTCCTCGTCGGACGGGATGCACAGCGTGCCGCCGTTGCCGAGCGTCAGGAGCATGCTGTCGATGCTGACGTCGAAGGCGTACGAGGCAAAGTCGAGCACCCGCGAGTCCCCCGAGTAGCCGACCGCCGCCGCGCGGGGGATGGCGCTGCTCGTGTAGGTCGCGTGGGATATCTTGACGCCCTTGGGGCGTGCCTGTGCTGCCTGAGGTGAAGATGATGTACATCAGGGCGCTTGGCGGCACGGGTGGGAGCGTGGGTAGGGTTTGGGAATCTGACAGGTGCGCGAAGGCTTGCTCGTCCACGACGAATCGTGGCCCCTCGGGTAGGATCCTTGTGCCTAGCTCGTGTTGCAGGCGTGACGAGACGATCGTCTTCGCGCTTACTTGGACTGCCATGTTCTGCAGACGCCCGAGCGGGAGCGACGGGTCCATCATCGCGATGGTTGCTCCGGATTTCATCACCGCCAAGACGGCGACGATTGTCCACCTGGACTTCTCAAAGCACAGAGGGACGAAGTCATGTGTCGACTCCCGACTCCCTGAGCAAGCCTGCCAAAGAGTTGGAGTACAGCTCGATTTGGCCGTACGTCAAAGTTCCATCCCAAGCGTCGATGGCCACTTTCTCTGGATGTCGTTTCGCCTGTCCCGCAACCATGTCCTGCATGCAGAAGTCATGGTTGGGAGGGAGATCATGGCACCACCTCCAGATCGAGTCCAGATCGTGCCTTGTTGGTGCCATGCAGCTCTGGATGGATGCGCCAGGATTTGACAGGCAAATCTCGATGATGTCGACCAGAATGTCCACATGCAGCGCAACTGTGTATGGCAGCACCTTCTCGCTGTACCATACTGGCCGTATTGCGAGGCGGCCATCATCAAGGTGTACCTCGAGGTTGATTGCGCCCTTTTCATGTCATGATTAGCGACCAGAAACACGGAACCTTCAGGTAGACATATGGCTCACCTCATCTTGTGCATCATCTGATGATTTGGAAAGCGAACTGGTGCTTAGAAGGAGATATTTGGGGCAAGATGTTGCCGTGCATAGGTCTTTCACGCTTGACGCATGATGGCGAAGGGCTATCTGGGTGGCGTCTGCCAGGGAGCTGTCCAGATTCAGCCCAGGTAGTACCTCGTCAGTAGACAGTCGTCTTGTCACTCTCTGATGTACTTCGCAATCTTCCCATCCGTCGTATGCCCATTCAAACGAGGCCTGGCGTTCCTCTCTCGTCCGGATGAGCACAAGCAGCCACGATGTGAGCAGGACATCGGCTCTCAGGGCTGTAGGCAGACAGGTCTCACTTGGCGAGAAGAGGCCGTCGATGGTGAAGTGTTTGAAGGGGTGGCCATCGGCCAGCGTGGGGCCCTGCTCATCGACGGAAACTGAGCCCATTGTAAGAAAAGTTGTGGATTGTCTTGGCTTCAGGAGCAACGAGTGCACGAGCTTGATGGCGCCCGCGGCTGTCAAATGCGCAGATAAACACCAGAGAGACGATCCCGTACGGCTTCTATCTCATATCGATACCATGCACGCCTTGCAGCCCAGGAACTGGCCTTCCAGATGGGGACTGGACGAACTGCATTGGACTGGAGTAGGTGCTGCCGTCTTCGGTACGAACGCACCCCACCCATGCCAGCCGCGGCTGCAGACCGAAATAAATCCATGTCCGCGGGATGGCTCTCAGATGGATAGCCTGGATGTCTCGGTCCATGCTGGGTTGCCGGCGTGGTCTGCATTGATGATGATGGAGCTCGTGTCGTGTGCCTCATCGGTCCGTGACATGACAAAACCATTGTGCAAGGGTGTTGAACAAGGGTGGAGCCAAGAAAAGCTTAGGCATGGTCTTGGTGGGTTATGCATCTATTGAGGCAGCACAGTGCTGGACAGTGCTGGTTACGACGTGCATCTGCTGGCAGGGATACGATCTGATTAGATTAGATTGATCGGACAAGAAAAAATCTTCCAAAGTAGCGTGGACTGTTTAAACCGGACAGGCTAGACTCTTCCTTTCTCGCACTCGCCTGTGCCAGAGCGTGGCCATGAGCGCTTGATCGCATCCCCAGGTCAATTTCCGAGGACCCAGTTAGGCCAGAGAAAAGCACGAAATCTTCCATGCCTCAAGGTGTGGGCCGCGGTACGTGGGCACCAAGTGGATCGGCTGGCGTCCCTGCATGTCCTCTTCGGATATACGAGCCGACGTGAGCGCGTATGTGTAAACTGGTCCACACAACACCAGCACCACTGCGAGTCAGCCCGGTATGCAACCGGTATGGGCAATCACGAGGGTGTCCCAGTCTGCCCGATAGCGGCGGGCTTGAAGTGGCTGCAGCAGTGAGTGGGTTGCGATTCGGTGTGATGTGGGTGTGAGTTGGCCCAGTCAGTCCGAAGACCTCGGCCGACTTGCCACCTGCATGCGCATGTTCTCACTTCACACTCATCGAACTTTCGTTGAGACCAGTCCCGCGGAACCTGACTGAACGAGGAGAACACCCCAGCGGTTCCGAGTCGTACCATGTCCAAGTACTCCAAGTTCTGGCCCAAGGGTGGTCTGCCTGGCATCCTGCATCACTACGTCAGTGCTCTCTTCATGTCCATATCCTATGCTTCTGGAGCTCAGTCAGAGCAAGCGATGCATGAACTCAAGCCAGCCCCGACCGCTAACAAACCCGCTGTTATGTAGACAGAGACCCTCGTGACATTCGAATACACATCCACTGCATCCGCCCGCCAACCACACAGCCTCCTCTTCGTCGGCGGCCTAGGCGACGGCCTGGCCTCAACCTCATACACAGCCGACCTCGTCCGCGCCCTCGCGCCCACAGAATGGTCCTTCTTCACCATCAACCTCACCTCGGCCGGCCAGGCCTGGGGCGTGGGCCACCTTGACCGCGACACCAACGAGATCGCGCAGTGCGTGCGCTACATCAAGGAGTACAAGGCGGCCAAGTACGGCGCCGGCGACAAGGAGGCCAAGGTCGTCCTGATGGGCCACTCCACGGGCAGCCAGTGCGTGCTGCACTACCTGTGCCGCCCCAACCCCCACACGGGGGCCGCCCCCTCGTTCGACCCCTACGTCGAGCACGTCGAGCGGCCCCGGCTCGACGGCGCCATCATGCAGGCGCCCGTGTCGGACCGCGAGGCCATCCACTGGGTGCTGGAGCACGGCATCGGCGACAGGTCGCCCGAGACCTGCCGCGAGGCATACCACGCCATGGAGGAGATCGCCAAGGAGGCCGCGCGCAAGCGCGAGCTGGACGGCGCCATGCTGCCCCTCGCGCTGACGGACAGGATCTACCCGCCCAACACCCCGATCAGCTGCAGGCGGTTCCTCAGCCTCGTCAGCCCGGACAGCCCGGGCTCGCCCGGCGAGGACGACCTGTTCAGCTCTGACCTCGGCGAGGAGCAGCTGGGCAGGACGTTCGGCGCCGTCCACAAGGGCGGGCTGTTGAGGCACAAGCTCATGGTGCTGCACTCCGGGGCGGACCAGTCTGTGCCGGATCATGTTGATAAGGAGAAGCTGCTTGGTAAATGGGGCGATATCGCGGACCGTAATGGGGAGTGCCACGTCTGGGACAGAGAGCACAGTGGTGTGATACCTAATGCTTCGCACGCCTTGAGCAATGACGACCAGGCCGAGCCGAGGCAGTGGCTCTGTCGTAGGGTGCTTAGCTACTTGGACACATCTTTGAAGGTCTAGAAACAACATTAGACAGCATTGACAATGAATGACAAAATGAATCTCCATGATAATGCAGTCTTCATGTAAAATTGTGCACGAAATATTTGATCATGCAATGTACGTTGGTAAACATCTGGATCATCGAGTTACGCTGTCTTGCCTATAGCAGCCAGATTGTAAAAGAAGAGAGTATTAAAACCAGATGTGCCTCCCATATATACAATGGCACCCACCCAGTCTACTCAGCCACGGTCTGGTGCATCACATTAGCCCGGTAACTCGCCGACCTCTCCAGCAACTCCTCATGAGACCCGGCATCAACACACCGCCCAGCCTCAATCAAGAAAATCCGGTTCGCCTTGCGGATGGTGTGCAGCCGATGCGCAATAGCAACAACAGTAACCCCCCGCGCGGCCCTCTCCAGCCCCTCCTGCAACAACCTCTCCGACTCAGCATCCAGCGCGCTCGTCGGCTCGTCGAGGATGAGCAGGCTCGGCTTGCGCACGAGCGCCCGCGCGATCGACAGCCGCTGCCGCTGCCCGCCCGAGAACTGGCCCCCGTTGGGCCCGCAGAGGGTGTCGTAGCCCTCCGGCAGCGCGGCGATCACGTCGTGGATGTTGGCGAGCCTGCACGCCTCCTCGATGTCCGCCTGGCTCGCCTCCCGGCCGGGCCGCGCGCCCAGCCCGATGTTGAACTTGATGCTGCCCTCGAAGAGGACGCTCTCCTGCGGCACGAGGGCGATGTCCTCCCTGAAGGACACGTCGCGGGCTTTTGTCACGTCTGTGCCGTTGACGAGGATCGCGCCTGAGGAGGGCGTGTAGAGGCGTTCTACGAGTTGGATGATGGTCGACTTGCCCGCGCCGCTGGGGCCGACGAGCGCGCAGAACTGGCCGGGGCGGATGTCCATTGTCAGACCGCTCAGGACCTTGAAGTCGGGCCGGGCGGGGTAGGCGAAGTGGACGTCGCGGAACTGCACGCTCGCGGCCTGGTGGGAACGCGTAGGCGACGAGGCGAGCTTCTCGCCGCCCGCCTCGACGTCTTTCTCACCCGCGGGTCCCGCTTCCTGGGCAGCATCCTTGATCCGGCCTTTAATGCCCTCCGAGCCGATCTCGATGAGCCCCAGGATCCTCGCCGCCGCGTTGCGCGCACTGGACAGCTCCGGCGCCAGCGCGAATATCTGGCTGAAGAGCAGGGCGCTGACGAGCAGGGAGAAGACCACGATCAGGAACTGCGTCTGGGTGTAGTTGCCCGCGATGATCTGCTTGGCGCCCCACCAGTAGGCCAGCGCGTTGACGCAGTTGCCGAGGAAGTATGTGATGGCCTGGCAGAGACTGGCCTGCAGGGTGACCTTGAGGGTTTCCTGGCGGGGGCCCTTGAGGGAACGTCGGTAGTCGCTGAGGATTTCCTCTTCCAGTGACAGAGAGGCAACTGTTTTGATGTTCGTGATTGCCTCGGTGCCGATGTCGACAGACTTGGTGTAGGCTGTCTCGTGTTTCTCCTCGAACTGGCCGAGGACGTGGAGTTCCATCATGCCAGCACCAAGGAGAAGCGGTACCAGAGACAGACACACCAAAGCGATCTTCCAGGCAATTATGTGCGTCAGAATAATAGCAGCAACGAGGTTGACAGTGATCGAGATCATGGTTCCCAGGACGGAGCCGCTCAACCCAGCCAGCGCATTACCATCCCGTGTGATATACGAGAGAAGCAGCGCCGGCGTGCGGCCGTTGGACTGGTGCCACTGCATGTCCTGCTCGAAGAGCGAGCGGAACGACAGCACGCGCACCCTGTAGACGATGTGCTCCGAGACCCAGCCGAAGCCGGACCAGCTCATGACGTTGGCGAAGAACTCGATGATGGCGAGCACGAAGAACATGAGCCCGAAGAAGTCGCCCGCGTCCCGGATGCTGGACGCGCTCTTGCAGATGTTCAGGCTGCCGACCGTGTTGCCGAAGATGACGGCCTCGCCCGAGAAGGCGCCGCCCACGACGATGGACCCGAGGAGCGCGACGAGGAGGACGAGCAGGTGCGGCCGCAGGGCTGGCGCGTAGCCCTTGCATAGGGCCCAGAGGGATTTGGATGGTGTCTCTGGCTCGTCCTCTTCTCCTTCGCTGGGGGAGTCAGGGGCTGGTTTCTCCTTGGTGCTCTCGTTGTCGTTACCGGCTGGGCCGTCGTTCTCGATCAGAGTCTCGGTTAGGGAAATGTGATCATCTTTGCCTGCGGGTGCATCACTCCCGGTCGTGCCATTCTTCGTGGACGCCGTGCCCAAGGTCTGCATACCGACCAGTTCGGCGTACGTTCCTTTCTTGGCCATCAGCGCAGAATGGTTTCCTTCCTCCACTACATGCCCCTTGTGCATAACAATGATGTTATCCGCGTTAGTAATGGTCGACAGGCGATGCGCAATCGTGAGGACCGTCCTGCCGCTGGCGATGTTGTCGATGGCCTTCATGATCCGCTGCTCACTTCTCGAGTCCAGTGCTGCAGTAGCCTCATCCAAAATGAGAATAGCGGGCTCCTTGACAAGTGCTCTCGCCACCGCAACTCGCTGCTTCTGGCCGCCGCTGACCAGACGTCCCATCGAGCCCACGAGCGTGGCATAGCCATACTGTAGACCCTCGATGAAAGAGCTCGCGTCTGCTAGAGTAGCGGCATGCCTGACCAGGTTGAAAATCTCGACGACTTCTGCGCCCCGTTTCTCAGCGGCAGCCATGAGGTCCTGGCCATCCCTCGCCTCAGTTGCGACGTCGGAAAGATCGGAACTCATAAGCGTCGCCTTGAGATGTGCGTGCTTCGGGTTGCTGGAGTTGATGAGACCGTGTGCGATGTTCTCGAGGATGGTCCGGTCAAGTAGGTTCGGCTCTTGCTGTACCAGACTGACGAAGCTTCTGAGGTCACGGGTGTTGATATCGTGGAGGTCATGGTCGTCGAACAGGACTTGTCCCTCGTCAGGGTCGTACAGCCTCATTGCTAACCCGGCGATTGTCGATTTCCCGCTCCCGGAGAGACCGATGATCGCCGTGTGTTTCTTTGCCGGGATACGGATGCTGACATGGTCCAGCACAGTGACCTCTGGCCTGGAGGGATACGCGAAGGAGACATCGCGGAGCTCGAAGCTACCCTCGGACTGTTCGAGGCGAGTGCCCGAATCTGTTGTTCCGTCAAATGAGGGCTCACGATCAATGTCCTCGCGCAATTTCTCATAAGAGGCGACTGCAGCCGTGAACAGGTGAATGAACGGTGCCACTTGACTGAGAAGCAGTGTAGCTAAATACGTGTTAGTGAAAGCCCAGAGCCGTCAGAAAAAGAAGCAAAGAAACATAAATGGCCCACCTTCGACCAGAATGAAAATCACCGTGAACGTAGCGCCAACCGTAGTTCCTCCTGTGCCGCTGCCCACAGAGTCCGCAATACGCTGAGCCCCTTGCCAGAAAGCAAGACCATTGGCCGAATATGCCACAAAGTACAGAACTCCGGACTGAATCCCCACCGCAGTCGCCTTCTTCAGGCCCTCACGCTCCGAAGACTTGAGGGCGCCAGAGAACTTTGCCTCGAGCCGCTTGTTCGCCCCAAACGCCTGCACCACGACGGTGTTCGACAGCGCCTCGGACGCGATGGACGAGGCGGTGGCGGCGTAGTCGGACATGAGGCCGGAGTACTTCTCGATGTAGTAGCTCCCGACAAAGGACATGATGAAGTACGCCGGGATGAGCGAGAGCAGCATGGCGGCGAGCTCCCAGTTCTTGATGAAGGCCACGATGTAGGCGGTGACGAAGAAGGAGAAGCTGGCGAGGCATATCCCGACCTTCTCAGACGTGCCCGAGCGGATGGTGGAGATGTCGCTGCTCAGGCGGGAGGCCACCTCGCCCGTGGGCAGCTTGTCGAAGTAGGACGGCTCCTGGCGGAGGAGGTTCTGCAGGTACCTCTCCCGCAGCCTCTGGGCGAGCCGGGCTCCGGTAAGGCTCCAGCATAGCAGGTGGCCGTAGATGAGGACGAACTGGGCGATGGCCAGGTAGAAGATCAGCAGGATCTTGCTGTTGATGCTGCTCTGGTAGGCGGCGTCGGACTCGGAGGTCGATGCGTCGCTGGCTTCGTCGCATGTGACGTCGTTGAAGTCGTTGAGAAGCTCACCGAATACCACTCCGATCAAGGGAAATGGAACACCAGATGCTATGGCACAGATCATGCCTCCCAAAAGCATGAGGATGTCGACCTTGGTGGGATTCCCTGCCAGAAGCAGGCGAGGGAAGCCCACGATCCCTTTGGCGAGTCCCATATTGTCACGACACCATACGAAGCTCAAGGGATGTGGTGTTGCGCTGCCTTGAGATGGTCTTGGCTGGTGGTGTAGTCGTGCAGGGGACAGCGGATGACAACTGCCACCTAGTCAAAGAAAGGGTTCACAGGGCTGGGTTGGAAGGGGTCTGGGCCTGAGGTGTGACCGGGTAGAGGGGTGGAGATTCGTCTTGTGCCGGAGAAAATTGCCGCCGGATGCTCAAGCACTCAACTTTCCTTCCTAGAGCGGCTATTTTGATGAGCCTCTCTGGCTTCTTCCCATCAGTCTTCGCGTGGCCGAGTTCTGGCGGGAATAGATGAGCGAAAGAAGATACGTTGCCGCCCTTCAACGTTCCGTAAAAATCAGAGTGCAATTATAACACGTTGAGATTCTTAGCTGGCGGTGTATTTGGCATCGTCTCGGCCTCCTCGTTAAAGGGGGGTAATGGCCACAGTATTCAGTGTTCCCTGCCCTAGACTGGCTACGATTTAGGAAGGCCTGCAATGACACAAGCAAGACATGATCTGCCACGTTGGAGTTCTCACCGTCCGAGGTCGGCAAAGCCAAAATCGTTGGATACGTGCGCCTGGAGTGTCCAAAGACAGTGAGAATTGCCAGTCAAGGAGAGGACCCAGATGCGTGTGTACAGATATGCAGATATGCGATTATTGGGGCAATACCTGATGCAACCACTTCGAGATTTTCCACCCCTGCTTGACAAGACCTGGGTCCCCTGTCTTTGAAACGGATCTGATAAGATTGCACAACACGCTAGCTGATCCACACCCCTGCCCACGCGCTCGGAACTCGGCGCTTTAGAGTTTGAGAGAGGAAGAAACTTTCATCAAGGCCTCGTCAGGCATTGTGCGCGGCGGCCACTCACAGCTTGGAACCCACCCACTTTGGTGGCCTTTTTTCCGCAAATGCCTGGATACCCTCGGCAAAGTTGGCACCTTTGACCAGGCGGGGGTACCACTGCTCCGCCAGCGCGGTCACGGCCTCCTCGACGTTGCCCGTCTCCCACGCCATGCGGACGCCCAGCCGGCCAACGATGACCGCGTCAGGGCTGTTGCCGCAGATCTCTCCCGCCAGCCGCAGCGCCGCGCCCACGACGTCGACGTCGTCGTCATCGCCCACGACCTGGGAGACGAGGCCCCACGCGTGGAGCGCCGCCGCGCCCACGGTCCTCCCCGTCAGGGCCAGCTCCATGGTGCGCTGCAGGCCGATGGTCGAGGCCAGGCGCGGCAGGCTGCCCGCCACGGGGACGATGCCGCGCTTGACTTCAGACAGGGCAAACACCGCCGACGAGGCCGCTATTACGAGATCGCAATTCGCCGCCATCTCGAACCCCCCGCCCATGCAGATGCCGTTGACCGCTGCGATGATCGGCTTCTTGCCCCCCCGCCGCGGCAGCCCCGCCAGCCCGGGCGCCCCCATGTCGTTGACGACGCCACTCCTGTTCATCTCGTTCCACTCTGTATTGTGGTGTGTGGGCTCCACGTCAGCAAACATGCATGCATGTGCAGCACTTGTCCCAGAGGGGCGGCGCTCGTCCGAGAGGGAGGAAGTGAGGAAAATGAGAATGCGCACCGTGTAGATCGGCCCCCGTGCAGAACGCCCTTCCCTCGCCCGTGATCACCCCCACCAACAGGCTCTCGTCCTGGTCGAATGCCTCCCAGATCTCCGCTATCTCTCGGCTGGTGGCCTTGTCGACGCAGTTGAGCTTGTCCGTCCTGGTTAGTGTCACCTGGACGACTTTCTCCTGGGGGAAGGTGACACGGAAATGCTCGAAATTCAACGGCCGAGACCGCAGGGAGACGGGCTGTCGAGGTTTGTCCGAGGCATCGTGTGGGCCTGGTGAAGGTTTCGATGATTGATACTTGTAGGTGTCCTCCATGTTGGCTTCGTGTTTCGTACTGTCAGTCTCGCTTGCTCGACCCTCGAGACTTGGGTGGTTCCAGTCTGCTGTATTTGTACAATCTCGGGCCACAATCAGGATTCCGATCTAGATTAGCGACTACCTAACTCCCTGGGCGCTAGTTGGCCGAGCACTGTCTACTGATTCTACTCTCGCTAGACCATCTTCATCGTCCCTGAATCGCCCAACCCTTCGGACTTACGACGAGATGTCGCAGGAACGGGCTGACCACGGCGCCATCCTCGAGGATCTGATAAAGAAATTTGCTCAGTTCTCTTACCCCAAGTTCCACACTCTTGAGTAATCTTTAGAGTACAGTTCCGCCCGGCAATTCGAACCACGCGATTATCTCGTGTCCGCATTGACCTGTGCATCTCTTTTTCTTAACTTAATCAGGACAAGCCCTCCCGCCTATGAAACTGTCGTCATATAGTGCAAAAATACAGTCTTTCCCTCTCTCGACCTTATCACAAATTTTGTGACATTTCAGTACTGAGTTCTCTGCCGAAGGCCTGCTGCTCCAAGATGGATTCCGTCACGCGACCACAGGGCGAATACCCCCCTGTAAAGCTTCCTTTCCCGTTCCTCACCACATATCGAGTTCAAAGAGTCTCTGAGAAATCACCAAGGCTCATCCTTACTCTGCAAGACCAGCCAGTCAAGGGAAGGGCTTTGCCACAGCCATTACATTCAGACAAACTCTCATGGGTCGACCTCACGTTCCCGAGCGAAAGCGAACGCCCACCCATCTCAGATAACAGCCCCTGGGCTCGCGCGCGACGATCCCCCTCGACGAACTTCCAATGGGAGGGAGAGGCCCCACCATCGCTGGCCCAGATCTGGAATGTGGTCCACGCCATCTACCTCTGCCACCCCGCGAATGAATACTTCAGGCTCACCCTAGCCGGTGAGGGTGCGAATACCATCAAAGCTGAGCTCCTCGCCACTGGGCTGGGTGTTCATCACCCGAAACCACGACAGCCACGGGAAGAGACGGCTGCACAGCAAGGCGATGGGGAGTTGCTGATCCTCCGAAGCTCGTTCTGGCAGGGCGCAGCCTCACCGACTGGCCCGCGTCCAATCTGGGTGGTTGGAGAGAGCACAGACAAGAACTTGCGGACGCCATTAGCCCAATATCCCGTCATGCCCGAGAACTACCAGATCACGAACCGGTTTCCCGACGAGCCAGTCTACACGCGCCATCCAGTCCGTCGGCCGAAGCCATATCCCGGCTCGATCGCATACAGCCGTTACATTGTAGAATGCGACATGCACTTCTCGCTCGAGGTGATCGACTGGCAGAACGACGAGCATCTGAGACTCTTCAACACATGGCAGAACGACCCTCGTGTTGCCAAGGGCTGGAACGAGACGGGCACATTGGATCAGCACCGGGAATACCTACGAAAACTGCACTTTGATCCCCATGTTCTCTGCCTGTTCGGCCGGTTCGACGAGACTCGGTTCGCATATTACGAGCTCTACTGGGCCAAGGTAAGCCTCGCAACACATACTCTACCATTTTTTCCACGATGTGTCTGACATGAAATTTCCAGGAGGACCACTTCGGCGCACACTACGACGCAGGCCACTTCGACCGCGGCCGCCACTCCCTGGTCGGCGACGCCTCGTTCCGCGGCGCTCGGCGCGTCAACGCGTGGTACTCGAGCTGCATCCACTACTGCTTCCTGGACGACCCGCGGACGGCCAACGTCGTGGGCGAGCCCAAGGCCAGCGGGCCCGTCATCCTGTCGTACGAGAACTCGCAGGGGCTCACCATCGGCAAGTACGTCGACTTCGGCCACAAGCGCTCCGTGTACTCGACCTGCAGCCGCGAGAAGTGGTTCCAGCTGTGCCCGCTGTTCTGGGACGGCCGCGAGAAGCCGCTCGAGTCGGCGGACCGGGCGGCTTGGGACGCGAGGCTTTGATCGTCGAAGGCCCTTTGATCGTCGCCGCCCGCCCTTTGCCATGCATGTATGCATGAGTGTGGATTCTGGGGGGTTGAACACGAGGAATACGACACCCACTGGGACCACTACATTACCACGTTACTGTACATACATAGAATCTTGAAACAGGATTGTCGTCCTTTCTCCATACGCATCGTCCCAGTGCCCTGTTTCCGGCAACTTATGATGATCACAAGTCGTCGTTGGCGATCACCGCAGGCGTTCCTGCTTGGCAAAAGCTTAGTCAAAGCTTGGGTCTTCTGTCGTGCATTGGCAGTGGTGATCACCAAGGAATTTCTCCCGGCTCAGCGCTCGTCCACTGCAACCTGCCCCCCACACACCCGTGTCTCAAGCACTGCCTCGGCCTTCATACGCGCATGTTCCAAGTTTGCGATACCATCGTCGTCGGCGTCACGCGCGGGCGGGCTCAATGGTACACACTGATCGTCTTCTTCGACACGAGGGAAAACTCTGCATGGCTTCCACCGGCCTTCTTTCCCCATCCAGAATGGCATTACCTACAGTTGTGGCCTAGAAAAGAATATAGCTCCGGTTCACGATAGGAGATAGGACGAGAGATCCGAGGGCATCTCAAGTGATCAGACGAGGCGGGCCATCGATTGACCCCAGCCGAACCCAACGTGGCAGGCCGGCCCCTACAGGGTGTGACTGCATGCAGTTTGTCAGAGGTGTGGAAACAATGACAAAAAACAGTTGGGCTGAGTCCGCCACTTTCCCGCTAGCTGTTCCACAGATGATCTGATTAGATTAAATTGGAACCGCCATCGGTCCTCGTCGCACCCCCACCATCCGAGCCGGCGCACGCCGCACACTTGCGATGTCACACCGTGCGACTCTTCTTACCTGCCCTAAACAGGCCTGAGCTTGCCGCATCTGATAAGATTATGCAGATAAAGAGTCTGGGAGGGACGCCGGCCCACACCAAGCTGTGGGTACACACTGCCCACTGTGCCACTAATATTCTCTCTTTTTCTGGGCGTCCGTGGGCTCCGCAACTGCAGTAGTGTGAGCAAGAAAAGTGCGCCGGCCATGCAGACTGGCCAGGGCCACGAGGCAGACTGGATTCCCTCTGCTAAAAGTCCCGTGGGAAATTTTTGGGTTTCGGCGTGCATTCCCGTCCTGGAGCTCTGTGCCTCGCCCGCTTTCCAATGTCCCATCAAAAAACATGCTGCAACAAGAATTGATACCGTAGAATTCCTGGATGGTAGGCCGAGAGACTGACGACGACGGATCGCCACCTGACAGACTGACAGGCTGGGCATTATTGACCCAGGGAGGTAGAATATCCAGTCATTGTGAACTCACCCGAGCAAAGAGTAGCATCCAAGTGTCAAGCCAGCCCAGCCGAGGTCGGAGAAAAGACTTTGTACCAGCCAGAGACTCGCCAGGACTACTGAGCGCACTAAACTTGGACTCCCGGGGGACATACGTACGCCTGGCCCAACACACTGGAGTCGCCAAGTCTTTTCTTTCAAGGTCGAGACCTCGTCTAACGTGTGCTTGTTTTTCCCTAGCCAGCAACAAGCGACTTCACTTTATGGTTTCGAGTTGATTGTTAACTCAAGAAGCGAGTCATCCCACGTCTGACTGCCATTGTTGTATCAAGTTTCGATCAATCTTCCTATCGAAAACACAGAAGCAATCTTCCGACATGACTGCGGAGGAGGACAACAAGATGGCTCACGCCACCGACACCCCAGCTTCACGCGAAGACTCCGACGAGTCACAGCCGGACCGCGAAGTCATCGTCGAGGGAGATGACCAACGAGGTCTGCAGAATGTCGAGGCCGTGACTCTGAGTTGGTCCAAGACATCACTCATTCTGGTGTTCCTCAAGTAAGTCCTCGCTTCCCCGAACTGCGATGCAAGTGCCTCGTTTGGGAGCGAATCGGATTAATTAACACCATGGCACGATAGCATCTGGTTCCTCTATTTCGTGAATGCGATGCAGTCTTCCATTCTGTCCAACCTCCTCCCGTACGCCACAAGTGAATGGGAGACGCACTCGCTGCTCAACGTCATCTACGTGGTTGCGAGTGCTATGTCCGCGGCAATTTATGTCCCGCTGTCCAAGATCCTCGACGTCTGGGGCCGTGCTGAGGGATTTGCCGTCATGACCACGTTCGCTACGATTGGCATGATTATGATGGCGGCGAGCCACAATCTCCCGGCTTTCTGTGCTGCATATGTAAGAAATTTCACACTTCGTCTTATAGAGCTCTTCAGCTAGTTATCGGACAAATATGGTGCTGACATGAACATCCCCGCAGGTCTTCTACAGCATCGGATTCGGAGGAATGACATTCTGCGTGGACGTCCTCACTGCCGATATCTCTCAGCTGAAGAACCGAGGGTTGGCCTACGCCTTCACCTCGTCCCCTTACATCATCACCGCCTTCGCCGGCTCCAAGGCGTCCGAGGGGTTCTACTACAACATCAGCTGGCGGTGGGGATTCGGCTGCTTTGCCATCATCTTCCCGATCGTGGCCGTCCCGCTGTTCGGCATCTTGAAGGTCAGCGTGCACAAGGCCAAGAAGATCGGCACATACGTCCCTCGCAACAGCGGCCGCAACGTTGTCCAGAGTATTTGGCACTACGTTGTGGATTTCGACGGTAAGTTGTCGTCCAGCCCCAGAATCAGAACCTCCTCGCAAATACATCAGAAACTGACTCTACGAAACACAACAGCACTCGGGGTGATCCTGTTCTCCGTGGGCCTGGTGCTGTTCCTGCTGCCTTTCGACATCTCCAGCTCCGCCCCCAACGGCTGGGCCACCGACTACATCATCGCCATGCTCGTGGTCGGCTTCGTTCTACTAGTCGGCTTCGGCCTCTACGAGACGTTCCTGGCCCCCGTCCCCCTGCTAAACTTCACCTTCCTCACCGACCGCACCGTCGTCGGCGCATGCCTGCTCGACGCGACGTACCAGGTCGCCTACTACTGCTGGGATAACTACTTCACCTCGTACCTCCAGGTCGTCAACGACGTCACCCTCGCCGAGGCGGGCTACATCAACAACACCTTCAACGTCGTGTCCGGCGTACTGCTCCTGCTGGTCGGATACCTGATGCGCCGCACCGGCCGCTTCAAGTGGCTGCTCTTCATCGCCGTGCCCCTGTACATCCTGGCGCAAGGGCTCATGATCTACTTCCGCCGCCCCAACCAGTCCGTCGGCTACCAGGTCATGTGCCAGATCTTCATCTCCATCGGCGGCAGCGTCTTCATCATCGTGCAGCAGGTCGCCGTCCTCGCGGCCGTCGACCACCGCCACGTCGCCGCCGCCCTCGCGCTGCTCAGCGTCGTCGGCACGATTGGCGGCGCCGTCGGCGCCACGGTCTCGGGCGCCATCTGGACAAACACCTTCCCCGTCGCGCTCGAGAGGTACCTACCCGCCGACGCCATGGAGAACTTCGACATGATCTACGAGGACCTCGACACCCAGCTCAGCTACCCCGTCGGCTCGGAGACCCGCCTCGCGATCCAGCACGCGTATGGCTATGCGCAGACGAGGATGCTTGCGGCCGGCACTGGCGTCATGGCGCTGTGCTTCATCTGGACCTGGATGATCCGGAACATCAACTTGACCAAGGTTGCTCAGGTCAAGGGAACGGTCTTCTAGGGTGTGAGTTTTGTATTTCTCTTCACGGTGGAGGTGTTTTTATGCGGTGAGATATTATGTTTTGTACAATGAGATCAATGCTAGGTGCATGTGAGGGATTTTGAGTACGAGTTAAAATGATGAGCCATCCTGTCCTGGCAACGAGGAACGGACTGCTGCTAGATACATATAAATGTTATTGGAAGATGAGGAGTCACTTGGCGTCAAGTGTTACATGGCCGTGCCGAACCATATCTCATGCTTTTTGATCCTGCTCTTCCTTCTTGTCCAAGTCGATTTGTGGCATCAGAATGAAAGCCATTACCCCTGACAGTGCAGCAAGCGCCGCCATGGTATAGAACACTCGCTGGAAGCCGACGTGGTATGCCGCGAGAATGGCCTGGCTTACATCGTCTCCCAGACCAAGACCAGCTGCAGATGTCGGATCTCTCAGCAAAGATCTGATCTGGTCCTCGGAGATTCCCAGCCCCGCGGAGGCCAGCCCGGACCTGACTACATTGTTGATGATGGTTCCTGTCACCGCCAGCCCAATGGTGCTGCCAAGGTTCCGCACAAAGTTCCGGGTCCCTGTCACTACAGCCATGTTCTGCTTGTCAACCCCAGCCTGAATAGCTATCAGACTAGGCTGCAGAGTCTGGCCGACACCGAAACCCGTGAGGATAGCATAGCCGATTTGTTCGCCAAGCCCACTGTTCTGATCGAGTGTGCTGAACAGACCCAAGCCGATGGCCCAGACCGCCCACCCGACCAGTATGCTCTCCCTATAGCGTCCCCGCCAGGTGACTATGAGACCGGAGACGGTGGACGACAGTGTTTGCATCAGGGTCAGAGGAAGCAAAAGCGACGCAGAACGGACTGTTGAGTAGCCATACGCCAGCTGGTAGAACGTGGGGATGTAATACACCTGGGCGACGAAGTTCCAGCCATTAATGAACATGGTGATGCAAGCGCCGTTGACCATCTTCTGCCTGAAAATGTGCAGCGGCACCAACGGGTATTTCGTCCCGTACTGCTGCCATGCCAGGAATGCGGCGGAGGTGCAAAATCCCAGCACGATCGGCAGTATCACAGCGACCGAGCTCCAGGGGTGGTCATCTCCGGCCCATGTGAGGCCAAGCATGAAGAGGACGGACCCGCAAAGGGTCAGGAAGCACCCGAAGAAGTCGACCTTGGTGATCTTGTCTTTCCAGCTTCCGGTGACTTTTTTGAGCGGCATTGCGAACACCACGGCAAGCGCACATAGCGCTGTGAGCGGCAGGTTGAGCCGGAATATCCATCGCCAGCCTTCACTTGATGTAGTCGCAAGTGCACCTCCGATCAGCGGGCCGACTCCGTTGGCCAGAGCAACAGCAGCTCCGAAGATGCCCTGGTATTTCCCCCTCTGCCGGAGAGACACGACGTCCGAGACAATGACTTGCGCAACGGTCATCAAACCCCCACCTCCAACCCCAGCAATTGCACGAAACACGATGAGCTGGATCGCAGTCCGCGAGAGCGAGGAGGCCAGCGAGCCCAGGAAGAAAACGAGCTGGAGCGCGAGGAGCACATATTTCCGGGACCAGACATCGGAGAGGCGGCCGTAGAGTAGTTGGAACGAGGTGGACGTGATGAAGTACCCGCCTGCGATCCAGGATGCCTGAGTGCCGGCTTGGAGCGAGGACGAGACGAGGGAGAGCGATGCCGCGAGGGAGGTCTGGTCGATGAGCGCGACGAAGTCGACGCTTGCGCAGGCCAGGAACACCTAGGCCAGTGTCAGCACGATGAAATAGAGTGTAGACTGTTCTGCTAGGCTGTCATCACTCACAATCACGATCTTAGAGGCCGGAAGTGATCGCGTCGACTGATCCGCATATGCCGGCTCAGTTGTCGCTACATCGGTTTGGTCTGTGGGTGTGGGACGGGCTTTCTCAGCCTCCCCGTTTGCGACGACCCCTGTGCTCATCGTGGATATGAAGACAAGCCGGAAAAGATGAGAAGTTGGCAATAGTCGAGACAGCTAGATGCAAGGGATAATCGAATATCTACCTGATATTAATTTCAGTGTTCATCAAGGTTCGTGTCTATCATTGCAATTGCTGGCCCAGTGGAACTCCAGGCTTACTCCAGCCGACTCATCAAGGTTCTCAACGCCGGTCCGCTTGTTTGCTTGGCCCGTTTGTGGAACGTCAAGCGCACCAAACGCACGCAATCAGCTCAACGCGTTTACCGCTCCTCGCAGACGGCCCCAGGGAGGATCGGCGGTCGTAAGAGCACTACTATCGCCAAGGACCCGACCGCTCGCAACTCAACCATGCGGAATCAATTGCGCAATTGGATGAGGCTGGCTCAGAGACAGTGTCTACCCGGAAATACTTTCTTGTTTGGGGCACTCCCTATGGAAGCCCTGAAAGGAAACATACCATCTGAACATTCATATAAATTCATAATAAAAACCACTGTAGAGTATGTAGTTCGAGGAGGGATACACACACATTCACTTGGCAGACCCGCGCAAGAGTCGGTGTCTTTATCCAGTCTTCTCCACATATGTTGTTGGTGTTTCGTTATTCAATGCTCCAGCGTCCACAATCAATATTTATGTAGATTGAGTACTGGTCGAAGATGTTTCTTTCGCGTGCAATGATCTTCGCCCTCCTTGTAGTATAGGGCTGGTGAGAGACCCGATGAGGACCCTGCAGGCCGTTGTAGTGGACAAATCGCGCCGCGAAAATGTTTCCGCCAGATGACGGACAAACTTCCGCGTTGCGCAACTTCAGGAATTTTAAGACAGCCGAGCTGATTCGGTCTTACTATTTCTCTCGGCATTACAACGTTGACCCAATTCAAGTCCAAACATGGGGCTGATGCCGAGAAGATCAGGGCACCTTGATGGCATCTAATCGTTTGAGATGTCCAGTCAGTGTCAAATCACTGCGATGCAAGTCGACAATAAGAGAATGTTGCCATTAGAACCCCCACTCAATGGATGTGTGGGACGACATCCACTATTATCACATCGAAACATGGCTCTCCAGCTCACTGCCGTGGATCACCACACCGAGTCACTAATCTACGGCATTCACTACGAACGAGGTGCAGGCAATTCGAGCCCTCCAGCGGTATTTATACAGCTATTGTGTCCAAACTTCTGCTTTCGGCTCTCTTTTCTGTGCCCGGTTGCATTTTCTCTAGACAAGCTTTTTACAATTTACACAGAATCAGCATGGCCGCTCGGAACACAAACAATGTCTACAAAGGCGAGGACTCGCTCCGCAATTACTTTGATCAGACCAGCAGCCCATGATACCCATGGTGGAGCTGCCTCGGAAGCTCAACCCATTCTACGAAGATGGCGTCAGGATTTACGCAAAGATGATGGGCACTTTGCCAGCCAATAATGTCAAATCCCTTCCAGGTATGTGCTATTGGCCCATTTTCTTTCCACAGCGAGTTCAACGGAGCTGACGCCATTCGCAGCCTTGAACATGCTACAGTCCTCGGTGAAGCCCGACACCACCAAGACCATCGTAGAGTACAGTTCGGGCTCTACTGTCATCTCGATGTCGCTCATCGCTCGGGCGCTGTACGGGATCACCGACACCCGGGCGTTCCTAAGTAACAAGACCTCATGGACAAAACTGCAGCTGATGAGATTCTTTGGTCTGAATATCACCTTGTTTGGTGGACCGTCTCAGCCAGAACCTTTGGACCCGCGTGGTGGCATATTCAGAGCAGAGAAAATGAGCACTGAAAGTGGCGAGGAGGTGGTGAATCCCAACCAGTACGCAAACGACGCGAACTGGAAGGCACACGTTCGTTGGACTGGCCCACAGATTCTCACCCAGCTGCCAGAGATCAATGTCTTCTGCTGTGGTATGGGTACCTCCGGGACAATGACTGGGATCGGGACCTATCTCAAGGAGGCAAAGCCTTCGGTAACGCGGGTCGGGTACGTATGAGATCATTCCCCAGCACGGAACCGCACAGGGGCTAACGCAGTCGTTTGCCAGAGTCTGCACCAAAGCCGGGGATCGAGTTCCCGGTCCTCGCTCCTACGCCCTCATGTCACCCGTTGAGTTCCCCTGGCGTGCCGCTGTGGACACCATCGAGGAAGTCGGCTCGCCGGAATCATATAAACTGTCTCTTGAACTGTCGCGCGAGGGTCTTATTTGCGGGCCTTCGTCTGGGTTTAACCTACAAGGCTTGTACAACTATATCCAAAAGCAAAAGTCCAACGGCACACTGGAGACTCTCCGAGGAGACGATGGGAATGTCCATTGCGTCTTCATGGCTTGTGACCTGCCATACCAGTATCTGGGCGAGTATTTCGACAAGCTGGGCGAGGAGGTCTTCCACCCTCTGGTCAACCAAAACTTACTCGGCGTAGACACCTACAGATACGATGAGGCTTGGGAAGTGGATCAAAAGAGTTTCTCCGACATTTTGTACTCGTCCGCTGCCTGCGAGGTGTTCACAGCAAGTCCTAGTCTTGCATCCGAGAACGTCATCTTGGACCTCCGAACAGCGGAAGCCTTTGCCGATCACCACCTCCCGGGCGCAATATCCCGGCCCTTGAGCTCATACGACTCCTCTACACCCTCACCCTTCTCTGACCCTAAGGTCCTGGAAATGCAATGGAAAGAGGTCGAGTCTGTTTTCGACCTCACAACGATTGGGCTTCTGAAGCGAGCGGGATGTGTGTGGTTGGTATGCTACGGGGGAGATACATCTCGAGTGGCCACTAGTGTTCTGAGAGCTAAAGGGGTCTCAGCGAACAGCCTCAAAGGCGGCATGTTGGCTTTGATGTCTGCCGCAAGGAGTGGCAAAGGAGGCCGAACTGACAGCGTTGACTCTGGTGTTGGACTGCACAACGCTTCTTCTGACGAGGAAAGATGCCCAGCCGGAGACTCGCTGACGGAAAAGAGTCATGTGCCGGAGCTGGCGAGAGTTCAAATTCCACAGGCTTGAGAGTAGACATGCCGGGTAAGTCTGGGAACATGATATGACAGGCATCATGGTATTCCATTGTTTCTTCTTTTTCTTCTGGTTGGCATTTGGACTGCACAGAGTATACCGAAAGGGTAGATGGGCGATTCATAAAATATAAAACATTGGATAGTGATGCATTCGTACTTCCATCGTATTTCTCACACGCAGCTTGCTTGTGAGCTGTTACAAAACAAAGCACAATAAATTTTTATCTGGTATCATTCTCTCCAACCCTTGTATATCTAAATACAATTGGGGCTCTAGGTGTGCGCACTCGAGTTTGAACGAGATAAACAAGGCCATACGCTGAGCCTCATGACCCCATATTGCCTCATTGAACAAATCATCTCAATACCAACTCGAATTCCTTCTCAAGACCGAAGCAGCCAATGATCAATTTTGCTTACATCAAGTATACACGTACAGCGTAACTATGCATCCCACACCTGTCACGCAGCTAGCCTTCGGGCTACTGAGGTACACTATTACGTCCGATACCACTTCAACTGTCGCAATTCTGCCCAAAGGCACGTCCTTATCAATAAATTGCCTCAACTCGGGCGTTCCTTCTGTGGCGCCGTCGATCATGGGTGTGTCGACCCATGAAGGGCAGACGGCCACGACTCGCATCCCGTACTGGGCATTGTCAAGTGCTTGCAGTTGGGGACAACTTGATCAGCCTCAAATACAACGTGCAAAGAGAGAAGATCCCAGCGAGAGCTGGCGATGCCAGACATTAATCCCTTACACTTACACAGCCTCGTTCAGCTCGTTTCTAAAAGACCAATGAGTTATCAGAAACCACGAGATTGGGCTATGCGAGTGGAAAGGTTTCGAAGCCACTCAGCCGTCGGGCGCCCTCCGGGTATCACAGGCCAGTATTTGGCCGCCCTAACTCTTTGACCCTGGCTGTATTGGTAGCGGCATAGTGCTGGTAGGCTCCAAGCACGATCAATTATTTCCGGTGTCATATTGATCTTTTGAACCTGTCTCAGGCGGATGTTCTGACTTTGCACTGACCATCCGGCATTGTAAGGTCACCAAACGGTATTCGGGCATTCGATTGCAAACGAGGGCATGGGCATAACAAGAGATTTATTGTTCTACTACTAAATCTACCGTGCCTTTCGCCGGGTCGTCATCTCGCTTTACATCTGGCTAGGTGCAAGCTTGCGGCAATGACCAGAAGCAACGCTTTCGTTCACCTGACTGTCTTGCCACAAGGTCAGAAACTCCATGCCAGTTGACGTTTCATCTCGTTTCCGCCTCGGTCAGCGTGACCGATATCCACCACTTTGCAGTCAGCGGGTATCGCCGCGGGATGGAGTTCGTTGGGGCGGATGAGCCTCCACATTCCTTGGATATGCCAAGCTCAAGGGCTCCTACATCGGATAGGCAATACCGATTGCTACCAAGTAGGAAATCTGCACCGAGAATGATGGCACAGGGGAAACCAATTAGCCTCACTTGGTAAGTGTGCTTTACTTCCCATCTCACTCGAGCACAACTCTGGGTGTATCTCAAGTTCTGTTCTCCGGCCGATACCCTCTTACTGAGGATACTCACGCGCAACTTAAAGACCTTGAACTCCAGGCGAAAACACTGGTTGGGTCTTTAGCTCTTCAAGGAATGTGAGAGAGCTTCATGCCGCGGCAGCACCCCTGTAGCTAGCAAGAGCCATACTTAACGTCGGACCCGGCCATATCACACGAGGTTTGGAAACGACTTGGCATACCCATAACTAATATTTAAAGATGATATAACGACTCGTGGAAAGTCCACCGGCATCTTTCAACTGGAAACAGTACTTACTATTATGGTCGTCAACCTGTATGTTTGCCAATGCGGTGGCAAGTTTGCGTACCCATGTCTGCATGCCAAGCTGTTTACCCACCTTGCTCCGCTCTGGAATATGATATAGGGAATATGAAGTAGGCGAATCCTACTCTGTGTATCTGGTTGCCCATTTAGCGTCGGTAGTCCAATGTTGCAATTATATAAAGCCCCGCGCTTCCGGCATTGAGTCCGGAAGTTCTCATCAAGCATCTCCACAACGCAGAAAGTCCAACGTCGCACAGGCAATAAGACGGCGCGAAACTCCTATTGACACCCTTGGACAATGGCTTCCAAATCTCTCCTGATGGCCGCCAACGCCGGGGCAGCTTGGGCATGCTACACCTCACCTGTGCCCCCAGGGTTCACCTCAAACAACACAGGCGCCATCTGGGCATATGTTGACTACAGTGACCCAGCTGTCGCTGTGATCCCCGGCGCCTTCAACCGATCGGTCTTCGACGCCCCTTTCGCCAGCGAAGTATCTGATGATAGGCAAGCTTCAGCGAATTCTTTCCTCAATACGACCGATTTCATTGCCTACGACGAGCGTTTCTTCTCCATCATTGGACCTGCAGCCACAGTCACACATGTCCAAAGGTTGAGCACCGCCAATGTCCATGAAGCTCCATGTTGGAATCCTGGCACTCGGGAGCTGCTTTTCACGGAACGGGGACATCCGAGCCCAGAGAATGGCATCCATCGATGGCAGTACTTGCTCGGTGTGGATAATAACGAGTTGAGGAACATTACCACCGTGCCACCCACCACCAATCTTCACGGGTGTGTCTACTTCAAGGACTCATATTTCGGCGTCACTGATGGAGACCGGAAGAGATTGGAAGGCTGATCAAGATCGATCCCTCGACCCTTGAGACGACCGTGCTCCTGAACAACTTCTACCAGCAGCCATTCCTGGGATTCAATGACCTCGACACTGACCGCGACGGCAACTTCTGGCTCACTGATTCGGATAGTGCTTGGGGCCGAGACATCATCCCATTCAGCAGGCCGACACTTCCCTCCGTCTATTTTGTCAACAGATCCAACATGCGTCCCCGCGTGAGCCACATCACCGATGGAAATGCCAATGGAATCGCCATCTCGCCTGACGGATCGACCCTTTATCTCCCTGACGCCGGCGTGTCTGAGAAAAAGCCAGTCGACCGGAAGAACCCCTACAACAAGCGTGACCTCTCCGCCTTCGACGTTTCTGCTACGGGTGGTGTTTTGAGCAACCGCAGGTTATTGAACAACCCGATCAGTTATTTCTAGAGAGGGGATATTCGCATCCATAGAAACGGATGGTACATCCACAATGTACCTACCATGTCACGTGACTACAATCGCCTTCATCGCCACCCAAGTTAACTTAACCACCCTACGCTAACGCTACATTGAATTAATTAAATACTTATTAAGATTAATCGTTTCGGTATTAAAGATAACTTTTAATTACTTAAATATATTTTTTTTAGTATTATAGCGATAACGCAAGTCCTAAATTACTTTAGTCTTAAGGCATAGTGGTAAAGTAGATAAGGAGGCATTAAAATACCATATAATTAAGTAATTAGCACCCTAAAGAGTGCAAAAAAAGCTACATTGGTGATGAGAATATATATCATAGCGTTGCTAATTGTAAATTAACATTGCGTTATATTAATTTGGTGATGGGGCGTTAACTGTGCATTGGCTGTAGCATGTGTGGCAGGTACATTATAGATATACCATCCGTTTCTGTGCATGCGAATATCCCCTCTCTATTTCTATGATGGCATCAAGGTCGGCGGGGAAGGTTACATCATTTCCGGAGCGGGGCACGGTGTCGATTTTATTGACCCGGTCGATGGCATCACGCCGGGGTCAATCAGGCTTGGTGGTGGCGAGAACGTTGCTGTCAACGTTGCTCTGGGAGAGAACGAGCTGTTCGTTGTGGGCAAGGGTGGTGTATGGCATGTACAAAATGTCGCAACAAAGCTGATCAGGGATTGGATTGAAGAATTCAAGGTCCTTTGACTCCGCAACCACCCTCCTGCCACGCAGGCTACAAATGTTTCCATTTTCAGCCGCTAATATATATTCACGATCCCTGAGCTCCCGCCGCCAAGGCAGGCTCTGGCGATTTCTTTGATAAGACTAGCATCCAGTCTAAACTAGCATTCTTCAAACGAGCCATGAAAAACGGCCGTCTTGCTGGCTTGTATCCTTCCAGGTTGGAAGTGGTGTATAGCATGACCCTAGAAAAGTCCAACGAAATGTTGTGGCGTTCGGGAGCACTTCCAAGAATCCGTCAAAATCTGATCAAATCACCCGGACTAGATAAATAGCCCTAATTGAAGAAGCCAATTCCCCAGGCCATATGAGAATGGCCGAGTGGAGTTCCCATATAGGCTGACTTGCTCCTCGGATAGTGCCTTATCGTAGCATCGAGCTCAGCCCAGCAACGACGGCTCTTCAGTACTCGAGAAAGTGCTTCGAGGGCATGAGAGCCTTTCGGAAAACTAATGCGAAGATGCGTCTGTTTCGTCCATGTAATAACATGACGCGATGCACCCACTCAGCCACTTGGATCAGCCTGCCCGAGGTGGACAGCTACGCCGTGTTTGAAGTCATGTGGAAGCTTGTCGAGATGGACCAACACTTGATTCCCAAGCATGAGAAATGCACTTATCGTCAGAAATCTACAAGACTCGCTAGATATTTGATCACGGGACGGCCTACTCGGGTTGTGCCTAACCAAAAGTGCGAACAGTGAAAAAGGCCACTCGTTATATCTCCCGCCGACCATGATCGCTAAACCCCACCCCCCCCCCCCCGAAATTTCTCTCACATCCCCAAAATCGGCCTTGCTATTTCTCATCGTTTCGAATATCGCCTCGTACTATCAGCCCGGCTCAAGGGTCATCAGCATGGAGACGGTGCCCGAAGTCCGCGGCGGGGGCCGCGGACAAATACAAGGTCGGGCCCAACTACGCCCCGAGCATCGTGCCTGGTTTAAGGCCCAAGCGCCACGGTCTAGACCAGTACCTCTGGCTCATCGGCGACGATAGCCCCACCACTGAGGCAACAGGCATGGACATGTTCGCCGTGGTCGAGGAGAGGGGCGCAGGCACCGACACCCGGGACCCCCGAGCGGCAGCCAGTCGTCCTTGAGCTGGTCAAATCGCCACTCGAGGGGTTAATACTTCCGGGGGGTCACGAGGGACTTGGTCCTGTAGCTGGTTCATGATGCTGGTACTGCACTAATAGGGGCGTCTTTGCCACCAGCCCTGGTAATGTCAGCCCTTATTTAGGTTGTCAGTAGTAATATCTTGGCAATTGTCCTTTCCCCTTCGCATTGCAAGTTCTCGGACTACGTTGATCTGCAATAATCGGACTTCATGAAATTACTCAAGGCAACAACAGACATGGTCACTCATGAGACGATCTCGGTTGGCGCCTTTAAGCCAACTCTCTGAGGGCGAGCCTATACTTTGGAAATATGTCACTACTACCACGAGACATACATCTAGCACACGAAGCCCGTTCCAAGTAGCCATCCATACCCGCTGCCATTCCTTTTCTTTTCTTTTCTTTTCTTTTCTTTTCTTTTCTTTTCTTAGGTTGGTAAAAAGTGCCATCTCGACTTTCAGCAGGTATAGGCATGCTAGGCACGGTAGCGTTGATCTATGTGATATGACCCTTGACTAGCTCCGCTGTCACGTTACACGAACTGAGCAAAGCAATAAATCATAGAGAGGAAGTCCGAGTATTCGGATTCTGTTCAAACAGTGGATACCGTATAATCCTGTTCCAACGGTTAATACCGTGTAAGCCTGAAGGAAGTTGTTCTAGTAGGGGGGGCCTGCTAGCGTTTCGCGGGAGTAGAGGTACACCAATAGATCGAGAAACATTCGATCCACAGCACGTTTAAGCTTAAAAGCCAAGACGGCTGCCTAGGTACGTAAGCCGGAGACAGCCGTGGATACCTGGGGATTTCGAATCTTGCCCATGTGCTGGCAATTAACCCTTGTGATGACAAAGCTCCCCTACTACACAGTAGCACAACTTCCAGGCTTGCAACTTGAAGATCCTACAATATACGAATCGACTTAAATGCCTCTGCGATGTGATCTCTATATAAAGGGTTGTTCAGCAGCCTGTTCCAGTCTGTAGCATCGTCTATCTCCATCAATTCACCAAACCACCACTTCTGTTCACCAATCAAACAATCTTTGAGACCCTGATCTTTCCATATCAACAAGATGCAAATCCTTGCGACGATCCTGGGCCTTGCTGCCACCGCCGCTGCTATTGATGCCCGACTCTACTACAACCGCGGTTGCAGTGGCAGTGGCGTTCAATGCGGCGGTTTGAACCCGGATACTTGCTGTCCCGCAGGAGGGAACGACTTTGGGAGCGTTGAATTCAGATTCATCCCACTCGACTGGACTATTGAGGGCAGGGGCCATTCCGGTGGCAACTGCAACAATTTGCAAGAGAGGGGCTACCCTACCAGGGTCGACTCTATTTGCCTTAGCCTGGGGCCATTCTCTGGTGCCGGTTACGGCTTTAGGAACAAGAAGCGCGGAGAGGCCGAATATGCAGACTGCGCAAAGACCGATTCCATTTTTACCGAAGATGGGGTCAACTATAACCTTGCTGATTTGGACGATGATACTGTCGCTAAACTGGTACGTCTGCCCCCTTCCAAAGCTGATTTTGATGAAAGATTAGACGCTGACATCTTGTTTTATCATATAGTAAGCAGAGTCCTCTCTAGGAAAAGGGGACTTTTCCTTGTTCTGTCCGTGATAAGTCATACTAATCGTAATCTTCTTCTAGGCTTGCGATTGCAGCACAAGGCGCCAACTCTACCGACATCCCCGAGGAGTTCCAGAGCTTGAGGATCGAATAGAGCCTGGTAAAATGAAGTCTCGGGTGCGATGGACTGTGATGATGTATAAGTGGATAGGGGGGCGCCTCTGTGGCTTTATGTGGCTGTGTGGAGTCGTATTGCCTATTTATGGGAGCTCGTTTCACCAGCTGTCGATACATTGTTCTTCTTCTTCAGACTGAAATAACACGAATTTATTGCCCCTACTGTTTTCCAATTGACCATTGGAATCTCCTATTGTATGCTCCGATGTGACAAAATAACGTCGTATTGTTGAGGGTGGTAGAACTGTGAGACTTACTAAGGGTCAAACGTCGTCAATTTAACTTGTCTTGTATTTGCAAGTTATTTTTGGATGGCGGAAATTGTCAGGAAAATATGGCAGATGTTCGGTGGCAGAAACAGGCTTGGTTAATGAGTTCTATCCGCGGGCGTAATACACAATGATTTCAACTTCACAAGGTTTATCTGACGACAGGTTGAGACTTTTCGGCTGTGCACTCAACTTACCAGAATCACGGCCATGCTGTCGGGTTGACATTTCACCGCATTCTGTAATTAGCACATTAAATGATGTAAGGCCAGACTCTGGCAACCCAAAATGGCCCCACGTGATGCCTAGTGAATGTGGCTGCATACTGCAGCACTAGCCGGTACTTTATTTGCTCGACGGTGTGCCGACATGCCTGTGGTAGATGCGAAGAAGGGAATGGAGGGCCCGTCACATTATCTTGACCCAAATCGAAGACTTGATATAATCAACAGACATGGACTGATTGTATTGTTGGTTCAGCATCTCCTATACCCAGCGGGCCCTCCCGGCCATGATACCGATTGACGCAGCAAGAGATGTATCAGCCAATGTCCTGGAATCAACATCGTCATGGCCTCATTGGGCTGTATTGGCTTTACTGGTACCACAACGAGCTGTATCTCCTGCCTTGATTCAGCCGCGGAATGCTCAAGTCGTCATCCCTGTGTGTTCTAAGTATTCGGTGCCCAAAACCATTGTGACGTATGGAGAAACAAAATTAGAATGTGATACCGTATTTCTGACCAATCTTCATCCAGAGTGTATTCCCGTCCCACCGTCCTCCCATAATAAAGATGTCGATGTTGAAATACTGTCCTGGCTTTCCCCAAACCCCTCGCTCTCATCAGCCCACGAACCATCTTCCCCTCCCCCTGAAACAGTTCTGGCTCCTTCGTCCTCACCTAGTTGCCTTGCCAATGGGTAGGCGAAGCCCGGGTTCGGGCCCACTGTCGCTGAACCCGCTTCAATAGCTGGCACCTGCGCCGACTGCGTTGCTGTCGAGTTGAAGTCGGACGCCCGGCGGTTGACATGGCGTATAGTCGATGCAGAGTTGACACCTTGACTGCCAGATACGGAGTAACATGACCTCTCTGAAAGGTCAGCCTCATTGTCCAACCTCAACGCTGGCACTCTAGACAAACAGCCAGCGGCAGTCGGTCGATCGTCTGGGTCCCAGGATAGCATCTCCCAGACCAGGCCAGCAAAGTATGGGTTCTGCAATGACTCCAATAATAAATCGGCCCCTAACCTGCTCATCGCATCACAGTATTCCAAGTCAAAAATACGGTGGCCGTTGAAGTTCGGCATTCCTCCGTGGGTCAGCTCGACTGCAATAACTCCCAATGACCAAATGTCCGACGAGTTCTTGTATATGTGTCTCAAGCCCCCGTGAATTTCTCTGTCCCTCGTGAGCAGAACCTCGGGTGCCATGTAATATTGGGTCCCAACAAATGTTCCCATGTTGGACTCTCCTTGTTTGGACAGACCAAAGTCGCTCACTGCAATTTCGAGAGGCTCCCTGGACCGGATGAGGATATTGTCTGGCTTGAGGTCGCGATGTGTGATATTATGGCTGTGAAGGTAATCGACAGCAGCGAATGCTTGGGTCATAATCACCATGATTTCGTTCCCTTTAAAGCAAATCCATCTGTGCTGTTCGTAAAGAGACCCTAGATCGCAGTACTCCATGATGATCATTGGGTCAGAGCCTTGTATCTCTTGTATATCGATGTAGCGAGCGATGTATCTGTGTTCGAGAGTGCTCATCAAGGCATATTCGTGCTGGAAATCCGGGTACTTCTGTACTCGCTTCCCAGCACACCTTGCCCAATTGGAGCTGTTGAAGACCTCGAAGACCTGGGAAGATGCGCCGCGACCGAGTCGTTTATCGCCGATGATCCAGGCATAGCGGCCCTTCTTTCGATCAGGTGCACTCCGCTCGGCCGCGGGTAATATATCCCCAGTTGTAATAGCGCGGCTCTCCAGAGCTAGTCCACCCAAAAAGGGCATCATGTTGTTTTGGTAGGCTTGGAACTGCCGGACCATCCGTTGATACTCATGCATATGGTACGAATGGTCTGGAACCTGGAAAACAATTTGGGTTTCTGATTGGCCGAGCGCCATGCCCACCGTCCAGCCTACGGGGACGACCCATTGTGGCGGATCAGCTCCATTGCCGCAGCTTTCGTGCCGTTGAGGGTATGGTATCCCGGTCGAGTTGACGTGCGGTAGCTGTGTGTAGATGACCTTGGACCCGAATTTAGAAGGATCTCGAATTATGACTCGGCCCCACTCGTCGAATCCCACGGAAAGATGGCACCCACTAACTGCGGAGGTAGAGTCGACGCGAATATCAGCGCCCATGTCCCGCCCGACCCAGAACCAAGGCGTTCCCTTTGACTTTGCGGTCAGCCACAAGTGGATACTCTCTAAAGCCTAGATATTTTCAAGATATTGTCGTGATGTACCGCAGAACTCAGTCATTTGGGTAAACAGTGTGACATGGGACAAGGGGGCAGCGTTGTGAACGGAGAATACCAACATTACTTGGAGGGGTCGAGAATTTGAGGGTAAGCTTGATTATTTCTTCTTCTTCCGTGATCTCTCGATGTTTGCGACGCCTAATACGAGTGAAGCGACTCCTCCTAAAAGGATCGTGGTGAGGTACATCAAACCAGTGGGCTGGCCCGGTCACTTCTAGGATCACGTCCCACTCGGGGTTACCTCGCGTGTTGGGCATTTCTCGGCTGTTGGAGAGATTGAAAATGGTAGAAATTGCAGGTGCTGATGAGTGAAAAGATTGCCAAATCAAATTGAGTCGTAGCGATAGGAAAACCACAGGGAAGAGCGCTGGGTGCATTTTATATCATATGGAATTGTCACCAACTGCCTCTGTGACTAACTAGCTCTAGGTAAGTCACAGCTCACAGAGTCTCAACGTTTGGGTGTGATTTTGCCGGCAGTCTACCTTTTATGGTGGTATAAACCACTGTGGGTTAGACTTCGACGATATAACCCCTTCTACAGCAGCTTGCTGTGGGACGATCTCCTGTGGGAGAACCACTTGTAGGATAATATCTTGTGGGATAGACACGTGTTGGATAACTCCATTCAGGTCAAGCATACTATACTCTCACAGATATATGGGAATAATTTATGCTGACTGGGGAGGTATCCTGTCCCAACCAGTCTAATTTGAACGACCTGGCCAGCCCTGGAGGTCCTGGGATTCATCAATCTGTGGGTCACTGACCAACGGTTGTGCGACAAGCGCCACATTCTTCCAAAGAGTTCGATTGTGACTAACTCCTGGATTGCGTTTGCTTGAATGTTGTCTCTAAGCAGCCGAGGGTTGATGCAGCACCTGCCTGTCACACTGGCTGACTCACTATCCGCCGCTGCGAACCATCAAGTCCCCCAGAATTCGCCTGTCGACCCTCCAAGTCTGGCCCAGTGCTCAAGTACGACATAAGACCTCCTTCAGTGTGGCGACCCCTCAAATCTCCTGGATTTCTGCTCTGAACTTCAATTTCCGACCAGCTACTGCACATTTAACTACCGAAGACACATTTTATACACTTCTGGGCTTTCTCGCAGACATCTCATCATGCCACTTCCAGTTGACTGTTCTCAACCAAGGCTGGAGCCCAGACGAAGCCTTGAATTCCTCGCATCTACCTATGATGCCAGTGCCGAAAACTCGTCTTCCCAGAACGACGAGGATGTTTCCGCAGCCGAATCGGATGATTCCAACGTCACCCAAGAGGAACCTGTCGAAACGATTCTCGCAGAAGCTGAGGCTGCCCGGCAGCAGAAGATGCGCCTCGGATGCAGACCGACGAGATCTATCAAGAAGTACGATCCGGAGGACGTCAATCTCATCCCTATGGCCGATAACCACCCCAGAGCAAAGCTGTATCCAGGTCCAATCCGTCCTGCTCCACAACGCACTGTTCCATGGGATGAAACATTGTATCGTACCTGCTGCGCCGACGAAAGGATGCATTTTTGTTCGGAGTTGCTTGCTTGGGACAGTTTCTTGAGATCGATCAGACGCGACTGGATCAGGCGTGATGAGGCGGCAGAAGACACAATTCCACCACCGCCACCCGTGCTTGAGTGGGATCCTTTAGACCTACACACGCGATATCTGGTCTTTTTGAAGCAGACCCGGACTGATGACGAGAATGACGACAACTACTTCACGGTCCTCAGCCGGTTCAACTTCTGGCCGTATCATCTGTTCGTGGATCATGTCGAAGCAGTTGAGCGACAAGTTGCCGAGATACGAAAAGAGCGTGGTTTGGCACACACTCCTTCAGTTGGAGTGACCGAGCCAAATCAAAACAGACTTCGACAGGCAAAAACACAATCAACATTGTCTGTGAACACCAACACCCGAGAGGACGATGCCAGCGAACTAGCTCTGGCACCCAAGCTGGCGAGTACTGAATTCCAGAATGCAATCAGCGGCCCACCAAAGCGACGTTGGCCTGGAGGCACCGCCCACCAGAACCAAACACTATTACCCATACCCGCACCAGGGGAATTGGCTATCACCAAAGCTACCAATAAACCCAGCCATCGTGACGAATTTCAGGCGAAGCCCGGCTCTGGGAACGGAGCAGCGGAGGCTCCCAGTGACCGTGCGTTTGGGAAGGGCGCTTGTGTGGTGAAACGATAGAAGTGGAAGCCATCCGGACCGCCTGTCACGGTTCTCAGGAAGGAGCGTGAGAATCGCGGAGACGGAGGCAGAGGGTTCGAGAGGGGCGATTGAAAAGTGGTTATTCGACATTCACACTAGATGTTTGCAGCGAGCGGGTTTTCGTCAAGATTGGTACACCGCCTACCTAGGTACGCACCACTCTGAAGCTAAGTATTGATTACGGAGTAGCGTTATATCATGCATTTAACACGCAGTTTAGTACGGCGAAGTTGATGGAATTCTTCCTATGGTGGAGAGTATTTTGTTTTTCACTGCAAGAAGAGACATATGGCGCTGACAACAAGCAGCTGTGTCAGGTACATTGAACATATCGACTTGGTAACGCGTGGGCCTCGATATCGCTGACCTCCCGGGTGAAGATGTCAGCACGTTGACATGTGCCGTTGCTCTTGCTGAACATCATCTGGCCCAAGGGAGAGCCTTGCCAGCTGTAGATCCCCTTCTCACGACACTAAGACCCCCGCTCAGCGCCGAGGAGCCCAGCCGTCAACAGCATGCCGACCGGGATGAACCCCCAGTGTCCCCACTCCCCGCCGCCAGTCTGCCAGCGGCTGACAAACCCATCCACAACAGCCACGGGGGTGTTGACCAGCATGAGGACGCCCATCAGCCGGTGCTCGCCGGCCCACCAGAGTGCGAGGCTGGCCAGGCCCATGGTCGCCTGCCGCACGCCGTACATGCGCAGCAGCGAGAAGGAGAGCTTCTGGCCCTGGGGCTCCGGCGGCATTGGGAAGCCTAGCATCGAGAGGCCGGCGGCCGGGCGCAGCATTCCGTAGAGCCCGGCCGAGACGGGGAGGATGTTCAGGACCGCGGTCGCGTTGGCGAAGGCCGTTGTCGTAAGGCCGAGAGACATGGTGGTTCGAAATGTGGAGGCGTCCCGAGGTCGTAACTGAAGCTGTTGGGCTGGCTTAGCAGTTTTCTGATGGATTTGCTCCTTTATGATACTAATGAGTTGTCCTGGGTGAGTTTTGGTTTCGGCGAGTCTACAGTTCTGATAAAATTTGAGGTGGCGAGTGACTGTGAACCCCGCGTAAGAAGGAACCTTGTTGAGCCGTCCCTGAAAGAGAGCTGAACCCGTTCAGGGCCGGCAACAGTGTGCACTAACGCCAACATATACTAGTTGACACGTCATATGGCTATGATTAGCGCGAAGCCGTTGCCCGTGGAGATTCCATAGGGCACCTTCATTCAATAATGTCATCACGAATGATTGTGTTTTGGATGCTCGGGCAGGAGTGAGTCACTATCAGAAGTGAGACATCGCTGGCAGATAATCCACCAGCTACGATGCACCATGTCCAAAAAAGACAGAAATTCAAGATGGTGCTCCAGATGTCATATCATCAATTACTCACTCGTTGTAAATCGTTCCCCGAATGGTTCCAGCGACTACTTGGTCCCTTTAACACCGTCGATGGCACGAGTGCAATGGAACAAAGCCTTTGTGTATGTAATCTAATAGGGTGTGCTCGCGTTGGTGGCTAGACGGAAACAGACAGCTCGGGTTGCCTCTTTGTTCTGCCTCAGGACCAGGCCTTATTGAAATGTGCACCGACGCTACAGAGCAGGCCTCAGAGTCGTGTTCTGCAAATTTGCAAAGGCCAACGGTTACAGTTTCCCGCGAGGAATAACACCACGACCAAGCTGAACATGGCGGCCAATCCTAACGGCTACCCGCCCAAGACGCCGGCATTCCTCGATCTGCAGCGGAGAGCGGGCTTCAGGCACGAGATTTATAGGACAGAGGGAAAGTCTAATATCGATCCGAACAACCTCGTTCACGCCACGGCTATTGCAGCTCGGACACAGCCCGTCGCGGGCGTAGGCGCCTTCCAGCAGGGGCCGGCACCGCGATCTGCTGCTGCCAAGGCACTGCTCATCGCTTCAATCGCGAACCGAGGCACGGTCGGCGCACGTACGGGGATATATGACGAGCGCTATCGCGGCCCAACTATAGCGCCCTTTGACCGAGGCTGGGCTGGAGGTCAGCTGAATGTAGCTGCTGCTCGAGCCCAAATGGCGTCCAATAACCTATCTTTCGTGAGGCAGCTCGGGTGGGTGAGTGACGTCCAACGGCTCTGTGGATGTAAATCTGCGATCGTGCATTCACTACAGGACAGACTAAGTTCCTAAAAGACGAGAAAAGATGCTTTAGAGTCCTGCTTTGGTGTTGGCTAATGTGCAATCTGACCATGCGATGGCAGGGCGAAGACGGCACTGCGACCCTTTGGCACTATTCGAATCCTGCACCTGGAGGAAATGATGGCAACGTCGTCTGCAAAGTTAGGTACTCTCAAACCGCTAATAACTTTATCAATGAGGACGATAAGTTGACCGTGAGTTGGCGTCTTGGTCTTCCTCCCTTTTATGCTTCCCTGGGGTGCAACAAAACAACCCCAGCGAGGCTGTCCAAGCCTGGCGAAATATAGTCATCCTGGAACTAGAGAAAAAGACTCTGATTCGTGATCAACGGTCTCCTGAGACGTAGACACTTAATCGAGCCCCGCACCTGCAGCATCGTGCCGAGCTGTCGGACTTGTTATTTCCGCCTCCCAATTTTCAAGCCGGATTAGACGCCATAGCTCTCGAATTCAGCCCAGACCACTCGTGGACACCATACGCAAGACAAGGGGACTTGCGGGCATGGTAAGTGGTTTCTGGGAGGAAAGAGCTCGGTCCATTGTCAGCGGTCTTTCCAGTGTGGTCTACGTACCGGTGCGGCGTGTACTCAATTGTGCAATTCAGCAACTTCGTGGATAGCCAGTTGACGAGGTAATAGGATAGCTAGGGTGACTGAGCAGGGGGAGGCATTCCCTAAAGCGGTGCTCTGGCAGTTCTTGCGATGTCGTGAGTAGACCTGGTTGCTGATATTGGCGATGGCATCTTCCCCGTCCAAGGCCACATCGATAGACAATTCAAAGCACCATGGTCAGCTAAACTCTATTTGTAGTTACTGAAGCTTGTATCGCCTTGGCATACCCTCCAAGAGACCAAGTCTTGCCTCCTCATCCACTCTATGGTCCAGATCTGCCGGAAGTCATACCGCCGGCTGGAGCGGCAGCCGCAGGCTACGGAAATATTGTCCACACTGCTCTTGACCCTTCATGCAGTACAGTTCATCTCCCGATCCATCAGCATCCACATTGTGCTAATGGCAACGTAGTATTTATGGACTACAATAATACTCATATCAACGTGCCCCGGCTGCAGGTACAGTTTTCCTTTGAACTCACACAGCCTGTCGAGGTTCATCGCCGATGCTCATCCAGGTTCATAATTTGCTAAACTACGAATGCAGGTCGGAGACTTCGGTCGCTCTGTCGACCCAGGACAGTTGGGTCTCCCGATTTTCATGCCGCCAAATAACTTCACCAGACTGTAAGGCGAACGCATTTCTTACCGATGTAAATCTTTGTTCCACGTGTTTCCGGTCGCACGCCCCGTTTGCCTCCCACTGACGGCTCGAGCTAATAATGTACACAGGAGCCGCCTTTGGTCGGAAAGACTTGGTGGAAAGGACGGCTGGTGGTTGCCTGAGCACTTCAGTGCTGAGTGGGATAATGTCAACTACGAGCCTTTCTCCGAGGGCCTCACGAACTTTGCCACGGGCGCAGGCGCAGCAGGGGCATTCAACGAGAAGAGCAACGTTTTCCACATCGGAATGGTAGGCTTAAAAACACTTGGGTAGCATATGACATTCCCAAGACCCAGCTGACGGCCCCTTTTGCAGTTGATCTGGTGCTGCATGCTGCTGCACGTGCCGGAAACCCCCCCGAGATCAACGCCGATACCGAAGTCAGGGGCCAACATGGGCAACCAAGGGTGGACCTACGTCGGCGAAATGAGACAGCGGATGTACCATGAAAAGTTCGGGAGAGTCCTCTGCGATCTAGTCAGCGACTGCTGCAAGCACATGCCCGCGGACCGGCCTGGTCTGGGCGCGCTGGCGGCGCGGGTGGCAGCCGGGGTGGCTCGCAACCCGATCACAAACGACGACGCCAACTTTGTTCAGAGAACGTTACAGAATCCCCCGCCTCCGAATCCAGAGCCCGGCACTGTGGCTCCTGGGGCGCGCTTCGTACTGCCGTGGTGAGCCATGCGAAGTGCGGCAACAAGTTGCGCTATGTCACTTCTCGCCAACTATACATCGAGAAAGGAATAAAAGACAGTGCCTGGGCTTGTTTGGGAGCTCTGAAGCCACATTTGCGGCGGCACAACCAAAGCAAGGGCCTTTGTGATCATTTGGGGGTGAGAAAGCACTTGGGAGGTCACGGTGGCTGCTTTGCCTCGGAACTTTGAGATGGTACGACAGCCAACACCTTTGTGGAAGTACTTAAGGGAGTGTAATTGTGCCGCATTAGCGGCGTCGCTTTTGCCTTCAACAACCTTCACATCAGCGCTTGGTGTTGCGTTGCCGTCGGGGTCTGTAGCTGGATAGGTACCGACAGCTTTCTGAATAAAGCATATGTAATTAGGCGCATATCAGGATATCAAACTGTGTCCGATTTTCTGTCGACTTGCTAGTGCCAAGCGTGCTCCGTCGCCTAATTGGCGTACAGGTTCGATGAGCTCTTTCGGGACTCCGAAACCCATCCATCCCAATCGTTTCTTTGACGAGCTGCATTGCTTCCGCTGACACTAGTTACCTTCCAATATGAGCGCAGCCGCTTTCTGCGCCACTGCGTAGAGAAGCGGCATGGGATGGGATGTGATCTCGTAAGGCAGGACGCCGGCGTCGACGACCCTAAGCTTCTTGGTCCCGTATACCCTAAGCCAAGATTACTGTGTCAGTCTCAACATTCTGTTATATGAGGTCCGAAGCTTAAGGACCATACTTACTGCAGCTTAGAATCCACCACGCCACCGAGATCCCTCGGCAGCATCGCCGTGCTCCCAACCCAGTGGCTTGCGCCAACTCCCGTGCTCTTGTACCATGCCAACCACTCAGAATCGGTCCCGTTGGGACCGATCGGGGGGTCATAGAACGGGTCGGCCACGATGTCGCTGAAAGGCGCACTGGCGAACATGGTCCGAGAGCGTCGAGAGGTGGTGACTGCCACGTCTCTGTCGAACTCGTCGGTGAGAAATCTGGGTGTGATCATTGGGTTGTCAAATGGGTTGGACGAGTTGATGTGGACGTGCCCGCGCGATAGGGGCATCAGGGGCCAGAAGATTGCAGAGAGCACGGTTGGATAGCTCTCGCCTATGAACTCAGCCACCGGAACTGTTTGGAGATGTCAGCCGAAATATTGATAGGACTTTCCCTGTATAGAATATTTTTCCTTTTTTCACTCACAATTATGACTCACGATCAAGTCGATAGTCGTGTTGAGTATCGCCATAGCACCTTGTAGTGTGGCGGCTCCACCTGCAGCGACTAGGCCCTGTGCTCGAGCCTTGAGGTTGTCGGGAGAACTAAGCTGAGTGTAAAGGTCACCATATTCTGGAGATTCGTAAATCAGCAGGTCAAATCGCCACGGGACGGCACCTAGATATACACTCACCGGCACCCCATATTTGCTCGACGTTGACCAAGGATATCTCCGGCGCGAACAGGATCCGACCATCAATCAAAGATGTGTCATTCTGATACGCTTCAGAAACTAGTGCAGATGTGCCGGTGCCGGGCTGGTCAACGAGATTGACACCGACACCAGGGAGGTCTACGAGTTGCTGGATTCCAGCCGCTTCCAGTACGTCGGAGCTGCCGATACCCGACCTCTCAAGGACAGGCACAGTTGCAAGAGATCCAGCAGCAACAATGACCTCCTTGTTGGCGTGCACGGCGTGTAGTCCAAGTTGACTTCCGGGGACATCGGCACCAGGCTGTTTTCCAAATATCACGCTGCTGACCGTCAAGTCTTCTCTAAACAGAACTCTGTCCACTTTATGGTTGGTCAGGACGGTGAGGGTTTCCCGATGCTGGTCGCTGGCCCACAGATACCCATCGGCTGCCGAGGAGCGGCGGTTTTCGCCAGTATCGTAGTCATGCCAAATCGTCCACGATGAGGAGGCTGAGACAGTACCGTCCAATGACCGGTTGGACAAGTCGTTGCCGATGGTCAGTCCAGGGAAGACTAAAGGAAGTGACTCCTTGTACAGCTCCACTGCACGTGGGATGCGCATTGGTATCTACCTCTAGAGGTTAGATTATGTTAAGTTCCCCTTTACCTGTCGTGGCAGCTCACCGGAAAGGATACGTTGATGGAGCCATGAAAGCCGTGGACGTCAGGGTCGAGACCTGCCCCATGTGATATTTGAACTGGGTCAGGTGGTGTGTTTCTTTCGGCCGCCGTCATGTACGGCTCGAGTGAGTCCCAGTTCCATCCCGGATTCCCCAATTCCTCGAGTTTGTCAACTTCTGTCTGCGTCGGCCTGAACCACATCAAGCCATTGACTAATCACAGCGTTGTCAGCAAGTACTAGTCCCTTCCCATGATATCTAACCATAAATGCGTCCACCTACTGGATGTGCTTCCGCCAACGCAAGCACCACTGTCAATAGTCCACGGAAACAAACTCCCTTCCTCGTCGTATGCAGGGTAGAGCCAGTTGCAATACGAATCATGCTGCACTCGGTCCTCAGCGTTGTATATCCTGTGATTCCACCTAGGGTCCGGGCCGGCCTCGATGATAAGCGTAGAGAAGCCCTTTTCGCTGAGTTTGTTGCCAACGGTTAAGTTAGGGTCTGCACATTCGGCCCACCCCCTGATTCGGCCCACTAAAACGATCCTCCTTGCTACACTACCCCTTTAATTAAAGTTACTTTAAATTATCGTTACTATTTATAATAATGCATTTCTTTGCATTTATAGTGTTTTTAAAAGCATTTATTTTTATTAAGTTATCCTTAATTATATTGGCATTAATTTATATTTTGCATATATGCTTAATTTTAATAAATATAAAGTTTAGGCTTATTTTAACCTTCTTTCTTTTTTAAGGTATTATAGTTATTAATTTATTTTTAAGGACTTAATTCTTTTGCAAGAGCATTATTAATTGCTAATCTTTTTTATTATATCCTTTTTAAACCTTTTTAAAGAGTAGTTATTAAGTTATAATTAAGTATTTTTATAAGTTATAATTAGCAAAAGTAACCTATATTTTTTAAAATACTTTAGGGGTTAAAAACCCTTTTTTATAGCTTAATAGGTATTAAAGTAATTAATTTAAGTTTTTTAATTTTTATAGCGTTATTAGAAATAGGTATAAATATTATTTTATTAGAGTTTTTAAGTATAATTGTATTTATTAGTAGTTTAGCTATATTAATTAGCTATAAATTAATTTCTTATTATTTAAAAAGCATATGCTTTTCTTTAAATGCTGTAAATCTTGCCTTTTAATAGTAATAAAAAAATAATTGCTTTTTAATATGGGTATTATTAATATAAAGGTTTAAAAGATTTGCTTTCTTTTTATATGCTGCTTTAAGGCTAAAGAATACCTTGAAATTAAGAAGTTATAATATATATAAGGTATATAGTGGTAAATAAAGGTAATAAATTTTATATAAGAAATATTTTTATATAAACTTTAAAGTATAATAGCTTTTATACTTATTTATTATTAATAAATATTATTCTTTAAAAGTATTTAGCTTTATTTAAGGAATAAAGATTTTTTATAGCTATTTAAGTGTTATAACATTATTTATTTAGCTATTTAGCATTGCTATAAACTCTTAATTCTTATAAGCCTTAAGAGTTTTAAATTACTATTATTAAATTAACTTTCCCTTAAAGATAATAAGGGGAAGGTATGATTTACTTATTATAAAAATGTATTTAAGGAAAGAAGTTTATATATATAATTTATGGCTTTTTTAAGTAATAACCTTCCTTTTTTTAAGTTTTAAAATAATGCTATTCTTCCCCTTACCCTTAGCTATACCCCCTTTATTAGCGTTATAACAATTTTTAAATAAATATTTATAATTGCTAGCAGCTAAAAAAGATTAAATTACTTTTTAATTATGCCTATTTTTGCTTTATTTACTTAGCTTAAAGTTATTTAATGGCTTTATATACTTTAAATCTTAGAATTTTTAATAAAAAAAGCTTTTAATTAATATTTATTAAAGGGTAGTTAATATTTTTAAGGAATAGCTATTTAAGCTGCGAAAGACTTTATTTTAAAATATATTATTAATAGCCTTAATATTGCTTAATTAATTACTTAATTAAATAAATATATTTTTTAGGTTTATAATAACCTTATTTAAAATTTTAAGGCATTTAAATAGCTTTAAGCATTATAATAATAATTATAAAGTGTAGTTCTTAGGATGCTTTAATATAAGAAGGCCTTTTAAATATCGGCGCTAACTATTGGAATATTTTAAATGTTTAGGCTATTATTAATACGGGATATCCTTTTCCCCATATGTTTGCCATTATATAGAGGATAATAACTATAAATAGGGGCCTTTCTTTTTATTAAATAAATATTAGCTAGCTTAATAAATTAAGCATTTAACGCTATTATTTAATAAGTTATAAGGCTTGAAGCTTACCTAAAACGGCAATGCTAACTTAATATGGAAAACGGCTAACTTAATATAAAAAACGTACATTACATAATACTCTTAATTGCTATTACTTCTTAAACCTTTTAAATAAGATAAGCTTTATACTTAAAGATATACTTTTTAACTAATTATTTAATTAGGTTAATTAATAAACCCTTAATTAATTAAATTGCCTTATTTAATATTATAAATTAACTTTATCTTTTAACTTAAAGCTTATATATAAAAACTATACCTCCTTTACTTAAATACTTAACTGTTTTTTTATTAATACTTAACCTACTTATATAATTTATATATTATTTAAAAGCCCTTATTAAGAATAATAAAAGCATTTCTTTAAATTTTAAAAATTATATTAAATTAATATTAAAAATATAAATTTTAATGGAATTATAATAATTCTTAAACTCCCTTAGAAATACTTAATTACATCTTAGTTATCTTTAATCCATAATATCTTAAAAATATATTATTTAAAAGCCCTTTTTTTTTATACTTATATTACTTTAATATTTATATTTTTATTTCTTAACCCATTAAGCTTATCTAAAATTTACTATATTTTTTTCTTTATTATTTTAATTATCTTAATAAATACTTTATTTATTTATCTTAAAATAGCATCCTTTAATAAATATAATGTTTTACTTTTTAATAAAATGGAAAACTATATATATTAAAGTATTAAAATTTAAGCCTAGCTTAAAAAAGAAAACGCTATTAAGAATGATTTTAAGAATCTTTTTTAAGGCTTATTTTTAGCTTAAATTAAAAGAGCTTTTATTAATATTAAACTTATATATAAGCAGGGGCTTATTATATTTATAAAAAATATAAATAATGCTTAAGAAGTATAAGATATATTTAAATCTTATTATAAACTTTTTAAGTTTATAAGTTAATATTTACTTTATAAAGAGTTTTTTAATATTAATCTTAATAATTTTAAGATTATAAAAGAATATATTAATAAATTAAAGCTTTTTTTAAAAAACTTAAAGGCTAATAATATAATTCTTTTTAAATAAGTTATAATTAGCTAAATTTTTTATAGCTTAAATAATAAATATACTATCTTTATTTAAAATATAACTTAAAGTCTTAAAAAAGATTTAAATGCTTATATAATTAAATTTTTCTTTTTTAGCTTATTAAATGAAAGTAAAGGGAAACCCTTTAAATTATTTAAAAAAGCTTTATATATAAAGAGCAAGAAAGATAAGAAAAAGACTATTATATGCCTTAATTGCAAAATAAAGGGCCATACTTAAGAGAATTGCTATTTCCTTTATTTAAATAAGGCATCTGTTAGCTAGAAAATAAATAAATAAAGAAAAGAAAAGGAAAAAACTACTTTTTTAAGGAAGAATAAAAGTTAAGAGAAATGAGAGAAAATATAAAAGCAACTCCTAGCTTTATTAGCTAATATAAAGTTTTTTATAGCTTTAAAAGGTGCTTAGGAAGAACCTATGGCCTATATAGTTATAGATAATTTAGTAGAAAATATTAAATATAATGAGAATTTATTAAATTTCTTATAACTCTCTTTCGATAATTTAATGGAAATTAAGGTAAATAACCCCTTATATACCCTATATATATATATAATAATCATAGCAGTTAATAATAAATTTATAGGAAATTAATAATATATAGATTTTATAGAAATAATTATAAATATTGCTATAAATATAATAAGTTTCCAAGATATTTATCTCTTTAATACTATATATATAACTAATAAAACCGTAAAATGAAGTAATGCAAGTACTATATCTATAAATAAAATAGGGGACTTAATAATTAAGTTTCCAAAAATAAATATTATAAAGAAATTCTTTAATATATATTATATGCCTTTTTTAAATTTAAATATACTTAATTATAAGTATATAAATAATAAAATTAAATTAAAATTAAAAGGAAATATTATTAAATTATACTTTTAAGAAATAAATAAGCTAATAACTTAAAGATATTAAAAAGATAGCTTATACTTTATAAGAATTAATATAATAAAATAAATAAATAAGCTTAAATATACCTTTTAAAAAATATATATAATATAATAAAATTTAAATATAAATAATAAAAATAAAGAAAAAATATATAAATAGCATTATAAACTAAGTTATATAAATATTTAAGCTTTAAAAATATTTCTTTAAAAATATAAAATAAATATATTAATAAATAAACTTATTTAAAAATATATAAGTAATTATAAAGTATACTTAAAAGCTAAGCATGTAATTAAAATAAATAAGATTAGCCTAAATAACTAAGTATATAATATACTTAAAAGAGTATATAGTGATATAGGCGGTTTCTTAAAACTTATATATGATAAATATAAATATTATATATTATTCCTTAATAAAAAGATTTAATATTTAAAAGTTTCTTTGCTTAAAAATAAAGATAAAGCATTAAAAGCTTTTAATAATTATAAAAATAAGGCAAAAAATAAATATAATAAAAAAATAAAAGAATTCTTTATTAATAATAAAGATGAATATATAAATAAAAGATTTAAAATCTTATTAAATAAATACTTGATAAATTATTATATAATGCCCCTATATATAAAAGAACTAAATGGCTTAATAAAAAGATTAAATTTAACTATAATAAATAAAGTTAAAAATTTTTTATATATGGCAAATTTGCCTATATATTTATAAGAAAAAGCAATAAAATATGCTATATATTTATATAATATTATACCCTATAAAAGCCTAGGGTATAAGTGCTCTTATAAGGTAATAAATAAGAAGAAGCCTTATATAAATAACTTAAAATTATAGGGATTTATTATATATTTTTAGAATAATAATTATAAAACTAAATTAAAACCTAGAAATAAAAAGGGCATATTATTAAATATAATCCTAAAATTAAATATATATTAAGTATGGGATATAAATAATAAAAAGCCTATATTAATTTAAAATGTTTAGATATTAAAAGGGCAATATATAAATAATAATGATATTAATATTAATAATAACAATAATAATAACGATAATATATATATATTCCCAGAATTATAAGAATAAAGGAAAGAAAATTCCCCTCCTATTTTAAATGAGATAATAGTTTAAGGAAATTTAAAAAACTATATATATATTATATAAGATATATTATTAAATAACTAAATATTTATATTAAATTCCTAAGAAAATATATTAAAATACTGCTTAATTGTAGCTAATATTAATAAACTTTCTTCTTTGAAAAAGGTATTAAATAACTTAAAAAAACCCCTATAGGTTAAATTTATGCTAAATGAAATATATAGTTTATAAGAACAAAATACTTATATAATAATAAATTTACCATTTAATCATATGGCTTTAAGGGGGAAATAAATATATAAAAAAACATTTATAAATAACTTAGCTATTATAAAGCTTAGTTAGGTAATAAATAATAAGAATAATATTAAATTTAAATTTAAATAAGTTATTTAAAGATATAACTAAAAATTAAGCATAAACTATTTAAAGACTTTTTTTATAATTTACCGCCCTAAGATTTATACTATGCTATTAATAATAGCAATAAATAAAGGATATTATATATATAATTATAATGTTAAAAATGCGTTTTTATATTTTAATATTAATTTTAAAATATATATAAAATTACTTATATATATATATAATAAATTAAAATATAAAAATAAAGTTGCAAAACTAAATAAAGCTTTATATAGGCTAAAATAATTACTTATGTTTTAGTATAAATACTTAAAAAATATATTAATTAAGCTAGGATTTATTATTTACCTATATAATAAAGGGGTATTTATATACCTTAATAAATAAATTATATTTATATATTATATAAATAATATTATTATTATAAAACTTAATAATAATGATATAAATTTAATAATTAATAAACTATATAAGAATATAAAATTAGATTTTTAAGGAGATTTAACAAATTTCCTTAAAAGCGATATATATATAAATAGAAAAGATAAATAAATAATTATAAACCAAAATAAATATATGGATAAAATATTAAAAAGATTTAATATAAAAGAAAAGATTGAGAAAAAGGAAATAATCCCTTAATTTATATTATATACCCCTAATAAAAAATTAAAAAAATATATTAATTAAGCTAATAAAAATACTATAGAATTATATTAGCAATAAATAGGGTTTATATTATATGCTAGCTTAAAAATAAGGCTAAATTTAACTTATTTTATAAATAAGTTAGCTAAATATATGGCAAACCTAGGGCTAAAGTATATAAAAGAATTAAATAAAATATAAGGATATATATATAAATTCCCATATATATCTAAAGTATATAATTGCTTTAAAAATAATTTATAATTAATAAGCTATATAAATTTAAATTAAGGTAACGATATATCCATTAAAAAAAGCACCTTAAGTTATATATTTAGCTTATATAATATTAATAATAATAATAATAATAATAAAATAAATCTCATAAGCTGGAATTCTTAGCTATAAAAAATATTAACACTTTTTTTATAAAAGCAAAATATATGGCATTAAGAAAAGCCATAAAAAAAGCTAAATATTTATATAATTAACTTAAATATTTTAATAATAATTTAAATATTAGCTTTAATCTTAAGCCCTTTATTATATATATAAATAATAATGGGGCTAAGAAATTAGCTAAAAATACTTTATTCCATAAAAGAATTAAATATATAAATATTGCATATCATTATATAAAAAAAGCAATAAAAAATAATAAAGTAATATTAAAATATATAAATTTTAAGCAAAATTTAGTAAATTAGCTTATAAAATTAATAAATAAACTATATTATAAAGAGTTTAAAGAAAAGTATAGTTTAATAGAAAAATAATATAAATATTAAGCTAGAAAATAAAGAGATTTTCTACCTATATTATAATATGCGCAAAATAAATTAAGGTATTTACTTTTTAATAACTAGGGTTAAGATTTTTTTCTTTATTTATAAAATATATAAATAAATAAAGCGAACTTAATTATATATATATATAATATTACTTTAAATATTAAAGATTTTCCCCTAAAAGAAATAATTAAAATAATAAAGGTTTTTCCTAAAAAATAAGCGTTACTTATATAGCTTATATATACTATATATACATAGTTATAATATACCTATACTATGTTTATATATATCTTATTTTATATAGAAAATGTATTTTCATAATATATATAATATAAATAAAATAACGTATAACTTTAATGTGTAAAAATGCCGTAATATATTATAGCTATTATAAAATAATTAGTAAATCCTATATAAAACCATAATTTAATATGTAATACTTTATTGGTTATAAGTTTAAGTTTAAGTAATAGCAAATTTTTAGGTTTTTTGCTTATATATATATATATATATACTTATATAAGTGAGTTTTTTCCTTTTTATAAGGTTTTCTTATTATATAGCGAATATTCCTCCTTTATAAACTAAATCCCTTATATATAATAAATAAATAAATAAAAGGGAATTAGTTTAAGGGGGGCTGTTGGAATATTTTAAATGTTTAGGCTATTATTAATATGGGATATCCTTTTCCTTATATGTTTGCTACTGTATGGAGGATAATAACTATAAATAGGGGCCTTTCCTCCCGTTGAATAAACGTTAGCTAGCCTAATAGACTAAGCATCCAACGCTATTATTTGACACTAACTTAAATTACCTTAAGTGCTATACCCACGTTTTCTTTCGTATATGGCTTTATAATTAATAAATAATAATATATTGAAAATTTAAAGAGAAGAGAAAATTCCGTTGTAAAGAAAACGCGTGATATGTGATGAGGTGAACTTAATGCGCATGTAGGTGTGGAGTGGGCCGAATTAGGGGGTGGGCCGAATGTGCAAACCCTGACTTATTCCTGTAAGCCCCGCGCCGACAATAACATAGTCAAAGGTCCTGTTCGTGGCTACCAACGTGTCATTGGTGATGATCGTGGCTCGTACACCGACACCAATTGCACCGAAAACAATTTTTGGTTTCATATCAGCAGTGAAAAATGCCTTCACGTGTTGGACTAGGTGAGGTGGTGAGGAGACAAAGGTTTGCTGCATGTCAGCATCAGGTCTGGTGCTTCTCTTCGCAAGCGTGCTCCGCTAACGCGATCAGGACCTCCCCTGCCTGTATCGTCACCTGCTACAGGCTGCGAGCCCCTCATCACGCGTCTGGGGTGGTATTGCAGTACGGCACCACTGGGTAAGCTGGGAGACTTTTGGCTAACTATTCATTTGTTATGCCCATTGCGAAAGGCATCGCCGTGCGGTCGACGCACAAATAGTAAGAGTTAGAGCCAACTCTTCACGAAGTCTGTCACAGAAAAGACTAAAGGGAAAGCTTTCGCTAATAGAAGCTGGAATGCAATAGTGTTTGCCCCCATGGATCTATTTTGCGCCGTCAACATGCCAAGATTACAGTCTGTGTCTCCGTGTCGTACCTAGACAATGTCATCTTCGCTGGCATGTCAAAGATGACAGTGTAGCTAGAACTTATTCGTCTTCCTCCCGAAACTGCGTGAGCATTGAGCGAGGAGGCCATTTCCCAGGCCCTTGATACGAAACATCAAACTCATGGTGCCCGGAACCCACCCAACTGCCTTCGTCAGCGTCCTTGTGTCCCGGCAACACAACGAGGGCCTCCGTGTTGGGCGGCACGTCGAGGTTGAGCTGAATCTTTTGCCCCTCTGACAGATTCCATTTGACACCAATCGTCCCATATGGACTCTCAAAACTGATATTGGCGCTTGTCAGGTCCCCTCCAGGCACAGGCGCAACCTTGAACTTCTTCCACCCAGGCTCCAGCATGCTGATGCCTCCCACAACCTCGTGCAACCACCTCGCCACAGAGCCGAGGGCGTAGTGGTTGAAGCTCGTCATCTCGCCAGGGTTGATGGTCCCATCGGGGAGCATGCTGTCCCACCTCTCCCAGGTGGTCGTCGCTCCCATGGACACGGGGTAGAGCCAGGACGGGCACTCCTTCTCAAGCAGCATCCGGTATGCCAATTGCACGTGCTCCTTGTTCTGCGACAAGGCATGAAGCACAAGAGGCGTCCCCGCGAATCCCGTAGAGACGCGGAACTTGGAGTACCTGACCAGTCGAGCAAGGCGGTCCGCCGCGTTGCGGGCTTGCTCCGGCGACGAGTGGAGCGAGAAGCAGAGGGCCAGGGACAAAGCCGTCTGCGAGTCCCCAAAAACCAACCCCGACCACGCAACATAAGCACCCTGGAACGCAGCCTTGAGCCGCGTGTAGTCCGCCTGGTACTTCGCCGCCAGGGCCTCCTCCCCGACGACGGCAGAGATCTTGGCCATCAGCCCAGTCACATACACGAGGTAGGCGTCGGCGACGAGCGTGCCGTCCGTGCGCGCCAGCCCGGGCTCCGAGGGCGGCGCGTTGGGGTCGAGCCAGTCGCCCAGCTGCCAGAGGGCCGGGTCCCAGAGGAGGCCGTTCCGGGGGTCCCTGCGGATGGACTTGTCGATGTACGTCCGCATGCTCGGCAGCTGGCGCCGGAGCACGGCGGCGTCGCCGGTCCACCGGTAGATCACCCAGGGCAGGATGATGGCTACGTCGTCCCAGACGGCCTGGGGTTCGTTGGGCCAGGAGGACCGACCGGTGAGGACGTCGGGGATGACGACGGGTACGATACCTCCGGCTGCGGCTTGGTCGACTGCGAGGTCTTGCAGCCAGTTCGCGAGGAAGCCGCCGCTGGAGTACAAGAATGAAGCTGTTGGCGAGAATACCTGGATATCGCCCGTCCATCCCAGCCGTTCATCACGCTGGGGGCAGTCGGTGGGAACGGACAGGAAATTGCCTCGCATACTCCACAGCACGTTGGAATGCAGCTGATTGACCAGGCTATTGGAGCATTCAAAGTGCCCGGTCCGGGTCATGTCTGAGTGCATCACCAACGCAACGATGTTGTCTGCTGTTGGTGGGTTTTTCTGGTCGTCGAGAGTCCATCCTTCAAGTTGAAGAAACCGAAATCCATGGAATGTGAACTTTGGAGTCCAGTCCTTCAACGTAGTTGCCTTGCCGAAGATGATTGTGTCTTCGGCCCCAGCACTACGCAGGGGACGAGTTCCGAGTTCCCCGTTCTCAAGCACCTCGGCGTGCCTCAACTTCACAGTCTGGCCTTCTTGGAGCTGCAAAGGCTCAAGGATCTGGATTTTACCGACGAGGTTCTGTCCAAAGTCGATCAGAGTCTTGCCGCTCTTGCTTCGGAAGATCTTCTTGGGACGAACGGTCTCGGTGACTCGCACCGGCGGGACGTCAGGCGATATCAGCGAGATCTCGTCCCACTTGAAACCGAGCACAGAAGCCTTGTCCCAGCTCTGGTCTTCGTCGAAAGAGGCACCTGTCCAGTCGCCTGCAGGATCATCGCGCACGTCATATACCTCTCCGTCGTATAGCTCGCTCGTCACGAGGCTTGACGAGTGCGTCGACCAGGAATCATCCGAGATGACCTCCTGTATGACACTCCCATCGGGCTTCTGAATCTCAAGCTGCGCCAACACGCCCAACTGGTTTCCGTACACATTGCGGACGCCTTCGACCCAGGTGAGCCGGCCAGCATACCATCCCTCGGCTACTTCGACCCCCAAGACATTCTGGGACGTCCAGTCGAGATGGTCGGTAACGTCGAACACTTGGTATGGCAGCCGGTGATTGTAGCTGGTCCACCCCGGGGTCATCTGCAAGTCTCCGATACGGGTGCCATTGACGTGAGCTTCGTAGACACCCAATGAGGTGATGTAGAGCCTCGCTCTTGGCTTTCCGCTAGCGGGCAGCTTGTCCTTGACGTCGATATGGAACACTGGGCTCCTGAATCGAAGGGGCCGGTGTGGCTTGTCCTTGGGTGTCTGCTGTGAAGATGTGATGAACTCGGCCTTCCAGTCTGATCGCTGAAGCAGGCCGGTTTCCACATGTTGCGGTGCAGTCCACCCGCTGTCGACTCTTCTCCGTCACGGGTGCCAGCAGCCTTGACCCTGACAGTCGCTGTTTCCCGAGACTTGAGCGGCTTGGATGGCCAGGGAACGAAGAGGGACTTGTCTGTTTCTTCGACGCGAAAGTGCTCGTCTTCGGGCTGTCCGGGCTTGGATATCTCCAGTTCGTACGACGTCTGCTTCCAATTCTTGGCTTCTCCAGCGAAGCTCCAAGACAGGCGTGGCTCAGCTGTTCCTATACCCAGAGGATCTGGGTCAGGGTGGTGGTCGAAGCGAACGGTGGTCACTTTGATGTCCGCCATGATTGAATATGTTATTCTGTGGACTTGATAAGGTGGAATTCTTGCCGGCAAGCTAATCCCACGGTTTGGGATAATTCAGAGGAGCGGCTATCCTGAGAAACGAGAGCGGTCGAGATTGAAAGTGCGTTGTGACAGGCTATTTCGGTTACTCGTGGATTCATCCTTAGCTTGGAATCCCAGAATACAAGAAATCTGACTTGAGGCTCGTTGATACAAATAATGCGCGTCGGTACAAGTCTTGGGTGACGCCTTGGTAGTTCGTTGTCGAGAACGATACCGAAGATTAGCCACCAGCTAACACGAACTGGGTCGAGAAGCAGCCGAGACACTGACCTTTGCCCAAATCTGAGAAAGCATCTGTTCTTGGCCCAAGTGCTTGGGTGATGTTACTAGTGGTGTGGTCTGGCTCTGCAACCCTCTCCAAAACCAACCATCCCCCGCTCTGAGCGGCCCTCGGCATTTCCGAGTCTATGCCCAGGTTGAGGGCGGCCTTGGCCTCGCGACGACTTCAGTCCGGAAAGCCAGCCCGAGGCCAGGGCCTCTTCTTGCTGCTGTAAACCCCACGGTTCTACCCCAGATTCTGACTTCAAGGTACTGATGGGACCGGCAGATGAATGTTTACCCGAATATGGGGTAGATGTAGATACCAAGGCTGACCCTTTGCCACATGGCAGCCCTTGTGTCTGGCCAAGTGATAAGGGCAAAATAAGGGGGCACCCCCTTGAGGGCCTGTCTACTTCGTTTGGGCAAGAAACATAAATGTAACCTGGTCGCTGGATATGGCCAATCTCCTGTTCCTGCTCTCCTGCCGCAGTGAGTTGTCTATCAATCTGTTCTGACTGGTCTGAACAGCCTCCACGCAGATCCTATCGGACGGTTTGATCCCTTTACGGTACCATAACTGCTTGTATCTGGGAACACACCATGGGTAATTGGGCTCAATATTATATTCCAGCCACCGCAGCCATTGGCACGGCGATGTACGGCATCGACACCGGCATCATTGCGACCACGATCGGCCACCAAAGCTTCAATGATCACATGTTTCCTCCTGATGGAGAAGATGCTGCTCTGATAGGCAAGCTTCGTTTACGCGCGACTCCAACGCGACTGACAAGACTAACGTCAAATTGGTTGTTGATTAGGTGCCGTCGTCTCCGTCTACAACGCCGGCCAGGCAGTTGGAACCCTATTCGCAGGCTGGACCGCCGACAAGCTCAGCCGCAGATATACACTTACAATCGCGAGCGCCATCGCCATAGTGGGCATCCTGCTGTCCGTGATCGGCACCAATGTCGGCATGTTCATCACGGGAAGGCTGCTCACCGGTTGGTCGTCGGGGATGATCTTGCCTGTCTCTGCTATCTACATGGCTGAGGTCTCCAAGCCCAAGAACCGCGGTATAGTCGTCGGCTTCCAAGGGATGGGCACGGCTACGGGCTTCTTCTTGGCCAACTGGATCGGGTACAGCGGCATCTTCTTCGAGGGTAACCTCCAGTGGAGGTTTCCTCTCAGCCTACAATTCCCCTGTGCGGTCCTCATGCTGATCGGTAGCCTGGTGATCCTGCCCTTCACGCCGCGTTGGCTTGTCTCTCAGGATAGATTCGAGGAAGCTCGTGCTGTCCTGGTGAGGATCCACTCCGACGAGGGCGAGGAGTTCATTGACCAGGAGATGATCCAGATCAGGGAGCAGACAGCACTCGAGAGGAGCTACAAGAGAGTCGGAGGAGAGAAGTGGTACAGCAACTTCCTGATGCTGTTCACGAAGCAATACATCAAGAGGCTGGGCTTTGTCTGCTCCATCCAGGCCCTGACCCAGTTCGGTGGTGTCACAGTCATCCAGAACTACCAGAATATTTTCTACGGAACTGTCGGTTTCACGGGCGATACAGCACTGCTAATCAGTGGAATCTACGGGATCATGGGCCTGACCGGCCAAATCATCAACCTCCTCGTCGTAGCCGGTACGTCCAGCCGCAATTGCCCTGAAAAATGCCCACAAGCAATGACTGATGCACTCCTGAAACAGATCGCTGGCGCAGAACCACAGCACTGTGGGTGGGCTGCCTCGTCCCCGCAATCATGCTGGCCATCTGCGAGGCCCTCAGCGCACTGTTCTCAGACGGCTCCAACCAGGCGGCCTCCCGCACCACTATCGCATTCATCTTCCTCTACTCTGCCTTCTTTGCCATCTTCTTCAACTCCACGATGTGGGTCGTCTGCTCCGAGCTGCTGCCTGTCTTCATCCGCTCCAGTGGGCTGGCCGTGGGGACTTTTGCCTCTGGTGTGGCCTCCATCGTCGTCTCTCAGATTACCCCCGTTGCACTAGAGAATATCTCGTGGAGGTGCTACAATGTGTTCATCGCAGCAAACCTCCTGGGCATCGTGGTCTACCTCTTCTTCCTGCCCGACACCAAGGGCAAGACTCTGGAGGAGATTGGCGAGCTGTTTGGTGACACGCTCGCTACGGCCCACATCGGGGACATTGACGTTGATGTCAAGCGGGGCGCAGGTGTGATCGAGCTTGAGAACGCTAGCTATACTAGGAGTAGGGACGTCTGAGATGGCTATCGACGTTGGTCGCCAGCTGAATGAATTCCACAACTGTAGTATCATGACCGTCTGTCCCCAACATTCGCTGCAGCGAATCGCTATTGAGAAGCAACCCTCTAGCAGCCCCCCTATTGTCGAAAGATGGGGCTCAATATCGCCTTTCTGGCGAAAGCCTACCACCTCCACATTTGCCGTTTTGCTGTTTGGTGGCGTGCGCGATGGCGACAACACTCCGCGACAACCTCCAAAGTCTGTGTAGAGTTGTACTGCGTAACAAAAGTCAAGATTCCATCGAGAAAATCGTGTGCTTCCCGCAATTATCAGTGGTCATGTACACTGCCAGCATCTCCCGACTGGGGGTCGATATCAAATGAATGGAGTCTCATGAGGGCCCCAACCAGATTATCCCAGTGTCTCTCTCGCCACAACCAAGTGTGGCTTCCGTTCATGGCCCATCGTCGCCTCTTGTCATGCCATGCTCCTATTGCCATGGCTTTGGACCTTGAGCAAGCCAGGAATGGTAGAGGGCACAGTAATGGCGGATTTCGTCTTCGGTAAATGGGGCGGTGGTAGGGACCGAAGGAGGTGCGACGTGACCGTCGGGAGTTCCGGCTGGGTTGCCTGCTCCTGCGCTGCCGGCTGGGCCTGGATGCTGTGGTTCATGAGAGTTAAATTTCCTGCATCGAAATTTTGGGGATTTGAAGATTTGGCACGCACTTGAGCCATAGACTGGCCTTGCTGTGGCCGACTCTTTATCCACTCGTCGTATACCTGGTCAACAAAGTCTCCCGGTCTAACCTGAGCACCCCGGGGGGCGACAGTCTCGAGAACGTTGGCTGTGTTGGCTTCAATGCCACGAGGCCCTGGGCTTTGAGCAGGATGAGATGGCGCCGGGGTTGTGTTGACGCTGGGAGTACCGGCACCCGGCTGATTGGGTCCGTGAATATGTGATCCGCTGGCATGCTGTCCTGTTTTGTGCTCGACCTTGATGCGTTTTACAGGACGTTGCTGCATCAGTCCATGCTGAACGTTTCCATGCTGAACGCTTCCAGGCTGAACATGTCCCTGCTGTACCTGTCCATGCTGTACCTGTCCCTGCTGGAAAGTTACGTGCTGGTTGGCCACGAAGTCGAAATTGTATGCCGGGACGCCAGCAGTCGACGGTGCCTGGCTTGTTGGTGTGTTGTGTGAGAGGTTGCTTCCCCAGCTGGTGATATTGTTGGGAACATACATCCCGTTGTTCGGGAAAGCGTGTCCGTAGTGAGGTTGGTTCGCCACGCTGTGGGGGCTCACGCTGGCCAGTTGGCTGACTCCCTCGGCCGGATGGTTCCAGACGTTCATCACATTGTGAGTTGCGGGCGCAGGATGAGGCAGGCTGACAGGGTTGTTATAGGGGCTCGGCGCATAGACGGTACCCATGACGTTGTTCTGCTGGCCACACATGTCAATACATGCTCTACGACAGCGCCATATCAACATGTTCTTTCCTCACCATGTAGGTTCCGGGAGGAGGGCCAGCCTGGTTTGGTTGTTGGCCGCCATAAGGATTGACGGCAAGTGGATAAGTCGGGATTTGAGGGCTGATATAGACAAAGCCTTGCTGCGCCTGCGGCTGTAGGTTGGAGATTGTCACCTCAGACTGCTAGTCTTGCATGGCATTGCCTACCTGGACATAGTTCGGCGTCTGAGCTTGCATCCCGTTGTGGTGGCGCATCATCCTGCTTCGTGCAGGTAGGTACACTCTCCCATTGTTCATACCGCCCGGGTTCTGTGAGTTCTGGCCTTGGGGGAAGTTGTTGTTCATCTTGATGTGAGGAGGGAGTGCTGAGAGGTTCTGGCCAGGTAGCAGAACTAGATGCAAAACATTCGCTGACTAGAAAGTTGGAAGACCAAATTGGTAACGAAAAGGAATTGTGTGAAATAAAGGAAGAGATTGCTTGCTCGCGAGGGACGGGGCGAGTACCACCGACAACCAGTGGCGGAGGACAACCAGCTCAGTAATGGAACTGACTTGATCCGATATGAAGGTAATCAATATCTTGACAAGATCAGGTCCAGCTCTTCTCGTCAAGAATAGAATCTTAAGAAAAGACTATTATGCTTAATAAAACAATCGGTGGTCCTCAACACAGGAGGGGGGGGCGAAAATTGAGGGAGGGTGAAGATTCTTGAGAGAAAATTCGGGATGTGTCCCAGGGTCAGCCTCATCAGTAGGTATGAGAAGAGGGCTAAGTGAATTCTCTTGCTCACGTGGTTCACCTAGTCGATAGCCGGCGTAGCCTCGTCACCCTCGCAGATTCTAGCCGAAGCGACCGTCATATCACCCTGAGCTAGTAAGCCTTGTTTCCACAGTCTTCCATGCCGCACGTATCTATGCCTCTATTGTAGCGCTTTAGGCTCTTTCGCATTTCACTTGGTAGGGCATTTCGAATACTGAATTGTACCTTACAAGCTATGTACTCGGCCCGTTGAATGTTCAGATTGTTGCATAGCAATACACACTACGTAGATTCAGCCGGTGAGGTTTTTGGCATCATTCAACCACGCTGGCGACTCTCATAGAGGCTCTCCGAGGTTAAAGCTTAACCAAGATCGTAACAAAGTCCTTTGCGAGACGTGTAAGGCCAATATCATCTTGAAAATATACACAGGGGGTCTCGAAAGTACCATGAATGTATCGTTGGAGAGAACAACACTGGTACAGGCTTGCAGGTATATGTTACATAGTTAAAACAAAAGGTTTGAAGGGTAGACAAGGCGGGCTGTGTACATTAACGGACCAGACAAGTAGAGGGCTGTAGCCCGTACTAGAAGTAAGCTACGATGACGAATAGTGATCATAACATACGAGCACAACTCTTTCAGTTCTAACTCTGCAACCAGTACGCAGAAAATAATGCACTGTGAACGGTGTGAAAAATCTCGGGGATTCGGGGGGCGTGTTTCTCAAGATAGCCAATTCTCCTCCGGGGCTGAAAATTGCCTATTCGGGCCCCCACGGGGCTCGATCGCCACTACCCAGCACCACACGGTTTACAGGAGATGACACACAGCTGTACATGTATTGATACATGAAGCGATGCCCACGGCGAGGTCCATAAGCGGAATTGTGCATAGCGGGATACAACAATTTAGCAAATAACGACACCCAATCAACTCAGTTTGACTGGGTTTGTGGGCTAGCCTAATTCCAATCTCACACTGGGTGCGAGGTTCGTCCGGTAATCTACCCGGTCTATGGATTCCATTTAGTTCAAGCTAACCAAAGGTAGGTAGACCGGTCCCTCTTGGACTCGCTTTTACGTGGCATAAGCCTGATTCTTGTCATTTAGATTTGTTTATGATCACCAGCCAGGATCCGAGCGTCCTGTGTACCTTACTCTCGGTCTACAGTTCTCTTCCCCTTATACCTACTTCTAAAGGTGTAGAAATACCCATAGACACATGCTGATGACTTTTTAATCTAATCGAGCTCCCTTGATACCTATACATTGCCCATACCATTACGTTGTGACTTCCATGAGATGAAGACCTAGGTAGTCTACCACGAAAACTAAGAGGCCGGTTCTCGCTCATGTGCCACAACACGTCACCGAATCCGATAAGAGCAACGATTAAACAGGCACTGCAGTGACTGCGCCAATAACTGAGGTCTGTGCACAGAAAAACAAAGCTCGGGGGCTTTGTTTTTGTGGGTCCGTCAGTAATTCCCCTATCATCTGGATCTGAATCTGAAGCCCCGTCGACCCGACTTTCTATTCACGAGCATTTGACGTTATCAAGATGCCCGCTACCACGAGAAGCGCCTGGAAGCGATGCACTAGTAACGGGGGCGCCGCCGCGAACCTCACAGGCTCCGAAGAACGAGGACCCCAGGCTTCTGATCCTGTCTCCGGAGTCGATCCCGATGTTGCTTCTGGAAACGATCCCGGCTTCGACACGCCGACGGGTCCTCCACAAACTTCAGACAAAACCAGGGCGTCATCAAAAAGTCGATGGAGGAGGGGAAAACGACCTAAGACACGACGAAACAATACGAAAGCTGTCGAGAAGCTGTATCAAAAGAAACGACGCCTTGAAAAACAAGCGGCCAAACTACGAAACGCCAAAAAGACCGATGGCTCTGCGGCTGGAAGAAGAAGGAGGAGGAGCTGGCCAGTTTTCTAATTCTGATTTCCAACACGACCTCCCAGCCGCGAAAGTCAAACGTAAGCTTCTCTTACAACCGTCCTCCCCATTCCAATGCTGATTACCGATCTAGAGCATCAGACTCCAGCCTGGCACGTTCTCTAATCGACATATCCAGTTGTGGAGAAGTACCCTCTTGCCTTGACATTCTCCAAGACGAGTACCTGGTTGGCCATGGAGGATCATCCATTCTCAAATCTTCTGACTAAAGTCAAATGGGAAGCTTTGAAGAAACAACCCCGAGACGACAATCCCTTGGGAGAAAGATATGGCGCAGCCCCCTTCAAGATCGATCATTCATGTCACCTTTTAGCGGGTCTACTCCAGGTGGTCGGAGTCCTTGCTCCTAGCCCAGCAAAAAAAGACCACAACAGCAACAATAACGGCGAGCCCACAGACGAGTATTTTCCATAGACGCCGATTCCATCATACCATGCTTAGCTTACCAGTGCGCGACGTCAATAGTCTACACCCATAGGAGAAAGAATATCGCAAGAGGAGAAAGAAGCTTCCGCCGCATCCTGCACTAGGCTATCAAACCCCTAATCAAACATAGCCCTGAGTACCTGGATCTGCTCCAGCACGCTTGATCGGCTGGTACCGCCTTTGGACGTCTTCGCCTCGACACTCGTTTCATATTCGAATGCCTCCGTAATGTCTGCTGTGAACCGAGAATCAATAGCTTGCAGTTGCTCAAGGGTCAGCTTGTCCATCGAAACCTCCAGCTTTTCAGACAGTGCAACGACGCGTCCAGAGATGTGATGAGCCTCTCTGAACGGACATCCCTTCCTCACCAACCACTCTGCGACATCAGTGGCTAGCATCGTTTTGTCCAGAGCAGCCTCCATCCGCTCTGGCCGCACCTTCAAGGTAGCAATGACCCCGTTGGCTATGCCTAGACTGTCCGACACAGTCTGAACCGAATCCAGCATAGGCTCCCACCCTTCCTGGAGATCTTTATTGTAGCAAGATGGCAAGCTTTTCACGGTCTTCCAAGTGCATAGTTAGTACTTATTCTCGATACGCTCCTGGTCACCCTCAAAGCCAAGGCAACTGGCTAAGATGTTAATAGGAGGACTCACCATCATTAACCCAGCCATTTGACCGAAAGCACGCCCTGACTTGCCGCGCAAAAGCTCCAACGAGTCCCCGTTGAATTTGTTGGGCATTAAAGAGCTACCCGTAGAATAGGCGTCGGCCAGCCGCACGAAACTGAACTCAGATGTCGAATATATGATGAGGTCCTCAGCCCACCTGCTGACGTGGTTTGTGAAGATCGAGTTCCAGACCAGGAATTCGATTATGAAATCGCGGTCGGCCGAAGTGTTCATGGAGTTCAAGGTTATTCCGCTAAAACCAAGCTCCTCAGCTATTATGTTTCGATCGATTCGAAATGGGTTGCCGGCCAAAGCGCCACACCCAAGTGGACTCAGATTGACCCTTTCGAAAACTTGGCGCAACCGCTCGAGATCCTGCTTGAACGCAGCGGCATGTGACATCAGCCATTGAGACCACCGAACTGGCTGAGCACGCTGGAGATGGGTGTATCCAGGCATGACGTAGTCGCTGAGGTTGTCAGTCAGCAAGGGGGCCGCTTTTGGCCAGAGGTGGGGCTAGGCTTACATTTCAGACTCGGCACGTGTGACAATAACCTTGAGGAATGCAACGAGTTGGCTGTCGATTTCGCGGATCCGATCGCGTAGCCACATGCGCATGTCACAGACGACTTGCTCGTTGCGGCTGCGACCTGTGTGCAGCTTACCCGCGATGTCCTTGCCGATGACCTCTCCTAAGCGACGTTCGTTTGCCGTATGAATCTGGTCCATTGTGTTAGCCTCGAGAAGTTGGGTAGAATTGAGTGGGCCTCTCACGTCTTCGTCATTCGGCATGATAGCGAAAGTTCCCTGCTTCCATTCTTCCATCACTTGGAGCAAACCACGCTCAATCGCCTGGAATTCGTCTTCGCTGACGATGCCAGCCTTTGAGTTTGCCCTGGCAAAAGCAATCGATCCAAGGATATCTTCCTTGTAAAGAGCCTTGTCGTACTGGATGGAGGCATTGTACTTATGCATGAGAGGATCAATCGCACCTGCACACCGTGAGGTCAGTATGCTGCATCCGAAGCTTGTTTCCCGAGACATTCGAACCCGTGAACCTGCCCCCCCAGAGCATGCCAGCTGCCGGGGCGTCCGCCTTTTTCTCAGCCATGTTGAAATGTTGGTGAGTGGCGTTCGTTGCGTTCGTTGCGTTTTCAAGGCCGATGTGATCAATTGGATCGATGAGACCAATGGAGCATATGGCGCGTAATTGTACCAATTGGCGTTCGAGATCAAGGGCGTGAGTAATCAACGCCGATGATGTTGAGGAATTCAAACGCTTGAGATCAAGGGTGGGAGTTGTCAAGGTCGAAAAGCGTGTCAAGGATTTAAGATTGGCCGTTCAGTCGAGGGCGACTGAGTCATAGGAAAATGTTGTTGCCGGCAGGCACTGTCACGTGAGGATTACATAAGCCTGCCGCTGGGCCTCTTCTCGGCGCCCGTGGGGTACGGCTCCCCTCGAAATCCCTCCTCTTTACATACCACTACGATAGAAATACAGTTGCTTCTTCAACAAGGATCAGATGCCTATGGAGATGTGTAGAGAGTGGATTCAGTGTTACTTCCAGCTCCTCTCAGACCATTCAAGGTAGGAATTTCTACAGCTAGGCACCTGATGGGTCAGTCTGCGCGGGAACAAGGATTGTGCTCCCCATTCTACGAGGAACCCATGAGTGCTGAAAGAGCTTTGTTATCCACTGTTCAGTTCCATATTTTTCAATGCGCTGCGAATGTACTTCCCATTGAACTCATCCGTGCAAAATAATCTTCACCTTTTTAACAGAGTAAGACGTTATATAACCATATACCATGGTCATATAGAGTGGCATGCAGGATTTGTTTGTCGATGCATGCTTCTGTGAGCGGAAGGCTGGCCTCTCTACTTAGGACCGAGGGGCTTATCCATATCGACAAAGGCCACATAGGAATCTTTTCTATTTACTGAATATAATTGGGCCAGGATTGGATCATGGGATCAACCTAATCTTGGAGGATTTCGTCTCTTCAATCCCGATTCTACACTGGACATATTCCTCCATTGGACGATCTCGGGTTTGCTGGTCAGACACTGCCTAGTCGTCTTCCAGATTGCCGAAAATACTGAAATCCTGGCCATTCCAGAAACCAGTCTGCTGATCTCTATACTGCTTCATGCATCTTCGATTTTTCTCACACTAATCTTCCTCGCCCGAGAAGAGTCTGTCGTGCTCGATTTGGTCGTGCGGGCTCTGAGAGGTGCTTGTGGGCTCGGCCTGGACGAACTCTCCAGGGCCGGTGTTGAGTGAGTCCTCGGATTGGGTCACTGCAGAGGGAAACTGATCTTGCTGCTGGCCACGGTCAGCACAACTGTCTCCGTACACGGCCTTCAAAATGATTCATGCTCGCTCACCTGAGTCTCCATCGAGTCTCCAAGAGTAGCCAGAGTTAACTGCAGGCCCGGTGAGAGCTCGCGAATGAGATCGAATGCGTCAAGTAGATTGTCGTGCTCAGCATCATAACCACCAGGGTCCGAAAAGTCCCAGTGCTGGAGGCCTGCCGGATTTCTTGGCCCCGAATGAATGCTGGTGTTGACCTCGAAATCGCCAGCGGCAGGCTGAAATCCGCTTGCTTGGGATCCAAAACCTTCATCGCCGAGCTCTGTACTGGCTTGAGCGAAGGCGTGGTCGTGATGTGCCGACAGATGCATAGGGGGCTCATTGTTCGTGGCGCCGTCCATGCCCCCGGACTGATCAACTCCAAAGTCAAGGCTGCTTGCTTGACCACCGACACTGGGAGAGTCGAGGGCGTTGTCCAGGATTTCATTACCGCCGGTGGAGATGTTTCCATCGTGGCTGTGCATGATACCGTCATCACTCCGGAAGATCAGGCCGTTGGGGACACCACGTATGGCATTGGACTCCTTGAAATTCTGGTCAGTAATACGTTCAAACTTAGGCTCACAAGGACGTGGCTCACCGAGGCGTAGTCCGCAGTGGGAATTTGGTCTTTCTGATGGCCAGGAAGAGTAGCTTGGCCTCCTGGACTGGCAGAATACTGATGTTCAGGCTGGCTGGGCGTTTGCGCTCCAAAGTCCTACTCTGGGAGAGCATCACCCTCCTCGCCATCCAATCCAGCGTCGTCCGGCTTGCGCTTCTTCGATTCCTCGCGCTCGGCTGCCCTCTTGTCATTGATCTCGCTGTTTTCCCGCTTCATCCTGAACTCGGCCCTGGGGCCCGCAGCAAGCCGCTTGACGAAGGGGATGTCCGTGTCGAGGATGCTCTTGAGAAGCGCCTTGCAGCGCGTGACGGCGTGACGTACATCTCTGAAACGCGCGGTAAAGCTGTCGTAGGAATTGTACTTCCAGACGTTGGTCCAGGATGGGACGTTGTGAAGGCCACAGTGGGCGTCGCAGATGGCGCACAGGATCTTCCAAGCGAGCAGCTGGACTTCGAAGGTTGACAGGGCCTTGACCGCCTTGACTGCGCTGTTGGCCACTGGCGCATTTCTCTTGGTCGCCCTCTTCATCGGCTTGTCCACGATGTTGCTGAAGTCCATGATAGCAGCGCTCAACTGAGCGACAAGTGCGGCCCGGTCGGCATCGGTCATCGGGAAGCCTTCAATACTAGTAGGGATCTTCTTCTCCTCTTCTTTGTCGCAGTTAGACAAAGATCTGTAGGCGGCGTCCATTGCCAAGTATTCATCAAGACTATTGATGACGACGGGCGTGCGCCTGTTCTGGTGATCCAGCATGTCTCTGACTCGGGATCGCCTGTCCTTGAAGTCCCGTTTCTGTTGCGCCGACTTGAGAGCCTGCTCCTGCTTCAGAACCACGAGTGAATATTGTGGCTGTTCAGCTGTTAGACCCTGCTGCTGTTGCTGCGGCAGCGGCGGCGGGGGCGCAGCCGTGGGGATCTCTTGCTGTTGGATGTAGTTCATTGTGAAGAAAAGCTGCAGGATTTAGGAGATTCAGTCAGAAACATGTGAAGCCTTGGGAAGATCAGATGGGACAAGCCGAAAACAAACAGGTTGGCAAAGGGGCCTTAACGTTGTATCCGGAGCGGCTCAGGATGGCCTGGTCAACGATGGTTGGGTCTGGCTCAAGGTTGTCCCTTGGCAAGCTGATGCTAGAATGTCGAAGGCTTGGGATATTGACAGGATGTATATGTCGCATTGACTGTTTGGACGAACTGGGCCACGGAAAAGAGAGCAGACGAAGTGATAAGGAAGCCGAGGGGTAGATTGCTGAGCTTCGGGGATGCCAAGGTGAAAACAGAAGCTTCACTTTATCGATATGAGAATGTGAATTGGGGAATGTTTATCTTCACTTTGGTATTCACCATGGATGCCACATACATTGTGGTGTCATGATTGGGAAGGTGGGTCAAAGTCATATCAGTCCATTGATGTATCTGCCAAGAAGATCGAGTCTCCAGCTGGTTCGAGTCTTTCCACAGCATATAGGCTGTCTTGTGAACCTGAGGACGACCGTTTCCTATACAATTTCTCTGTGCATTCTGCACGAGATGACCATCTCCTCGATGCAGGTGGGCACGGAGAGCTGGCTCATTTGCACGCACGGTTGCGGAACACAGCGACCATCAACAAGCTTTTTGTAGTTTAATTCCGGGTTTACCACAGTGCCACTCGCACAGCTCGGGCACTCATTCCTATGCTCGCTTAAGGCCGCTGTACCAAGACTTCTCATCCACCGTGCGTGCTAAGTGGCCATCACCGGCATTATCTACTTCGAAGGGCGTAAATGGCTTAACCTCCGTGGCTCGCACCTCAAAAAAAGAGTTCTTGATTTCAGGGTTCCCTCGTTTAGCGATATTCAGAGCGTCGTCAGCGTCGTCGTCGTCTTCGTCAAGTCCTTCCCTTCCTGATTCTCTACCGGTACCAAAAGACAATCATGCTGAGGGTAAAGGAGACTGAGAGGGAAGGGACCGTCGCAGGCCATCGCTACTATTAGTATCAGTAGTAAGGACAGTAGTTATTCAAGCGTGTGTTGATTGAATGTGCCCTATTCGGTTGGTAAAAGGTGTGCGGCTTAATACAAGTACAGGATACAAACAACAAAATAGACCAAAGTCAGGGCACAGCCAGCAATAACGTAATCTCAGGAAATTGTAGAAGTTGATCGTACCCCAACCCACATAAATCTTGCCGCCTCCTCTCGTAAAACGACTTGCTCACCGCTATGGCGTCTCTTCTCAAATGGGCGCGCACCCTCAGCCGGCGAACCCCTTTGGTGCCTCTACAGTTTCCTGCGTCCGGATTCGAGGTCGTGCCTGAATCCGAAATTCTTGAAGAGGAGCAATTCGAAGAGTCTTCAAACGCGCGCCAGTACTACCCAGTCAAAATTGGCGACATCTACGCCCGAAAATATCAGATTCTGGGAAAACTAGGCTTCGGGACGACATCTACGGTGTGGTTGGCCCGACACCTCCAGTAAGTCTTTCCACCCCCATGTGCGTGCAGCTTTGGCCTAAACCAAAACTCCCACAGAGAGCATCAACATGCTTGAAAGTGTACACTCGCGACATAGGACACAGAGAGGAGTTTCAGATCTATGATCAGATCAGGAGGGTTGGCAACCCGTCACATCCGGGGTATCCTCACGTCAGGACAGCATCAGACATGTTCATGCTTCCAAGCCCATATGTGGAAGCCGGGGGGAGTGTTGTGGTCGAGCACCACTGCCTCGTCCAGGAACCCATGTGGGACAGCTGGAAGGATCTCCTCACCCGCAACCCGGCGGAACGGTTCACCGAGGATCTGCTCAAGGCCGGGCTGCGGCAGGTCCTTCTGGCGATTGACTTTTTGAATACGGAGTGCAGTTTGGTGCATACGAACATCAAATCCGACAACATTCTGCAAGGGATTGCCGACAAGCGCATCCTTGAAGCATTTACCAATGCCGAGCTGGCAGTGCCCTCTGCCTGGAAGGTAGTCAACGGACACACGATCAACAGGCCCCGGCAGCTCGAGCTCCCACAGCAATTCGGCGACGCCGTCCTTGGCGACCTCGGATCGGCGGTGAGGGGGGATGAGAAGCGCAACGACGACGCACAGCCGCAGGTGTACAGGTCACCCGAGACGATGCTGGAGGTCGAGTGGAGCTATCCAGTAGACATATGGAATGTGGGTTGTATGATTTGGGATTTGTTCGAGGGAAGACATCTATTCCACGGAGAAGATCCGGATGGCAAAGGATATTCGACCCGCGCCCACCTCGCCGAGCTGATGGCGCTGCTTGGCCTGCCACCACTGGATTTGATCAAGCGGGGTGCTCGCAGTGATGAGTTCTTCACCAAAGACGGTACGTCTTACACTTCGTTTCCCCAGACTTTGGTGACTGCGACTAACAAGCCTCCTCGCGCAGGCAAGTGGCGGAATGAGGTTCCTATCCCGAAAGCCACCACCCTTGAAGAAAATGAATACTTTCTTGAAGGTGAGAATAAGGAAACGTTCATGAAGTTTGTCAAGGCCATGTTACAGTGGCGGCCCGAAGACAGGAAAACAGCAAAGGAGCTGCTACAGGACCCATGGCTCAACAGTCCCCGAACAGGCACTAGAATCGATATGCAAAGTATATATCTCTTTCATAATTTATTGAAGAATCTAATAATTATTTTCTCCCTTCTATCAACATCTCTTCCGCCGGGTTTACATGGATTTCTGCACCATCAACTTAAAACGCAATTTTCTAAAAGCTCTTCTATGAATTACTTCAAAGACTTAAGATCGTACTGGCTAGGGTCGGTTATCTTCAGTGTGCTCTTGGGTATGTCCGGGTGGGCAAATATTAGTTACCATAAGGCGATCACACGTGAGTAATCCCTAAGCACCGATCATTCCCGTGTTGATTTTGTGTGAGGTATTCCCATGGGCCGAGACTCACAAGCCAATACTCGCCCGACTAGGTAGACGTCAAGCCAGCCGCCCCCCATCCCGCAATCAGCAGCCCACCGGCACGCCGGCCATCCAACAGACGTAAGAGTCTGCGAATCCAAGCCAAACACCCATGACGAGGTTCACCGTGTCCATCTCCTCCAGCATGCGCTGCAGGTAAAACACCCAGACGAGGACCCCAAAGGCGCTGGTGCGTATCGATCCCGAGGGAAACACAGACTGCGCGGCCGGCGACTCCGCGATTTGTTGAGGGAGTCCAAACATCAGGATCGCGCCTTCAGGGTCGAGCAGGGGCGAGACCAGGCCGCCAATGGCGTGGGCCGTGGCCACGGCGAGAGGCAGGAGGTGCGGTAGCTTGAAGTGGCGGAGCATGATCGATAGACCGCGAGCTGATCGTAAGCTCAACGCTGGTGGGGCGGAATGAATTCCTGTAAGGCCATGACTTGACGGAACCGTGGGTGTCTCGATGGGGTCAACTGGAATGTAGCCTCAACGTTGCAGTGTGGGTAAATGGTGCTTCGGCCGCGAGCGGTTGCGAAACCCATTTGAAGACCAGCCGGCCCCGCCCGGACTTGTGATTAGTCGCGTTCCAGGCGAGCTGCACCGCAGGATAAGCACCTATTTGTGAAGTTTTCTGGATCGCCCCGACTGCATGCGTGCTACAGCATGGTACACCTGGTGTGCGAGGCAGTGTTAAGCCCCAAACATCAACACAACCGGAATGGCAACGCCTTCCCAACCAGCAGGCCCGTCGGACGAGGGCCCTTCGGAATCGTACCAGTCATTTAAGGAGCTCCGCGGCGATCCAACTATCGCCGTCGTCTTCTCCCCGGCCGCCAAGCGTCTCTTCTGGCCCCTTGACGGCGTCTTCCCCACCGCCCTCTCCGTCATGAAGACGCCCCGCAGCGCGGACGACCTCGAACCGTACTTCCAGCAGACCCTCGGTGGCGGCATCTGGCACGAGATCGCGCAGCTGCCCCTAACCGAGCCCAAGGTCTCGTCGGTCGAGGTGTCCGTCTACGACCTGGAGCAGTGGGAGTTCCACTGGGTGGCGTGGCACGGGTACCACGAGGGGAAGCCCGCCAGCCCGGAGTATGTCACGTATGGTGATCTGAGCGATGAGGATAGGCCGTATGCGACGGAGCCCAAGGAGGACGGCAGCTGGGAGGAGGACTCGGACACGGAGTTCCTCGTCCGGTGCTGCGGGCAGGATCGACCGCTCGGGAAGAGGGGGCGGAAGCTTGTGGTCACGCCGGCTGCGGGCGGTCACTTCGTCACGGTGCACGACTACGTTAGCGGTGAGTCGAGCCTTGGGCAAAGAGTTCGGTCGAAGCACACTTTGGCTGACGATGGTGGACAATGACAGCCGTGCATCCCTGGCTCATGGGCTTGCGTCCTGAGATCTTGCTTGCCAAGACGGTTTCACAGCCTCTGCCGTATCCTGGGTCGGCGGGAATGGAGTGGATGGTGGACGAGGGGCCGGAGCACAAGGTGGAGGAGAAGCAGGACTGGATTCAGGCGCACGGGGGTGGCCCGCCGCGTCCTATCCCTGCCTCGACGGCCGCGATTCTCGGAAAGATACGTGCGAGTCGAAACAGGTGATTTTCATGTCTATCTTGTCTGTCATCCTACTAGGAGTTCATTCCATTACTGAGGCCGACACAAAACATACACTCACCAAATGGCGACCATGACTAGGCCAATAGAGCGTAGCCTTAAGATGGCCACAACTAAACATGTGCGTTTGAAAGTGGATGTGACCGGGTATATTCATCCACATGGCGGCCGTGACGGCGTTCCCTCTCAAAATTCACCAGCCGTTTCCAGGCGTGGGCAGAATTTGAGCAATCCCAAAGTGAAGCGAAATCCATTTCCGTCGTATGTTTCCTTCGTCATCAGATGACCATCCTAGGATTTCCGCCACAAAAAAAAGCCCCTTCCACCGTGTCTGATCAAAGAGTATAAGCTAGGGTTATTGCCATCCCACAAGGTGAGCCATGCCCCGGACCGCGAGCGCAGCAACCTCCCCCTTGGCCTCGGTAGCGTTGTTGTTATCCTCGCCACCGCCAATGCTGTTGGCCTCATCGCTGTCCGGGTAGAAGAACGCCGCCACGGCAATGATCACGTACGCAGCACACAGCAGCGCGCCCTCGAGGTAGTTGCTGCGGCCGTCGAGCACGAGGAAGTTGACAATGAACGCCGAGACAAACATGCTGATGGTCTCAAACAGGGTGAAGTATAAACTCATGTCCTTGTTCATTATCCAGCCCAAGATAACGACAAGCGGCGTCACAAAGATGGCGATCTGGATGCTGGACCCGATGGCAACACCGATGGCCAGGTCCATCTTGTTCTTAACTGCCACGGTAATGGCGGTCACGTGCTCGGCCGCGTTGCCCACGATGGGAAGGAGGATCAGACCTATGAAGGCCTCAGAGATACCTGAGGACCCTGACACGACTCCGTCAATAGCGTCGACCATGAACTCGGCGCAGAGGGCGACCAGAGCTGTCGATCCCAGAAGGAGGAGCACAGCAGATGTCCGGGAGATTTCGGGCTCTTCGTCTTCCTGTTCGTTGGCACCCGGGGTCAGAGACCTGCTGTTGACGACGATAGGTACGATGGGAGGCAAGGCGCCAGGTTGTCCACGGTAGTACTGATTCTGCGAGGGCATGGACTGGGTGCGGCGCAAGCCTGGGCGAGAATCATGATGATGGTGATGGTGATGCTGTTGTTCATGTGGAGCTGCGTTGGCCGCGTTGGCAGGGCTGGTGAAGACGTTCTGGGAGAGGTTCTTAGCCAGGTTAGGGCGCAGAGTGCGGAGGGAGAACGGCTTCGGCCGAGTCGTAGCAGGCTGGGCTTCGAGGTCGGGGCCGACAGCAAAGTCGACACGCTTGGTGTTGGCATCATCAATTGGGCCGGCAGCACCACCAGTGACGGCCCTGACGGGTGCGCCGGCCGCGGCTGCAGCCTCTGCATCGTCACGAGGTTGGTCTTTGTTCCTGCGGCGGCTCTTGTGTTTGTGTTTCTTGGACTTCTTCCCGTCCTGTGCGTCTTGCAAAGCCCGTGCTGCTTCCTCAGTGAGTTGAAGCGTGACCGGCTCCTGGCTGGAAGACGCGGTTGGCTCACTGACTGTCCGCTCAACCGTTTCGGACGGGGACTCCACGACAGGCGAAGCAGACGATGACACATTGGAGGGCTTTTCTGCGTCAGCCGAAGCCATGCTCTGCTTGCGACTCCTGCCTTTCCTGATGGCCCGCTTGATCTTCTTAGCCGTGCTGACAGAGTGGCCTGAGGAGTCCGAGTCGGAACTGGACGAAGAGTCCGAGTCTGAGCTGTCCGAGGAATCGAAGTAATGAGCCGCGGGGCCGGGGACTGACTCCTGCTCAATGATATGCTGCGGGGTCGATTCGTACATATAAGCGTGAGAGTTGAGTTGGAAGACCAGATACAGCGCATAGACTAGCAGGAGGATGACACTGGTGCCCCGGCTGACCTTCAAGACCTGGATGTCGGCCTCGGAGCCGCTACTGAAGGAGGCATGGAAGGCAGTAGGAAGAAGTAGAGAGATAACACTGAGACTGAGGAGACAGGCGCTCATCTGGGTAACGGTACTGTTGTAGATCTGCTCGCGATATCTCAGACCGCCGAGCACAAAGGCCATGCCCAGGATGAGCAGCAAATTCGCCAAAATGGAGCCCAGCAGGGACGCTTGGACGATACGGATCTCATTCTGCACATTGTTGTTAGCTGCATGCACGCGTGCGAGCAGACAATGAGGCCGGGAATGAACAAACCTTGACCAGGGCAATTATGAAAATGATCAATTCGACCGCATTACCGAACGTGACATTCATCAGAGCGCCGACAGTGTCGCCGAGCCGCTTTGCGACGCTCTCGGTGGCGTGAGCGAGAAGACCTGCCAAGGGTACGATGGCGATGGCGTTCATAGCGAAGACAATGCCATCAGACAGGCCGGCAAAGTGGACGGCGATGCCGACGGGGACAAAGACGAGAAGGACATTGATCCAGCTGGAGGTCAAGACGTTCCAGATGACATTGAAGAAGCGGGTCATAACCGGCTTCTTCTCTGGCTCTGGCTTCTCCTTCTCCCCACCGGCCGGGGCCGCATCGTTTCCGTCTGTGGTGGTATCATGGTTGCTCTGGCTCTGGGCTTGCCGTGTTGCAGTGGACGAGGACAGTCCTGTCGAGGATCGCGGGACGCTAGCGGCGCGCGAAGAGGTGACTATGCGTGAGCGAGGATCGCCGCCATGGGCCTTCGCCCTCGCCCAGGTACGAATCCGGTCTGTAGATGGCCAAGGTCAGTCGGTGAGAATTTCATGGTGGTGGCCAGCGGTGGGCGCAATGGGTCACACGAGACTGGTGTCCCTTCAAGAGGCCTGGCGCAGGAGTTGAAGCAACACCTGTGCAGCCACGGTGGGTGGGTTGGCAGTGGTGATTCCTGTGGCCAAGAGCCCAAGAGTTGGCACATGCGGACCCGAAAGCTTGACCGTCTTGGAAGCTCGACTTACGCATAAATCAGCACACCAAACACAGCCAAGAACAGGCTGGCTAGGACACGCGACTGAGATTCGACTGACAAGCTTGTGAAGCCTGAAAGTAATTGTGTCTCTACTGCGAGGATTGGGTTGGTATTCGCTTTGCGACACCAGTTCCTGGTGTTTACTTGTGTTTACTTTTGGTCGCGGTAGTGTAAGGACGAGAGAGTTGGCAGGCAAGGGCGGGAAGGATTGCCACCAAAGAGCTGACGGGCTTTTGAGGATTGATGGCTCAATGCCTTTTGGCCTGTTTCTGATGATGACGGAAGCGCCCGCCAGGGGAACCTGGGAGACTAGACGAAGCTAGGGGAGATCCAAGACAGGCTTGATGATCAAGGTACCGTGGCAAACGGAGCGAATGCCACGGGCAACGCAGGCCTCATTCTCAACCCCTGGTCCCTATCTGGCGCAGTCACCACGCTAAGCCAGACTAGGCCCACCTAGACGGAATGCCGACGGTGCCAAGCGTGTATGGCCTGCACGTCTCTGATAACGGTCCGCGTCCTCCTGGTATGTGACGGTAACTCCACCGTCACAGGTCTCGCCCCTTCCGACTTGCTAGCAGGACTGCGTCATACTTGCCTACCATTTTAGGCGGGCACCTCGCCTGCCTGAGCCACACTGCAATCGTGGCGTTCTGAGGCGGTGTGACGGAGCGGCTACCGTAGCCATTTTGCCTCGATTCCGTCAACGCGTCAAGCCTGTCAGCCCGCCTGCCCGCTCGCACACCCACGGTCCCTCCATCTTATCACCTTCAGGAAATGGGACAGCCTGGCGTGGCAGCTGGAGGCTCGAATCATCAAAACTCCTCGCTTCGATGTCGATTGGCTGTCCGCCTCTTGCCTTGCAGAGGACCATTCAGCCCTGCACTTGACCGATCGCCAGTATCCACTGACGCGATCCACCCGTGCCCATGCACATGCAGGAGCAAGACTCAGCGCGCCAGGTCTAGACTGCTCTCATTCCCAGTGGATGCAACATGAAAACACTGGCAGGATCCCTCTAGTCCTGGGCTCGTGTGCTACAGAATGACTTTTGACTGCTATGACTGCATCAATACCACAACATTGTTGACATGGACAAGCGAAGCTGGAACTTGACCTTTTGTGCTTCGCGGACTCCTCAGGGCGCGCGAAGACACAGACTCCACGAGGAAACAGAGTCAAGTCGTACCACTTACCAAGTCGGGACTTCCAGGTCTCTGCACAAGACAGATCGCATCTGTGCCGTCTTCTGTGCCCCATGACAGCACACCTCGCGCGAGGTGACACGATTGAAAACCCTCGACACAAAGTCAAAAGTCATTGCTGGAGGTGTTTAGAGACTCCCGTGGGTGATGTCAACAATGCAGCGACCCTTCCAGACGGCGCCATGACGTCCCACACCCGCATCCAAACATTCGCCGTCGACTCACCTCGACCCAGAACGTGTCGAGCTATTGTTGCTGCCGGGCGAGGACGGGCTGCGAGCAACCGGTGCGCCCTGCCACTGCGGGAGACAGCAGCAAAAACTGGGGTTCGTCAAACAAACCGAACACACTGTGCCTTACTTCGTCGCAGAAGTCTGTCTGTGATGCCTTCCTATCTGGCTGGGCTGCAGGACAATCTTGTCAGTGCAGTCGCTTAAATCTGCCCTGGGTGAGTATGACGATGGTATTGCCATGTTCCACGCTGGCGGCTGGTTCTTGGTGGGCTCATTGGCCTGTGCACAGCGCCTCTGATGTCTGAATAGCTTCATGACAGCTACCCGCGATGCGCTTATGGTGTAACATCATAAACCTCACGGAATTTCCCATTTTGGCTGCCTACATTCCCTTCCCGAGCCGGCTGTCCTTTCGTCGTTTCACCATCAACCTCAGCCTTCGTCTGCGGCCAACAGAGCCTCCGGCCTCTCGACTCTCGGCCGATGGGGGCTGGGGGAGCTCCAGCAAGCGCCCGGGCGGAAGCTTGGTCGGGTTTATGTACCGAGTCCAGCTCACGATGATTTCTTTTTGCAGCTCTCTGCGGATGGCTGCCATGCTTCCTGTTGGCTGTGGGCGAGAGGCTGCTACGCCGCCCATCCTTCGTCTCAGTTGCGGCCAGTAAGCCCGCGGCCCAGCCCGCGACGGCTTCGAAGGCCTCGCAGGATTCAGCCCCCAGCGAGCTAAATTTGGGGAAACACCTATCGCCGGGCAGATTTTTCTTCTTTTCTTCCCAATGTAGTCGGTGAGCACCCTGGGACAATGAGGCCGTCCCCCGTCCCGTCTCGGCTGTTTGACATTTGACCGTCAGACCTGACCGTCGAAACAGCGACCTCTTTCCCGGCTTGCAGACATCACGCCCAGCGTTGCCGTTGGTCCGCATGGAGAAGACCTCACCTGTCCGAGTGTCACCCTTGTGTGACGCAGCCATTTTTGTTGTCATCATTGGCCAAGTACGGCGGTCAACAGCCTCTCGCCTCAACATCCTTCTCCAGTGATCCTTTTGTTTGCACTTATACACTCCCTACTCCTTAGCTCTTTACAATCCGCTCTCTGCCCGACTCCTCTTTTCCTAATCAGCCAGGATCGCATAGTTACATCCAACTTCCAGCTCCCTGATCCCCTGGCTCGCCATTCTCAAGTCATCTACCGCTTCTTGAAATTCCCTTGAGCAAATCACCCCACCTCACATTACATCGCATCACAACCAACATGGCTCTCGCGCCGGTAGCAACAGTAGCGGCCTGCGGCAGCATCCTCACTGCAGTCAAGTCAGGATGGGAGCTCTCCCGGATGATCAAGAAGAAGGATCTTGAGAAGCGGCTGGATAAGGAAGCCAAGACGGTTGTCCGCGACCTCCAGAACGCGTACCTCGATGGGCTCATGTCGGAGAGGTCGTTCGAGAAGTGGTATGACAGAATCGTGGGTGCTCTCGCAGAGAAGGATGGTGAGTATATGATAGTCCCAAGCCATACATCGCCAAAATCTAGCACAGGTTTGACATTATCCCGACAGGCATGGAGCTTCGCAAGGTCCGCCAGCACATTGATCTCGTGCGGTCGTCCAAGGACCGCATTACACGTAGCAACACGCGGGCGAACCGCAGTAGCGGCTACTATTACGATGAGAAGCAGCCCCACCATCACCACCACCATCACTCCCATCGGCGGCCGCACTCTGTGGACCGGTATTCGGAGTACACGCGTTACGAGGAGAAGGGTCGGCGGCCCAAGTACGACCACGGCAGCCACCACAACCCACATCTGAGCCTGGACACGGACAAGGCACAGCGTGAGTACTACTACTCGCACGCGCTCCCATCGCCGTACAAGGGAGAGATTGAGTACACGCCGCTCAACGGGGAGTTCGAAGACGTGCGGAGCCACGCGGGGTCAGAGCGCAGGGGACGCGGGAGGGGTCACGGCCACCACGGCGACAGGAAGGAGGAGTTCGTCTCGCGGAGCAGCAGCGTGGTCGACAGGGGGCGCACGCGGTCGCGGAGCGTGCACCAGGAGCGGCGGGTGCGTGACAGCTCTGCGGACGCCGACTCGGAGGCTGAGGAGGTGTATGACCGACGGGAGTATTTTCCTGCCAAAGGGATCCGGGGCGGCGGGAGGCATCGCTAAGCGCAGGTGTTGTTCCCATGATTGCATGTGTGCCTCTGTTCGCGCCAGACCACGGTTTGTGATGAGGCCTCGTCGACAACTAGCGCCATATCCATCTCCGTCTCCATCGCCATCACCATCGACACCACCATTGCCCTCAAACGGTCCTAGGCATGCGGGAATAAGGGTTAGAGGGATGAGGCGGATCATGATCGGAGATGAGGTACGCCTCGTGCCCAGGGTGGTGCCGACAGAGGTCGAGCTGAGGGAAATGGGTGGTGGCAACGAGACGTTTGGCGAGATGAACGAGATGCTAGACGTGGCGATTGCGGTTGGCGACTTTGGCGAGGGTATCGGCGCAGTGGGCGAAATCTGTGAGATCCTGGGGGCGTTTGGGGACATGGACCTGTAGAGGCTGGTTTTTCCTTTTGCATTGGCATGCACAAAATGCTTTGATGTCGTGTTATGCCTTGAATACCAATACTATGCATCATTATTACCTATTCAATTATTTATTGGTCTTTCTATCTCTCTCTTGCATCCTTGTCGTCAAACAATGTATGTGATTGCATACTCAGACTGGTGCACAGTATCATCAAAAGCTTCAACCGGATGGAGTACCGATTGCTGCTGATCTGCCGGTAGGGCTGAGTCGATGGGGCCTGTCAGACAGCAAGAGCAGGGGCATCCTCGCTACGGTGTAGTGCAGTTGCTGGACCCTGTCGGTCAAAATCGTGGGGTAAAAAAAAAGTTCGGACTCTGCAGAGAATGCAATTCGATAGCAGATAACCGTCTCCAACGTCTTCCGCCCTGTTTCTGTCTCCCCCCACCTATATCCCGGGTGCTGTGTGCTTCCTTCTTCGACCGGGACATCATACCATTCCACCACCACAAGTCCTGTCCTGTTCTCTTATTGCCTTCCCCTCCCGACTCACCTTCCCGACACACACTCCACAGTCCAGTTCTCTTCCTCCTCACCTTCCTCTCCTCCTCCCGGCTCACCCTCCCGACTCACTCCACACAATGTCGACCGCAGTACCACCGCCCTCAAAACGCCAGCGCCGTGAGCAGCTCGAGCGAACCACAACGCAGGCCGACGTGTCGGCCATCCTGCCTCCCGACAATGGCACCTTCAAGGCGCGCTTCGTCGACAGCGACGGCAACCAGATGACCGACGTGGTTGAGGTGCCGCTGTCCGACGCCACCGAGAAGAACGTCTCGCTGCTGCTGAACACGCTGCTGCAGCGCGACCGCGAGTCCTTCCTGCCCTACCGCTTCCGCGTCCATATCCCCAACTCGTCCCTCGTCGTCGACACCTACCCGGCCGACCTGCTCGGCCTGCTGCGCTCCCACGGCGTCGCCAATCCCTTCGAGACCACCGTCACCCTCGCCGCCGAGCCCCAGGCCGTCTTCAAGGTCCAGTCCGTCACCCGCCTCGCCGCCAAGATCCCCGGCCACGGCCAGGCCATCCTCTGCGCACAGTTCTCCCCGGCATCCAGCTCCCTGCTCGCCACCGGCAGCGGCGACAACACAGCCCGCCTATGGGACTGCGAGACCGGCACCCCGAAACATACCCTCAAGGGCCACACCGGCTGGGTCCTCGGCGTCAGCTGGAGCCCCGACGGGTCCCGCCTCGCGACATGCAGCATGGACGGCAGCGTGCGGATGTGGGACCCCAAGACGGGCAAGCAGATAGGCGACCCCTTCAAGGGCCACTCCAAGCCCGTGCTGCAGCTGGCCTGGGAGCCCTACCACCTCTGGCGGGACGGCACGCCTCGCCTCGCGAGCGCATCCAAGGACGGCACCGTGCGCATCTGGGTCGTCAACACGGGGCGCACCGAGCACGTCCTGTCGGGCCACAAGGGCAGCGCCACCTGCGTGCGCTGGGGCGCCGGCGGCGACGGGACGGGCCTTATCTACACGGGCAGCCACGACAAGAGCGTGCGCGTCTGGGACGCCGTGCGCGGCACCCTCGTCCACGAGCTCAAGAGCCACGCCCACTGGGTCAACCACCTCGCGCTGTCGACCGACTTTGTCCTGCGCACGGGGTACTTTGACCACACGCGCGACGTCCCCGACACCGAGGAGGGGAAGCGCGCCAAGGCCAAGGAGAGGTTCGAGAAGGCCGCGACGGCGCAGGGCGGCGGCGGAAAGATCGTCGAGAAGGTTATCAGCGCGAGCGACGACTTCACCATGTTCCTGTGGGATCCTGTCAATGAAGGCAAGAAGCCGCTTGCCCGTATGCTGGGCCATCAGAAGCAGGTCAACCACGTCACCTTCTCGCCGGACGGCTTGCTGGTCGCGAGCTGTGGGTTTGATAACCACACCAAGCTGTGGTCAGGACGGTAAGCACCACTCCCTCCGTACTTATTTCTGATGCTGATAACCTGCCAACAGCGACGGCAAGTTCATCAACACTCTCCGCGGTCATGTCGCCCACGTCTACCAGTGTGCCTTCTCAGCAGACTCACGCCTGCTCGTCACGTGCTCGCGCGACAACACCCTGAAGGTGTGGAATGTCCGCTCCTGCAAGCTGGCAGAGGACCTTCCGGGCCACGACGACGAGGTCTACGCCGTTGACTGGAGCCCCGACGGGCAGAAGGTCGGCAGCGGCGGGAAGGACAAGGCCGTCAGGCTCTGGAGGAGCTAAGAGGGCTTCTCTTTGTAGATTTAGTTGACGCGGGAGACGACCACCCCTTGAGCAGGCTGGCAAAGGCCTCAATTAGCTTTCAAGCTCCGCAGGGGCTTTGAGCGGTCAGACTCACTAGTTGCCGCAGGCTCTCGAGGCTCATACAGCAAAGGCTTGAGCAGTGTGAACAGCAACAAGCAAACTTCATTCCGAAGGTCCAAGTTGAAGCAGAATCACACATGGTGTGTGGATGGTGCGAAGTGGTGGTCAATATCAGTGCCTGGTTGGCTTTGACTCTCAATTCCGGGTGAGAGTGTGCGAGGCAAAGAAGTGGTGGGCCGAAGGAGATAGTCAGCGCCCTGACAACATGGTGTTTCCGCATACCTAGGCCAGCCTTGTTCGGGTCTGGTTCTATGTTGGTGGTGTCGACCTGATTAGTTGGGACTGTCGTCGTGGACACTTCGCCCTGAGCTCTGAGCCTTGAGCTTGTTCAAGCTGGACCTACCTAGGCAGTGTTCAACTTGCCTTGCGACCCTAAAGCCCAGAATCACGAAGCTTCACGTCGTCGGTACAGTCAGGGGGACAGTCGCACCGTCCAACCACTTGGCCCGGGGTCAACCAATTCGCAGCTCTCCCAAATCGTTGCCTACCAGCTACCCCCACCGTCTTTTCCCACCTGGTGTTTTCTTGACCAGACTCGCCATCTCTCACTTCTTGTGGGTTTCTCAAATCAAACTCGAAATCCCTTTCATCTTGTGGGTTTTCAAGCACATCCGGCTTCTCTGGCCCCATCTGGCGTCACCTGGACCTCCTTCGGGATCTCACGTTGGTGTCTTTCTTGCCCATCTTGACTTCTTTCTACCCGGGCTATGTCCATAACCACCTTCGGCATCTCTTTTGCCTTCTGCTGCTTGCAAGAAGATCACGTACACCTCTCATCTATTGCCCGGTTGACCACTGCCGGCATCTCATCTGCGACCTCCGTCAACCATCAAGCATTCCTGTCTCCTCCGTCATTGGAACTTCTGCCCCAAACCCCTTCAATCTGTCTGGGCCTTGGTCTCCGTCACATCCGGGAGATCTCCCTGCGTCCTTCTTTGATAACTACTCCGTTCCTCAGCTTCTTTCAGGCTACAGGTTCTCTCCCGAATTGGACGGTCAGCATTACCACCTTTTCACAGTACTGACAAGCAACGAGAATCTCCTCTCAAAATGGCGTCTAACAACGTCGCCCGGATGGCCACGGCTTTACTTACCGTTCTGTGCTTCCTTAATTTCTGCGAGGTGCACGAAGTTCTCATCACGCTTGGCATGGGTCGTGTTAGCATGGCCAACTTCCCGGCTACCGTTTCCAGCTACTTCGATGCGCTCAATCACCTCTTGGCGTCAGGAAAGGTCACTCTGGAGAGACGTCCTGAGAAAATTCTCAAGGTCACCGACGCCGTCATGGTTACTGTGATCGGGGCTTTAAACATGGACGAATTTACTGCCGCGTTCGATGCGGCTTGCTCACTGATCTCAGCGTCCTGGCCATGGTTGACTACCTACAACGCTACCGATGTTGAGCGCCTGCACGTTGTCCACAGATACCGTTCCCACATCGTCGCCCTGCGCAACGTCTTCTTTGACTTTAAGATTCCTGGATTTGTGCCCAGCCTAGGCTTCTGTGCCTTGCTTCACGAAGAGGCTTGGTAAGTTGCCTCCCGCTTGTCATGCCCTTTTCCATTTCCTCATGGACCTAGGCGTCGTGCTGACCATGTTTGAAACGCCCAGGCTGGATTCTATGCAAACTACGATTGCCGACATGCATTTGGACTGTGTTCGATGTGATCTCCGTCTGGCGAAATTCATCCTCCGCAAACGCCGCCAAGATGACGACACTGACCCGACCTGCAAAGATCAGTATGATAAGCTTCGCATGAACCAGGCCCGGTTCGAGGGTATCACGGCCTCCATGATCGGCAAGGAGGGCAAGGCAAAGGAGAAGTTACAACTCTGGCTGAGTCTGCTCACCTTCCGGACCCTAGCCCCCAACAGCCTCCCGGATGACTCTAGGACCCTGCCGTTTGCCTATGTGGAGGTGGGAATGAGCAAACTACGGTGCGGAACTACGGACGAGTCCGGCGCTTTCGCCGATTTCCAACTGGCTATAAACGAGGTCGACAAGCAGAGGGGCGTAGGAGCGGACGCTCTCAAATACATGCTGCCACACGTCATCTCCGCGCTGTTTATCACCCACTATCACCACCCCGTTGCGCAGGCTACGTCAATCTTGGATAAGCTCCTCAGCGAGCGCGGCCAATTGCCCGATCTGATTTTCGACGATATGACATCCTTGGAGTAAGTCGACGAGTATAGAATTAACCTAGGGGAATTAATGTACTGACTTTTGCTTGAAAATAGAACCGGAATAGTGCTCTTCGCGAAGGGTGCGGTGACCTACTTCCGCCCTCCGAACACGATCCCCAGTGCCGAGGTCATCAAGGAAGCGCTGAAATTCTTTCGGCGGGCCGTCACGGTCCTCGAGCAGACCCACGGACATGAAGCAATCTGGACTCTCGCCGCTACGTACCGAATGGCAGTCTGTCTCTTTGACCTCGGCCGGTACGAGGAGTCAATGTCAGTGCAACCCCCCCTCCCCTTTCCAACTCACCAGTATCATTATCACCCACCCCTCAAATCCGATCTTCTCGTTCCACCCTCTCCTCCATTCCCAGGAACCAAACCACGACTGACATCCGCATCCTCGCAGCGTGCACTTCGATACGCTCAACCACGTCTACCGGGCCTATACGAAGGAGTTCAGGGAGCACGATGGTTCGGACATCCTGTGGCAGAAGGCACGTGTGCTGTGGAAGAGCGGCCGGGCGCTCCTGGCGCTGGGTGACGAGGCTCAGGAGCTCGAGGCTCAGCAGATGCTCGATGAGGCAGTGCAGATGCACTGGGATATCAGCGGCACAGTCGCCGACCACGAGAGCATGACCGACGCCAGTTGGGACTCGAAGGTTTTCTTCCTGTACCGTTAGGCCAGCACGCACCAGACAGACGAGCATGTGCTTGTGTTTTCACGAGAGAGTCTATGCCTCATGACAGTTACGAGGCTTAGTAGTACCCAATTGCTCAATTACGATTGAGCCATGCTCCTTGATTCCCTCTAAATGATGATGAATTCGCGTGCGAGTGATCCAAGTATTACACAGAGCGCAGAAACCTTCTCGGTTGACTCTACTTCACTGCATGCTGCCACTATTTCCTCAAACCCGATCGCGCAAGTCATACGGTAGGCTGAGTAAAATGTCTCGACAATTAATCAGGCTCTCGTCACTTTCATCCTGTCCACTACCGTCTCATTCAACACCATCGTCCTGTCCTTGACATCTCGTCCTTGGGACGGCAGTTGTCTCTCTGCCTTGACCTGACACGGACCGGCAAAGGTGTCTTTGGAAATCATCTTCTGACCGCGGCCCACTATCTGCTTCATAGTAGCAGCGGGCCGCCAGCCACTAAGGCCCTTGGGCAGCTGGTTTGATCAAAAACCCCAGCCAAGAGGCCAGCGTGAAGGAGGCTAGGAGGCAAAGGAAAGATCCCGACGTGCTCGCATTTAAGGAACATAACGGCGCCGGGAAATGAATGGAGAATTCCTTCACGGCTCTCATATAGGATCAGCTGATGATATGTTCAGACTTTGCGGAGTTTTCAATGCTATTTAGTCTATCCTGCCGCTCTGTTGTGAATTAGATCACTTCCACTATTTGCGGATACTTATTCAGGTTGGACACATCGGCGGCAGAAATAAAGCTGACCATTATCGGTTCACAGAACAATACACTGAAGTCTGTGCGCGTAACGTACTCGAGGATTCTATGTTGCAACTTGGATTTGAGAGAAGTCACTTCACTTCCAGCATGGCCGTGACACTTGGGCTGTGTCATTGAGCCTGTACTCGTTGGGGGGCATCGGCAATGAGATATCGAAGACCAACAAGCGACCTGCAGAGAAGCCGGAACCTGGACGGCTTCCAATCGTCTTCAGGCTGTTCAAACGCTCCCCGCGTAAGCACCCTCCCACGTCCGCCACGCCCCTATCCTAGGCCCCGAGCCTGAGTCTCCGCTGCGGCCGTTCGGAGATGGATCCAAATCCGACCTGAGTACACCCTCGGGCGGGCGGATCCAAGAGAAAGGACCTCGAACTGACCACCCTGGTGTAACCGCGACGGAAAAGGGCGGGCCCCCTTTCAAGCAGCAACAAAGCTGGAAGGGGGCGTTTTGTGCATATGTATGCGAGATCTGACATCTAAATCAGGACCAAATAGGACATCGATGGTTGCTCGGGTTTGGGGACTAGCTGATTTGCTCCCTAGTCAGACCGGTCCGGGCCTTGCATCCGAGAGGCTAGATAGAGTCTTGCATAGGCCACTCATAACCTCGATGATAGGAGAGCTTGGATAGCATGTGAAAGCTTGGAGGACTGCAAGGCCCATCGCCCAGGGCCTAGGCCCATCCCGAATCAAGATTTCGCACAGGTCGCAAATACGCGTGTACAAGCGAAATCTGACGTGCTGTCCCAGTGGCTTGCACTCGGGCACGACTCCACCCTTTGAGATGCAGTCGAGGTTCATGGCCTGTCGATCCTGGGAGCCGCTGCAGGGGAGCTTTTGAGTTTCGGTAGAGGCTCATGCGGTCTGGGTTCTAGAATTCCAGAGCTGCATGGGAGTTTCCCCCATGAGATCCGTCCTGGGGTTGCATTCCTGGGGAAACGGCATCGTGAAGCCCCTCATAGCAAAACGGGAGAGCTTTCTAGGGGATTCCGTTGCTTCCCGCCCCCGACACAGAGAAAACAGGTTGATACCCTCGTTTCAGCCACCCACAGTGACACATAACTGCACATGGTCAGGTGGTCAGTGGTGATACCAAGAGCCGCAGCATCTCGGCAATAGAGGCGCAGTCAGGCCATTTGTCGGCTATCATCGTCAGCTCCTTTTGGCCGGGCTGGGCAGAGAGGCGAGGCGAGGCGAGTGTTCGGTTGTACTTTCTAGAACGAGTACAGGGCACGAGAAGCTGTGCTACCCTCCGCCGGCTCTCGTCGCATGTGCGTCCCTGACTGCAGGTGGCTGATGATGGCGCACAACTTCATCAATAACGTCCTGGGCAACACATGATGCTCGTCCGACGGCGAACGCCGGTGTCACCTCTGGTATCGGACATGATCCTTGATGACAGAACCGCTCTGCAGTGGCGCCGGCGCACGACCTTCCATCACGAATTGGGCCTGTGGAAGATTCCGGTGTGGGCTGCAAAGGTGGAAGATTCCTGAATGGGTTGATGCCCAAAGGCATGTCGGGCGGAGCGGGGCATGGAAAGACTGGCCGGGCGGAAAGAAGAGCAGGGATACAGGACGCTCGTTGAGGCCGGGAGGAATGGTCCGTATAGTATCTATCGATCTGGCTTGGTCCGTCGATCCCGAGCTTGACGTGCCCTACGTGTGATGAGACGAGCCTGTCAAGACGCTGGCAAAGGCGACTGCAGAAACTCCAATCGGATTATCATTGCAGTTGTGACTGGTTGGCCAGCCGCCCCAACGAGCCAGGAACGTGGAAGAAGCTACTGCATGCATCTCATGGGATGCAACGTCAAGTTAGCTTGGCATGGAAGACAGGCATGATTCCAAGATGCGTGCGCAAGGCCAAGGCGGTAAGCCGGAGGAGTCATAGGCTGATGTCAACTTGTCGTGCCGAGCTTGTCAACCTTCTCGCTCGCTTGTTAGCCTTGAAGAAGCAATTGTATTTCTATCGTAATAGTATGCAGGGGAGAGGAATCTCGAGCGAAGCTGAAGCTTAGCTAGCGACAAGAGGAGGCGAGCGGCTGCTTATAGAAACTCTCACGTAACATTCTAAGTTACCTGCCGGCAACAGCCAGCTAGCACATGGTTGGAGTACACTGGCGCAGAATGTCCAAGGAATCCGACACATGTTTGAGCTGGAGTCATGGCGCATCATTACGACGAGTCGGGCAGTCCCGGAAGAAATCATAGGCATCAAAGGAGGAGTATGGGGAGGCAGATCAGCCCGAAGGCGTGCGGATGCCGAGGGAGTGACTCGGTGTGGGAGGAGGGATGTAGAGGGGATGGAGTTGCACGGCAAGCCAAGCTCAGCAAGTGAGATGCTACAGGTCAGTAAGTGAGATGCGACAGGCGCGTGATCAGAAGAAAAAAAAAGTAAACCCCAAATACGACACATTGTAGATGGGGCGGCTGTTGAAGAGGAAAATCCCGCCCCGGAAAGTCTGCTCTGCTGATGTCGCGACCCTCTCCGCCGCTCCACTTCCCCTCCCCCTCCCTTGAACCTTGCTCATCCAACCATCCACCACGTGTGCCCGCCATGACAGGAACTCCCCGGCGTCGAGTTTCGAGTGCAACCCACCCGCCCTGCAGCAAATCGCCATGCACCAGCGCAGCCCTGGCAGCCCACTTCCGAACTTCCGAGTGCGAGGGGAAAGAAAAGTATTTACTAGTCTCGGTAGACTATGTCGTCTACGTGTAGAATAGGCGAAGCCTCGAATAATCAACCGCCTTATTATAGCGGCCGTTGCCAACGATGCCAGCGCTTCTTTCGGTCGAGACTTCCAAGTTCTCACCTCAACCGAACGGCGTAAACCCTCCTCTACCTGGTCCAACTGCAGGTTCCACCAAGCACTACACTATTCCCTGCAACAGACTCTTCTCTTCCAAGGCCAAGAACTTCCTGTGCTGCCTTGTTTGTGCGAAGGGCCACTCTTGTTACCGCTGCGATTCGATTGTGATCGATGCACGGCCGGATCAAAACCTCCGTTATCGATATAAAACCCACCCGTATCGATAAGAAACACCACACTCTGCTCCGGGGTGAGGTGTGAATGACGATTTCCCGATAGTTCGACCGTGTTCTCTCTCCTCTCTTCCCGCGCCCATATAGCAGCTTCGCCCAGCTCTTGTTGAGAACTGATGTGACGTTATTGAGGGGCGTTGTCTTTCTCGACCAGAGAATATCTGCCAGGTCGAGACCCAGCATCCTTCTTCTTGTTCTGCCACCCAGTTCCTCAACGGCAAGCCCTCCAGACCTCAGGCCTTCAGACGGATCGTCAAGATCCTCACACCCAGACCACCACAGACCTGCCTGCTCCGTACAAAACCCACCCGCGCCAACGGGGTTCCATCGCGTTGCCTTTCAAAACAGACCAACGTGCAACGCCCTCAAAGATCGCCACGAATTCCCACGCTAAGACCTGACCGATCCGCCCTTAGGCCTGGAGCTAGTAGGCCCAGCTGCCCACGTCAAGATTATCTCACCCGAAACGTCCATCTCTGCTCACCACACAGACAGCCCAGGCCAGCTCAACCCGAAAGGGCTTCTGACAAAGAAAGACCTTGGAAGAGCTAGAGCGATTGACCAACAGGAATACGTGTCCACCTGTTTCCCGTGCATTGGCTATTGTCGAATTTATTCCGGCCATCTCAGGTGTGAGTGACGATTTCTCGAATCAACCCCTGCTGTCACGGCCCATCCACTCAGAGGAGAAGCCCCAGCCCACGGGTGGCCCCTGCCAGAGCCCGGCCAGGCTCGACCTTAGCTGCGCTCATTCACATCCTGACGTGCAGCAAGTTACGTCAGTCCGGATTTTTTGCCCCCAATGTGTACATTTCTTGCCTTTCCTTCTGGCACGGTTTCAAGTCACACATTTGCACTGCCAGAACGCCTCCGCCGTTTCTCATTCTGATCTTCATCGTTTTTCCACTGTCACCACTGCTGATCTGGTCTTTGCACAGCAAGTGAAACACTCACTTCAGGCCCCAAAAAAGCTCGCCCCTTCCCCCATTCTCCAGGAGCAACACTCGGCTTCCCAGACAAGGAAGGCCCCAAGAACAATCCTTTGCCCAAGTACCTGAGTACCCACGTACCCGCGTGCCTGCCCACGGCACTTACCGTACCAGCCCTGCACCTGCATCCCCAAATTTGGCAGCGGCAGGAAGCAGCAGCAGCAAAAGAAAGCTGGGTCCCTTGCAGCTTCCCACCCTCCATCAACTTTGCACCCGACGTCAGCCCGACCCGACTTCTTCCTCTTCACATAGATCACATTTAGCCCACGCCTCTGCTCAACATCCCACCCGCGCACCTCCTCCCAGCCCGGCTCCCATCCATCTCTATACACCAGTGCGGCTTCATTTCCTGGCTCCCTAGACGAGACCGTTCTCTTTGCACTGCCTTGCATCTTGCCATAGACTTTTGACTTAGACTTTTGGCCCACGGCTTCGCGACCATTCCTCAGCTCTTCAGTGTGCTTTGAGGACAAGACAGTATTGCGCATCATTCTCTCCAGTCCGCAACGATATTCTGCCCAGGCGCATAGACTTAGAGCTCAATATCCCCCGACGACATATTTCACCACAAAATCCAACGGGACCCACTGCCCAGCCCAACGGCAACAGAAGCCTCTCGCGACTCTAAAAAAAAAGACAAAAATCTCACGAACCTTCCAAGCTACATGCAATATCCGCATTGATAGAGCCCTGGTACCCGAGGCCCAACATGACAGTCTTTATTGCCTCCCTGTGAGTTTTTGCATACAGAACCAATTTCCCACATTTCCTTTGCACCTGGTGTGCACCTGGTGTACACCACGCCACTCATTGTTATGAGAGCCTGGGACGAAAGGACCACCACCCTCTACGTCATTACGGAAGCATTTCATGCGAAAATGCTAACCAGAGCTTCCTGTGTCACAGCTTTCTTCCGAAGACTGTCCATTTCACCCTACCGGGCACTCCCTCAAAAAACGCCAAGCTACTGCCAGAGAACCCGGCTCCCAAGAAGGCCAGACCCCAGGCTCAACGAGCACCGCCGACCCTGTTTCCCGTTCAAAACGCCGACATCACACCACCTGAGACCCCGGTCGACGACGAGCCTGCAGATGGCATCTTCACCAACGAGGATGGCCTGCGCATCCACTATCCCCCGAAGGAGGAGCACTCCCCCAGCGATTCCAAGGCCGAGCCAGGCCCAGGGTACCAAGGGTCTCCTGTCTGGGGCAGGAGGAGTGACCAGCCTGTCTCCCGTGCCAACACCCCGCCTCCTTCGTCACTCCTCGAGCATAACAAGCAATTGAAGGCCAAGGCGCAGGAGCTTGGCCGCCAGGGCGTCATCCAGCCTCGCGCTCTCCAGCGCAGCGACAGCCACGATCGGGTCTTTGCCCACGCCGACTGGAAGGTTGTTCATGCCGACCAAGGCAATGGGGGGCTGCGACACGCGGCAGAGGCTGCCATGCGCGAGGGCAAGCTTTCCGAGGTCACATGGGTGGGGACCCTCGGCATGCCCACGGATGCCCTCGAGGGCACCCAGCAGAAGCAGGATATCGAGGACCGTCTTGCGACCGAATTTGAATCGCTTACCGTCTTCTGCTGCGACAAGGACCTCGACGGCCACTACTCGCACTTTTGCAAGCAGATCCTCTGGCCCGTCTTCCATTACCAGCTGCCAGACAACCCCAAGAGCAAGGCCTACGAGGATCACTCATATAAGCATTACGTCAATGTCAACCGAGCCTTCGCCGATAAGATTATCAAGAACTGGAAGAGGGGCGACGTGATCTGGGTTCATGACTACCACTTGTTGCTCGTGCCAGGCATGGTCCGCGAGAAGCTGCCCGAGGCCAAGATTGGCTTCTTCCTGCACGTCGCTTTCCCTTCCTCCGAGGTCTTCCGATGCTTGGCCGTCCGGAAAGAACTCCTGGAGGGCATGCTGGGGGCCAATCTGATCGGCTTCCAGATCCACGAATATACGAGGCACTTCCTCCAGACTTGCAGCCGCCTGCTCAATGCAGAGGCGACGCCCGATGGGCTACACCTGGAGGACCGCTTTGTGGATGTCATCAACCTTCCCATCGGAATTGACCCCGTAAGCTTGAGTGCGCACCGGGAAGATGCTGCGGTTAAGAGGTGGCTCGATGTGCTGCGAGAGCGCTACGCTGGCAAGAAGCTGATCGTGGCACGAGACAAGCTGGACCACGTCCGAGGTGTCCGCCAGAAGCTGCTCGCCTATGAGCTTTTCTTGAACACTAATCCCGAATGGCGAGGAAACGTCATCCTGATCCAGGTGGCCCTGTCCTCAAGCGAGAAGTCAGAACTCGACGCGACAGTGAGTGATATAGTCACTCGCATCAACTCGTCTTATGCGAACCTCGCATACCAGCCGGTCGTGTACCTGAAGCAAGATATCGACTATGCTCAATACCTGGCCCTTCTCTCCATTGCCGATGCACTGATGATAACAAGTCAACGCGAGGGTATGAATCTTACCTCGCATGAATACCTCTATTGCCAGGATGGCAAACATATCGGCGAGAAGAAGCACGGGTCACTGATCTTGTCCGAGTTCACGGGAACTGCTTCGCTTTTCGGCGGCAACGAGCTGTCTGTGAACCCCTGGGACTACCGAGCCTGCTCTACCGCCCTCAGGAAGGCCTTGGACATGGGCAACACAGAAAAGGAAGAGCGATGGACCAAGTTGCACGAGTGTATCATGCAGCACACTGGGGCTCATTGGTTCACTGAACTGATGACACGATTGGACCACGCCCACAGTGAGCAGCACCGCCACAACCAGACGTCTGTCCCGCGCCTGAACGTGAACGACCTGGTCCAGCGATATCAGAGTAGCGAACGCCGCCTATTTATCTTGGACTACGAGAACACGTTGGTCAACTGGGGACCTGTAAACCAGATCATTCCTTCCAGCCCTCAGGTAAGTCCATAACATACACATTAAAACTTTGAAGACCGGCTCGCTGACCATGTGCCATTGCAGCGCACATTGGATACCTTGAACGAGCTACTCCTGGACGAGCGCAACATAGTGTACGTGATGTCTGGTCGGCGGCCCGAGGAGCTCGATCGTTTGTTCCGACGCGTCCCTAACTTGGGTTTGATCGCCGAGAACGGCTGCTTCCTCAAGGACTGCGGCAGTGACGCGTGGACCGAGATGGCAAACCCTGAGCACATCCGGGCGTGGAAAGAGTCTGTTAAGGGAATACTCAACTATTACCTGGAGCGCACACCTGGCGCTGAAATCGAGGAGCGCCGCTGCAGCCTCATCTTCCACTACAAGAGCGCCGAAAACTGGGAGCACGCTGTCAGCCAAGCGAGTGACTGTGCATCTCACATCAACGATGCCTGCGAAAACCAGCGTGTCCACGCCATTCCTACTGACGGCTCGATAATTGTGGAGCCAGTGGATTGGACCAAGAGTACCGCTGCGGAAAAGATCCTCGAGGACTTGAAGACTCGCCTGCCTGCAAACAAGACGCACAAGAGCCCTGTGGACTTCCTGATGGTGGTTGGGGACGGGCGAGATGACGAGAAAGTTTTCAGATGGGCCAACACCCTCGGTGAAGAGAAGGTTGTCAAGGATGTGGTCACCGTCAGCTTGGGGAACAGGAACACGGAAGCGACAGCTACCCTAACACAGGGTGTGTCTGGCGTCCTGGTCGTTCTCAATCGCCTGGCTTCTCTCACTACCGAGTAAGCCTGCCACTCGCAAGATGCACGGGCTGTCTGAAGAATTATTTCGCAGAGCCCGGCGAATTCAGAAGCCAACTCCTCAAACGGCGTTTCTGGTGAGGGACGGTGTTCCCGCTGCAGATCAGTAGCACACCAGTCCGCCCAGGCTCTGAGTCCCGGCTTCTGGATTTGTCTCGCTGCACAGTCCTCTGTTTTTGTCGCCAATCTGTGGCGTCTGCACCCACAGTCCTTGGCGACAGGGGCAATCCCCCTGGGCACAATGTGCGACCTGTCAGTCTTTACAATGGTCCTATTTCGACCAGAACCAGGGGCGGAACGGCGAACTTGATCGACCGTCGTCTCCTGCCTTGCTTGAAGTCTCCTCACATGACCATTCAGTCATGCATGTCTGTCTTACTGTAGCTAGTGAGACTGACTTGGTGTAACCACCACTCATGCGCGGTACATTCTCTCCTCGTGTTTCTAATTTTCTCCTTTTCTTCTCTTTAGGCGCCTCCTTCAGCTCATACTACCTCATGATGGAAACAAAGCATGGCGATCACGGAACTCTGGTGTTTTCTTTTATGGACATGAATGATGGGGGAAAAAAAAACTTCTCTCTCTCCTTAAGCTGCTAGAAATTCGCGGTAGTATGACTGTCACAGAGTTTGGACTGGTGATGTGTACGATGGATAGATGGGGAACCCCCTGGATGCTCGGTTGGAAATTGGAACGAGCAATGGGGCCTGTATTGAAAACGATTGTCTCTTTCCTGTCTTCCCTTTCTACGGCATAGTTAGAATACGACTGATAGCATGCATGGTAGCTGCTACTGGGATCACATCGGTTTCATCGTCTCCGCATTCTGGGCTTGTCGTTGGTCTGTTTTTGGGTGTTTCTTGCTTTTCCACTACTACCTCTGTACAATTAGGGCTGGTTCAATTGGATTTTAATTCTCAACACGTCGCTTTCGGATTGAATAGTCATGTCTACGAATGTCCCTTCCGTCCTGGGGTAGATCATGGTGTTCTAGGCACAGTCTGTTCGGCGCCCCCACGGCTCGTGTGGTGATCGGTGCGGGTTGGGACTTCTTGAGCGGCCGCTCGCCTGCATCTTTCCATCCACCGTGTCCCAGCGGACCCTGATGCCTACGAGTCGGTAGGAAAAACTACGTATGTATGGTCTCCATTGAGTTGGTGGCGTCGTCGAATCGTCGCGGGCGTGAGATCGAAGGGGCCCCCTTACTTACTTGCTTACCTACATAGCCCGGGGAACTGGCCCTCACCGTTGAGCTGGCGAGCCTCTTTCCGCTTCCGGCTGTGTGTGTACACGTACGTTGCCTCGTTGCCTTATGATTCCTCGGGCCGAGTAGCTTTGGTACCTTTGTTGCTGTGGACAGCCTTCTCCCCGAGACGGGCCCCCTTCGTGCCTCAGGACTCGACGGCAGCGTTGGAGCTAGGCTAGGCTCGGCTGTTGTCTAGGTGGTGTTGTTGGCATCTGGCCGGATCTCGTCCGACCTTTGATGGTGGGCGGGCGGGCTCAGGGGCCTGGGATGGATGTTGGGGCCGGCATGCGGGTTCCTGGCCTCACCACTGGCCTTGTGAAAGGAGGCAAAAGGGTCCTTTTGGGAGCTAGTTCCAGGTATGTTACATCACTTTCTAGGGAGGTGGTTCACTCGCGCGTGGAGGAAGTTTGGGCCGTGTGCCTCGGTGTTCGGGGGATGGGGTATTTGAGTGATGTTGTTGTAGCTAGACAGGGCCAGCCACGATTTCGGCGTCTATCCCGTGCTGATGTTTAATGTCAAGGCTCAACCTCGTTGCGAGAGACTTCGCAGCAGAAGAGCGACGACTAGTTCACCAAGTGATGATGCCCAGTGCCGGCTGCGCCCAGACGCCAGTCCTCCTCGCTTACGACTGCCTCCGGCAGGGCCCACGGCTAAGCGACCCGATGTCCTCTGTGCGGTTTCTTCTGGCACGGCGGTCAGCTATGCCATTCCTGGGGTGTTGCTGCAGTTACAGGGGCAGCTGCAGTGCCGCTCGAGCACATGATGTGCTGCTACTGTACGTTGTCCGGGCATGGGCGCTTATGTGCATGTGGGTGACAGCTCGCTTATCTGTGCGCAGCACCCTGGCCTTTCCTTTTTTTTGCTGCGGCAATGATGGGGCTGTAAGCAGCTTGTCGAATGCGGTGGGCACCATCAGGTATTTGTCATACATGAGTGCAGCCCTTCATAATTAGCGCAAGAGCATGCTCTCCAGACACACCTGAACATCTCGACGTATGGCGCGCTGGCACACCACACCCACCAGGGCAACATCACTGGCGGTGTTGGTAAAAATGTCGGGCTGTAGGGCTTAGGATGAGATGCAGATCCAGCGCTCCCGACACCTCCTTCTTCTTCAACACACCCGCACTCGAGGTCCTCATCTCAGCCGGGTGTTGCAAGGCTTGAAGCAGTTGGTTGGAGTGGATGCGGGCCTGCATCGTCCTGACCCTTGGACCAACACCAAGAACACAACAACAATACGAGGGTCTCAGGCGTTTTGATCTGGGATGTGCTTGTACGGGTAAGAGCACACACCCTGGAGTCCACAGTCATCAAAACCTATCGTGAGTCCGATTCGACAAGGCGGGGGTTGGAGGTAGAACCAACAGAAACCGAGCGTCGTCCGCGCCCTAAGCCACCGCGTCGATCAAATACCGCAACAACCAACTGCATGGTCCCCATTTTTTCTATCTTTCCATCCTCCCATTTTACAAGGGAAAGAGATTAGAATATGACGCATCATGCCTCCAATTCGGGATCTGCTGCTGGGCGGAGGTTGGGCAGCAGACCAACCTGATGCATCTTGTTTAACCCCCACATTGACCGCTGCAGTCTGGAGAGGCTGGAGCTGCTACTCACCACTGCGTGTTGGAAGACTTCGCAAAGATGACATCGAAGTATATGACAACTCGCATTTGCCAAATTGTAAGGCGAATGGATAGATGTCCTCCAAGCCAGCCAGGCCCCTCGCAGCTCTGCGAAGTAGATCGTCTGATCTTGCAACGAGCTCTCGTGGGGGTCTTATCCGTCTTGCCGGCCAAGAACTGCAACCCTGCTCCTAGCCAGGAAGTTATTCCCGTAGTGTGCAATCGACAATCGGACGTGGGGATGTGGAGGAAATTTCCGTGTTCCCCCGAAGCGGAGAGAACGTTCCTTCACAATGTCAATCCTGTGGACTAGCCGTTGGATGCGGCCCGTGAACCCTAAAGAGACCAGGACATGGGATGACAGTCTCGGCGGAGGAGGGCTCTTGTCTTTGATTGGACCCGGACTCATCCGTACAGGGCTGGCCTTCGAGGAGGTTACACTGCACCGATGCAACCATCCCCGGTTGGCAATCGACTGCATCAAGCTTGAGCATTACTTGCATTGGTAGTTGTGCTCTTGAATCCAGAGGGTTACAAATAGCCTGCAGGTATGTGCTAGACCAGATGCTGAGTGACGGAGCAGTGGCGGGTGGATTGGGAGACATGGTGATAGACAAGAGATGATCTATCCCATGCCCTCGCTCTCCTCGCTCTTCCTCGCTCGGACCGAAACGGCTGGCTGTCGGGCCCGACCAAGGGCAGGTAAAAATGGACAGTACAAAACACAAATAGAAGCCCGCGGATGCCTGTTGGCGCACAAAGGGAATCCCGGTCAACCAATGCATTCCTTTACCGTCCCCGTGGTACGGCTCAGGACTGGTGGGAACTGAGATCGCGGGCGCCTCGTTTTCGGAGGATCGCATGATGTTTGCAAGGTTGCAACACACGCATCCTTCTACCAGATTGACACACACCCTCTTGCCGGTGTGAGCTATGTCTGGCCAGGCAGGCATCGTTTTCAGTATCTGGGATGGCGATAGCAATGATCGCTTAGGCGGGGCAGGCATGGAGAGATAGGTGTGCCAATTTTGCAGTATTGCTCAGGTTGACTGCGTGCATTCTGGCCAAGCGCTTGGCAGGCTGGATGGCGTCTGGACTTGAGCTTGCCGTTGTACGTGCCATGGAGCAGCACCCAGCACAATCATGGCATCGAGTCTAGCCAGTCGATGCCTGTCAGTCGCTGCTGTACGACCATTTACGTCGACACACCACCACCCCACAAACTCTCCTGGGGGCAGTCCTGGGGCGTCGAACCCACCTGTGCCTTGCGAAAACAAGACGTGCCACCCAAACAGAACCGTACCAAGCTGAGAGAAAAACCCCGCGGGTTTAGCACTCCAGCTCGTTGACCACCCGCATGGTGGTGGGCGACAAAGGAACATACCACGGCTCGGCCACCCACGCATCTGGCATGATCCGCCCCCAACTACCGGGTGCCCATGCTATTCAATGTCCGTCAGCTGCATGGCTTGCGCGGGCTGTGCGTTCATCTGACCATACGAGACGGTGGGACTCATAATGGGGCTCTGCCATGGTCGTAGAGTTTCGTTGAGTTGTGCAAGAGGGAAACGGGCCCCAAACTTCTTGGTGCGGTCGCCCTGTTGCTGCTCAAGATACCACAGAGACTTCAAGCTGAACTGTACAGCCATGTCGCAAGAAGTAGACATCGAGGGATGGTGACACCAGGATCGACGCTGTCATGCACCTCCTCGCAGATTAGCGAGAACCGGGGTGGGTGACGGGGGATGTAAGGTCCCATTGTGCCAAGCTGTTCTTTCTTGTAGCCTGTCGTTCGCCCTTCCACCGGATCAGCATGTAACCGCCCTTCGCGCGAGGAGACGCACGAGGAATCCATTCCGGTGCGCGGAAAAGTGGCGGCTAGGCGCTGTCCACCTCGCGCCAGGTGCGTCAAGCATTCCGGGGGTCTTCCTTGCTAGGTCGCCGATATATGCTCGCTCGCCGTGTCGACAGACGGCGGGATTGCTGTCGATTACATTGCCACGGCTTTAGCAGGACACTTCCGTGCCGCGTGGTATTTTCGTCCGCCGTCCTTCTTTCAACATGTCGCGGGCTGGAAGACGTTGGAGCTTGGCCTGTTGCAAACCATTCTAAGTCAACTCCCTGCGGCTTCTTTGATGGCTGCCCGTTTTTGGGCGGGATTGCGAGCCGCGGGCGCGAGTTGAGCCGTTCGATATGAAATCAAGGGGAGATAACTGCCCTTGAAGACAATGAATTCGTGAAGCTTCTAGCTCAGAACTCCACCCAGCCCCTCGGGATCATCTCTTGACGCATAGCAATGGCTGGCCCCTTGGACCAAGACGAGATAAGATGACGGCTGCATAAGGCCGAGCTGCGGTACAATAAACAGCAAACAATCGGCTAGGCGAGTCGAGTCCGAAGCAACCGTCCCTGAAGCTTCGAGGAGCATGTCGAGGCGGGCTGAAAATGGAAAGGGGCTGAAGACGGGGGCCCGAGATTGTCGAGTGATATAACACACAAAACTCCCAACTGCATATCTCCGTGATTTGAAGCCCCCCTTGTCACCAACCTTGAAAGGAGAACACCTGCCCTTGCCCTGGGTTACTCGAATACACAGCCAGTACCATCCCCTGGCCAGAACCATTGCCCGCCGAAACTGGAAAGGTGGCCAAGAACGAGCCGCATCCTCGTCGCTCACACCCACCCACCGCTTCATACCAACCAGAGCTTTCAGGTCGACATTTGATGATATATCGGGAGTGGCACTGCCCTCCATCAGTTGAAAAACTTGAGGTCCTGCCTTATTTAATATCCAAGGGTGGATGGAAGCTTCTCACCCTATCCGTACTTCTCATCTCCACCATAAAGAAGGTTCCTCGACTTGATCGGGTACCTACAGATTCTGATTCGTCTTGCCTTCAGCCCTACCTTTGCCCTGACCCGTACATCGTTCTCTCTGCACGCAAAAGTCTTGTACTATCGTGCTGTCCCACAAAGAGGCTCTCGTGTTCCAGGCAAATACTTGCGTTGCCCAGCCGTCTTTGCCACATCAGTCGACAGTACCAAGAATGACCCAGTCCTTACCATCGCCATCGGACACCTGCAGCAACTGGAGCAGCAGTTGCAGTGACTTTGGAGCCAGTAGCTCGAGCTCTAACACAGCCTGCATGACCAGTGCATACTCGGACTGTTACTCGACTGCCAGCCTTCCTGTGGGAAGAGAGTCGCGGAACCACCAACAGCGGGAAATGCCCGGCGCTCTGCTCCCAAGCTCTGCCACAGATGGGTCTTCATTTGAACAATATGGTGGCCGCAGATCAACGCCCGTCACATCTGATGGGGAGCTGAAGCCACACAGCCCCACGAACAACCCTTGTCGAAGGCGCTATGCCACCGAAGATGACTGGCGAGGCCAAAAGGACAGGATATCCTCTCTGTATCTGACCAAGCGGCTGAAAGATGTAATCGCCGTGATGGAGACCCAATATCAGTTCTTTGCCACGGAACGAATGTACAAGGCGCGGTTCAAGGAGTGGGGTGTTGAAAAGAACGTTACAGCGGCAAAGGTTCACAAGCTGATGCAGAGGGTGGAGGAGGAGCAGCAGCGGAGGAGCCCATCGGCATCTGCTGGAAGGGCCAGAAACGAGAGAGTGGTATTGGACGTCGGCGAGGATCTGGACGTCAAAAGGATCCAGAGGTATATGAAGCGTAAGCCCGTAGGGCTGGGAAAGCTGCGGCCAGCGTCCAAGAGGTCGCTGGAGGTGATCAAGGCCCTTTCGGTGGACAGCGGAAAAGGAAGTTCTGGTCGAGGAAAGGTGTCCATCCCCGCGGTAAAGCTGGAGCAACAAAATCAGCCAAACTCGCCGGAGTTGTGCCTGCCAACCTTGGCCTCGCAGTGGTCACCAGGGCCGGAGCTCCCTGACGAAGTCGTTGGACTTCTCCAAGCCTTCATTGACAATCATTTTGACTGTCCCTATCCCTTCACACCAATGCCAACCCCGACATTCCCGCCGTTAACGTCGTCCAAATGGCAGCCTCAAAGCCACAATCAACTGAACACAATCGATCCGTTCATACCGTCAGTCGGACAAGTATCTCGGCAGGATGAGACGATGCTGGACTTTGTGCTCAAGTTTCGCATTGCACACACCCTCCTCGACGACTGTCTGACAAGCGAAGGCATGCACGCGATGAACGCGTGCCTTGAGTCTTTGGCATTCTGCATACAGCAGGCCCAGAACACAAGTCCGATGGACACGAGGCCGGCAACCGGGGTGATTCTGTGGGCTTTGTCGGCAGCGTCAGACATGATGAGCGACTTCAAGCACACCAAGAAGCTGGTCTTGCAAATGCTTTTGCAACGGATAACGGCGTTCTGTGTGGGACACCAGCCCACAATGGCAGAATTGGCAAGGCGAATGTGCCAACTCAGACCCTCCGGGCAAGTGACAATGTTGAAGTTCGCACGGTATTCGATTTCTCAAGCAATGTACATTGCTTCCGAATACCAGCCTGCATTCGAAACATATTCCAAGACATTGAGCATTTCCGAGAGCCGACTTTCGCCGGTAGAAAAGCTCCAGGCGCTTCAAAGACTTGCAAACGACCCGATAGTGCATGATTCCCCAATTCTGGGAGCGTGGATGGAGGCGCGCATCGCTCTGTCGGTCCCTGACGCGTCTTCGCCTTTCATTGAGTCCCTCGGGTCATATGGTACAACCACGTCGCCAGCCTGGCACGCCCGGGGACACAACAGGATGGCGGAGGTCCTTGGGGCAATGGCTGGGAGAGTCGAATGGCACAAGGCGGCGGGCAACTGGCAACTGGTACAGCATCTGGAGAGCCGCTCTGGGTCAATTGCTCAGATGGTGTGGGGGCGCACCGATGATGCTGCCCAAGGTTCGGGAGGACCACTCGACATCTGGAGCTCTCCTGAGCCGATGACGAGCTCCCTGGAACCGGTGGAGCCCAGTATGTTCCACGTGGCGCTGCCTGAGGGTGCGCTCAAGATGAGCCATCTGATGGATGAGATCCCAGGATGGGGAGAGCAGCCACAGCTGCAGCCGCAGCCGCAGCAGCAGCAGCACCAAGGCCAGGTGCCAGTGCAATGCGAACCTTCGTCGACTTCCGTGTGGAACGCAACAGATTCAAGTCAATGGCAGTTGGATACCAACTTTGAAAGCGACTGTGGGATGTACGATGGATTATATGGAGAATGGGATGAGAGTTCTGGTCTTATGGAATTGGGAGTTCCGGAGAAGATTAAGCGGCAAGGCGGAAGGGGAAAGGGAAGATCAGAGGAATGGTAGGACACAACGGCATGAGACCATCAGTCGCATCGCCAAACCAAGAAGGAATTGACCGGCACTTGAAGCATCGAGAAGGAACAGAGGGAGCGACCGTCATGTGCATGACGTGACAAGTGCGAAGTACCTTCCCATATACCCATACGGAGTTACCCACGTAGATACCCTTACCCCGGATTTGCCCAGACAGCACCCCATCCCACCCACTTACCCCCCTGTACTCTCATTTGCAATCAATCGTATCGTTTTGGCGCTAATAAGCTGCACAACACATACCACACCCTTTTTTAATCGCACTTCATTTAAGTTTCTTAATATAGCTTCAATTTAATAATTACCTATACTAAAAAAAAGCTGCTTTCTTTTTAATTCTTTTAATATAAATTTAAGGAGGAAGAAGAAAATATTAAAGGTATAAGATATATTTAAATTAAGGTTAAAAATAACTTAAGTTAAAGTTAAATTTAAAAAGATAATAAAAAATAATAAAATTTAAGAATTACATTAAAATTATTATAAATAAGGAGTAATTATACCTAAATCTACTTAAAAACACCTCCTTTTTAAAATTTTAAATTTATCTTTAAAATTAAATATTAATATACCTTATACCTTAAGTAATTTCTCTACCCTCCTTAAATAAATATTAAAAGAATTAAAAAAAAAAGCAGCTATCTTTTAATATAGGGTATATTTAGATTAAGGGTATATTCGTTATATAGAAGGTAAAAATAGTTAAAAAACGAAGTGAGGAGGAAAAAGGGTGTGGTATGTGTTGTGCAGCTCACTAGCGCCAAAACGATACGATTGATTGCAAATGAGAGTACCTCCCGAGACCCTGACTCAAATGCGCATTGCCCAGTCGGTCGTTGTTGATTGCTGAAAAGACCCCGCAGTCCGTAATCGGAGACTTCGGTCTGGAGGTCTGGCCCCGACGAGAATAATTTCTGGGTCCTCTGGAGTCTCCCCTCTTGTGACTGTGAACAACGTGATTTCCAACAGCCCCAGGATTGAGACTCTACCGCCTGCGTCCCACCTGTTGTTCTCGTCGCCGTGCCTACTTCGCATTCTTGGATCATTCAGGTAATCAATCCCTAGCTCCCCTGCTTGTTTCCTGCGCCGTCAGTCAGCTTTGGAAGTACTCGCGTGCTCTCGGCTCACCTTCTTTTGACTCTGGACAGTCACTCCACCGCCCCTCGACAGCCTCGCCCGAAACGATCCTCACGATGCCTTCATTCCCTCCCCCGCCGTCCACTGCCCTCGACTGGGCCAACATTGGCTTCCGTATGCACGAAGGTAGGTCAATTGGTCTTCTAGCAGCTTGAGGCACCACCGGCTGACATGCTCTCCCCGTGCTGCAGTCAACGGCCACATCGAGTCCCGCTACTCCCACAAGACCGGGAAATGGACGCCCCTGCAATTCGTCACCGACCCCTTCATCCGCATGCACGGCATGGCGCCCGCCATCAACTACGGCCAGCAAGTCTATGAAGGCCTCAAGGCCTTCCGCACACCCGGCGACTCCTCCATCCAGATCTTCCGCCCCGACCGCAACGCCGCCCGCATGCAGCACAGCGCCGAGTGCGTCTCGATCCCGCCCGTCCCAGTCGACATGTTCATCGACGCCTGCAAGGCGGCTGTGGCCCTCAACGCCGAGTGGGTGCCACCGCACGACACGGGAGCTGCCATGTACGTGCGACCCCAGGTCTACGGCTCGAGCGCACAGCTCGGCCTGAGCCCGCCCGAGGAGTACACCTTCTGCGTCTACGTGCTGCCAACCGGTGTGTACCACGGCGTGCATCCTGTGCGCTGCCTCATCCTGGACGAGTTTGACCGTGCCGCGCCGAATGGCACCGGGAATGCCAAGGTCGGCGGCAACTATGCGCCCGTGTTGAGGTGGACGGACAAGGCGCGCAAAGAGGGCTTCGACATCACCCTGCACCTGGACAGTGCAACCCACTCCGAGGTGGACGAGTTCAGCACGAGCGGCTTCCTTGGCGCGCTAGTCGACGGAGACAATGTTACGATTGTGGTGCCAGATTCCAGCAACGTGATCAAGAGCGTGACCAGCGAGAGCGTTCAGCGTATCGCCCAGACCTTCGGTTGGAAGGTGGAGCAACGGTCGGTAAGTGGAACGCGAAATATCCTTGTTGGAGTGATACGGCAGGTTGACACAATGAGCAGATCAAGTACGCAGAACTGCCCAACTTCCAAGAGGTGATGGCTGCTGGAACAGCCGCCTCCCTGGTGCCCATCCGATCCATCACCCGGCGCCTAGCTTCCTCAGACCCCAAGTCCTGGGCCGCCACTGTCAAGTCACACCCCCGACTGGCCCTTGACGCTGCCAAGGGCGAAGAGACAGTCACATATATCCCCGAGGGCCAGGAGGACGCGGGCCCTTTGACCCTCAAGCTGCTCACGCAGCTCAAGGGGATCCAGGCGGGCAAGGTCGAGGACAAGCTCGGCTGGTGCGCCAAGCTCTCCGACGAGGACCGCAGGAAGGCCCTCGGCCACGAGGTGGTGACCAACGGGACGAAGGGGGAGGACCTGAGCGTCGGCCAGATGGACTAGGAACTCTTCACGATCATGGCAGCTCTCGATCCTAGAATGACTCGCCCGGATGTGCGCGGCAGGGATGGTGATGAGTGGTACTACCCTTCCTGAGAGCGATTGCGTCGACGAGGAGTAATGCCCTGTGGCGGTCTGCATCTACGTCGCTATGGATTGACATCCATGTTAAACTCCTGCGGGGAGCAGCAACCAGGCCCAGTCGCTCTCATTTCACTTTCGATCTCGCCTTGGGAATTGGAGCTGGTGGAGGTCGGGAACATTGTCGCGAAGGCGTCTAAAAGGATAGAGATAGAGCGAACCAATCTACTTCGTTGCGATGGTGCCAACACCATCATTGCGTACTTCGTCCTCGAAACACGAGAATCATAATGTGTTACGATTCGGACTATGAACACTTTATACCCACCATGGCTCCAAATTCCCTTCGCTAAGCTTCTGCGAGCCGGTCCTGTCCTGGTGTAAGAGCTGCATCCTACAAACCAAGCTGCCAATTGTAGGTGGGATCGACTCAGACCAAGCACACTTCGCAGGGGTCAAGCTCCCCCAAGCTTTTCGTCTGCCCTCGTCTCGCCTCGGCTCGTTCCTTCGCTGCAACCCGGTCGGACGTTGCATCTAGTATGCATCTGACCTGCATTTGCCCTGCATTTTCCTCTGCAGCTCGGCCATCCGTGCGCCCCAAACGTTTCAATCCATCAGCCACCCCCAAACTCCTCCACATAAGCACCAACCAATCCGGCCGCGACCCGGTGGGAAGTCTACAGGGATCACACGAGGCGACCACGTCGAGTCGTACGGAGCAGTCCGCAGCTCTCTACAATTATCAATCAGCCCGCTGTTGCATTGATCAGGGGTAGGTCTCTCGCTAAACCGGCTGGGACACGGCGGGAGCAAACCCACGGAAGACTACCTACGTATGAGGTAATCCTGACTACCTCGAGGGACGTTGGGCCTCTCCAATTCATCTACACATACACTTCTCACTCAAGCAGCCGCCATCAACTCGTCTTACACCGTCTAAGCAACTTGTTAAGCTCATTTAAAGCAATCAAATAAGCCTCACTTTCCATTATCCCAGCTGAAAGTATCTTGTTTCTTCTCATTTACAACTACTCTCCCACCTTCTCATCTCCACTAGCCCTACCTTGAGACAGCATTAACAGAGACAGCCCATACCTTCATTAAGGAGTATCACTGGGACACTTACAATAACCACTAGCATGGAATAGCAGCTTTGGCATGTCAATTAGGTGCACTTGCCTTGGCTTTAAGGTATTATATAACATTCTGAACTTGCTATTACTCGGTCGTAATCACATGTATACTGATTCATTTGATACTGATGTATGTGTGACTTGAGCCACAGCTACCTTATCTACAGACCGACACAGTAATATGTCTCTAGCCACAGGAATTTGCAAGTTCCGCCATCATTGACGGCCGGGTTCCATTTGTAGAAGTTAGACTCAGTAATGGAATACTTTTTGGCAAGATTGGCGCAGGTATCGCCACTGACGACTAGTTGGGGGGAAAAGACCAGAGTTAGCAACCCGTACCTTTCTTGGTCTCGTATGTTGTGCATTCAGAAGGACCAGGGTAAACTCACCAAGGTGGAACTTCCTGCAGTTGGAGACCATGCCGCCCTGGGTCGGCGTCGGGGTGGTCACGCCGTTGCCCTTTGTCGTGGTGGTGGCCGGGGGCGCCGTCGTCGGCGTCGCCCCGATGAGGCCGACGCAGTAGTACGTGTCAAGCCAGAGACTCTCGCAGCCGGTGCCGACGCCTGCGTTCCACTTGTAGAAGTCGGCCGTGGAGATCCCGGCCTTCTTGGCGATATCGGCGCAGAAGCCGTCGCCCTCTTTGACGAGGACAAATTTGGCACAGTTAGAAACCATGCCAGTTTGGGTGGGCTTCGGAGTGACGACACCGTTGCCCGGCGAGGTGGTGGTCGTGGTCTGTCCGCCCGTCGTCGTCGTGGCCGGTGGCTGTCCTGACGTTGTGGTCATGCCGATCAGACCTACGCAATAGTACGTATCCAGCCAGAGGTTCTGGCAGCCATCGCCCACACCCGCGTTCCATTTGTAAAAGTCAGAGGTGGTGATACCTGCTCTTTTGGCGATGTCACCACAGAAGCCGTCGCCCTCCTTGACCAAGACAAATTTGGCGCAGTTAGACACCATGCCGGACTGCGTGGGCAGCGGAGTGGCCACGCCGTTCCCGGTTGTGGTAGTAGGACGAGCTGTGCTGGTGGTTGTGGGCACACCTCCTGGTGTGGTGACTGGCGGCGACCCGTAGTTCTCCTCAACACAATAGCTGTTGTCCACGATGATGGGACACCCGTCTTCTGCCAAGGAGGGGTTCTATGATCACCGAGGCTTTGGTCAGCTGAATCGTATGAGGTAAGTCGGCGGAGGTCGGACGAAGATGCTCACCATCCTCTTCAGCTCATCTTGGGAGATGAAATTTCCATCCGCAAGCGACCTGCATGTATCTCGAGCTTGGGCAACTGCCCACCATGTGCAGTCTTCCACTGTCCCCGGCAGGGCCGTGGTTGGAGGTGGCTCTGTATAGCCTAGTACGCCTGAGGCCAAAATCACTGCCGACAGAGCGGTGACCAGGGACACCCAAGACATAGCCAGACAACAGACAGAAAAAGACAAAAGAGTGTGACTTGGAGCCTATGCAGATGACTTGAACAAACTGTGTGGGCTACTGTGTTGATGTCGAGGAGTGACGATCGATGGAATCTTTGGCCTCTGCCATCGTTGGATCATTAACATATGATATAGCCATTACTACCCCAGAGAGATTTGGCACCCCAGAGAAGGCCGTGCCAGACGAAAACGCTCACTTCATGTGGATCCATGAGTAAATCTCGTTGCCTGTAATCGACCGGGCTTGCCGGATTCAATAGTCACATTTCAATCCAGCTGTATCTTTCGGACTTGTGACCAAGACGGGCGACGAAATTCGAACGACCGGTGATGTTCTAGAAGCACCCTGATTATGTGCAGCGGACTTGTGCTCTGATGTGGGTGAAGATTTTGACGTCTAGTCGCATCTCGGCCGCACGCCGCATACTTGGCGTGTAAGCAGGCACCCATATGACATTGGCTATGAGTAGTATGATAGGTGAGAGACTAGGATGCCAAGTGTTGCGTTCTTCAAATGGGGAAGTGCAAACCAGATGAGAGACATACTCAAAAGTGGATTGGGTGGCTAACGTGAGCCGGTGCCAACATGTCTACCAATGGAGTGTAGCACATTAGAGCGAGGGCAAGTCCGAGTCCATCGCTGCGGAACCCACAAACGGAACCAACATTCGACCCTAGAAGTAAAAAAGGCTTAGCAAAAGCTTCTTGGAAAGTTAATATAAATCAAGCGCAGCTAGACAGAATCGGAAATTTGCGATGAATTTGCCTGCCTGCTGACCTACACCGCGGATAGCTAACGCGAGCCAGTGCTTACATGTTCACACATGCAGTAGTGGAAGGTAGCAGCACATTGAAGCGAGGGTCGGTCCGAGTCCATCGCCGGAAGAAGCTGCAGGATCTGTGGGATTGTTCTCATAAATATATAAGCTTGGCAGGACAGATTCGGGAACAAAAGTATGAATCTGGCGCGGCTAAACACAATCGGAAATTTGCGACTGTCTTGGCTGCCTGCTTACCTGGACCAGGTATCTTAGTTCTCGTGGAGTCGAAGGTCCAGCTTCTGGACTGTCCAGGGTTAAAGAACCAAAAACGAAATGGGAAAATACTGCTGTTCTGGGAAGGTGTGGTAGAATCGAGGTCTGGAAAGTAACCAGGGTTTGAATTTCCAAATCCTTCTAGTATCGGTAAGTTGGCTACTAACACCGCAGCCATGAAGGACATTTACAAGGGACATACGATACGCAACACTTATTGAAACTCTCCGGTTCATAGCATAGAAACGTCTGCATTTCCTACTTGATACAGGTAATTATAATGAATAAAAATACGGGTGCTAAGCTGTTGTTGAAGTGGTGTTAGTGCTGCTGTTCCAGTCGCGAGTCGGCCCGGAGCAGTACGCAGTGCTCGTCAACAGCCGGCGGGAACAACCCCCCGGGATCTTTCCCAAGCTGGGGTTCACAGTAAGAAACAGGGTGATATCGATGCTCTGCTCCACACAGACAGTAGAGCACTCCGTGAGCGGCTTTGCGGCACCAGTGACATACCACCGCCCGCACGCCCTTGTCGTCCCTGCCGCGACGGCGACGCCTCCTGGTGGTGCCACCGCAAAGTCCGCGTAGCCCGAGCCCCCGCCAGGCCCGTTCCCGCCGTTGTTGTTCCCGCCGCCACCCGTCCCGTTGTCCGGGGGCGTGTATACCCAGCCCTCGGTCTGGGACGAGAGACATAGCCGGTTCCCGAGCTGCTCGATCGAGGGGGCCAGGTTGCTGCAGCCCTGGGCGTCGACCCAGGGGTTGTAGAAGGCCACGTCGCCGATCTGGGCGTCGTTGGCGATCTCGATTCCGGAGCACGTGTCGGAGGCGGTGAACGTCGCCGACTTGGTACAGCCGTACGGCAGGCATAGCTCCGTGCCGGCAGGGATCAGGCTGCAGTTGAGCGGTCTGCCGTCGGCGCCCGTGCGGACGTGGCTGTTGGCAAAGAAGAGCGCGGCAGAGCTGAGGCCGTAAGTCGCGGCGATGGCGCTGCAGCTGCTGTCGGCTCCCGATGCGCCTGTCGTGCGGATCGTCTTGCCCGACACACAGAGAGGCTCCTCGGTGACGGGCACCTCGTACTCAGGCGGGCGGACGTCGGTGGGCCCCGTGGCGTTGGGGCACTTGGACTGGATGTAAAGGTAGTCCTGGCGGTACGTGTCGTCGTAGACGCTGTACGGCGTGGCCTGCATCATCTGGTAACGGCGCACGTTGCAATAACTACACAGCTCCGCCAGGGGCATCTTGTCGATGCTCTCGACGAGCGTGAAGCTGTCGATGACATCGTTGCAGTACGTCTCCCCGTCCTCGTCCACCTGGCACGTCTCGCGCACGCCCTCGAGCATCGTGGCGCCGGGACTGATGGGGTTCGCGGCTGAGACGTTGTAGCCCCGGCAGTCGCGACGAACGGCGCCGACCCACGAGTTGAGCGACGAGGCACAGCTCGACGCGCACAAGAGCGGCAGTAGGTACGGGTCTGAGGGTGTCCCGCGCCACGCTGGCATGCGGAAGCGTTGCACAAATCCGTGGCAGTTGATCTCGCTGCCCAGGGCCGTCTTGCAGGGCAGTGGCACTTCCAGAGATTCAAGCGTGGAGTTCGAGTAGAGGGTAAATGTGCTGGCTTCAGCGACCGAGGTGAACTTGAAGGCAAAGGTGGAATTGGCGGCGTCAACTTCCGGGGCATCGGTCATAGCCCCATCGTCTGATGCCCTTCTGAAGGCGGCATCATGATGCGGTCGTGAAAGCAGGTGCGACGTCGCCAGAACAAGCTGCGGCAGGCACAGAAGCAAAGACAGAGCCATCGTCACATAGATGCGAGGAGAATGTGACCTGAGAGTGGGTGGTCGAGAGCCAGCAGATTCGCAGCATGGCTACCCGGCACGGTCTTTCTACATTTACAGGAGGAAGAAACTTTCCCACCCATCAATCAGATCGTGGTTCTAGATCCCAGGTCGTTGTCCAAGACATGGGACAGCAGACACGGGCCGGGATACCGACAGCCAGACACGGCCAAATGCGAGAGACGAGACGGGGACGCGGGACCAGCCTTGACGATCACGGAGCATGTTCCACATGGAGTTGAAGCCCAGCTTACTCAGCTTACACATGAGTATTGGTTCATAATCTTACTGCCTAAGGGACCGTGGATCTAGACGCCTTGGCTGCTGTGTAAGAATGCCACAAAGGGAAGATAACCTAATGTTGCAATCAGATGATCCATACATGCCTACACACATCTACTTGAGTGGCGTGGACTCTTCGACTCGTACCTGCATTTTATGTCCTTTGTGGGGCACTATCTCGGACTCATGGCTTCATCTCGCATACGTGTCTTGGCCTAGCCGCTCACGTTTACTTGCTAATTCGACTTATAGCCTTTTTTTTTAACAGCTGTTCTAACGTCTAGGTGGAGTGGACCGAGATGCGGCAAAAAGAAGAAAAAAAGGGGGGGGGGGCAACTATTCGGACCTAAATCGTGGCAGATGCGTAGTTACCTTAGGTACGATAGGTGGCGGGCCCGCAGCTTTGCGCTTATGTATCCTCCATTCTTTAAATGACATTGAACTCGCAGCTATAAAGAAGGAAAGTCTAGTTGGTAGTTATCGTTCTCCAAAACGTGACGCTTGCCGGCAACCTGTCCGATGTCATGATGGCAAAAAGACAAGCAAGCAGCCCGAGGCTCGCGCCATGCTCGCTACTCTTGGTTCAGCTCATTGCCCTCACATTCTTCACCTCGCTGGTCTTGGCCCAAGACCCAACCATATGCAGTGCCTCGTCACCTTGCGCCAATGGCTGTTGCAGCAAGCATGGGCATTGTGGCTTTGGCCCTGAGTGTAAGTGTCAACCCCAAGTTGAAGCCATACCCTTCCTCCTCACTGACAGGTAGCCATGTAGTCTGCTCAGCCGGGAACTGTGTCGGCACGTGCGAGCGCAAGGCCGAGTGCGACGGTGGCAACTGGGGAGCTGAGTGGGTGGACAAGGTCAAGTGTCCGCTGAACGTGTGCTGTTCAACGAGTGGCTACTGCGGTACTACCAAGCTCTTCTGTGGCGACAAGAAGGTCGATCGGCCAGCCTCGTGCGAAAAAGGCATCAACCGCGTTGTTGGCTACTACGAGGGATGGGCGTACAAGCGACCATGCAACAACTTCATGCCGGAACAAATCCCCATCAATCTGTACTCGGTCCTCAACTACGCGTTTGCCACAATCGATCCCGTCACTTTCGCGGTCAGGGCGCCCACCAAGAAGGACGAGGACATGATGCAGCGCCTCATAGAGCGGAAGAAGTTCGACAAGGGCCTCAAGGTCTTCATCGCTATTGGCGGATGGACCTTCAATGACCCGGGCCCAACCGCCACGACCTTCTCCGATATTGCACGGTCTCCGGAGAACAGGGCAGCATTCATCAAGTCCTTGCTCGGGTTCATGATGTACTACGGCTTCGACGGCGTCGATCTTGACTGGGAATATCCGCAGGCGCCTGACCGCAGTGGACGGCCCGAGGACTTCGACAACTTTGTCGCGCTCATGAGCCAGCTCAGGTTGCAGCTCGGCCTTGTCGGGTATCAGGTGAGCATCACCTTGCCTGCGTCCTACTGGTACCTTCAGCACTTCGACATAGTTCGCCTCCAGCGGTATGTCGACTTCTTCAACATGATGACGTACGATCTGCACGGAACTTGGGACATCGGCTCCGAGCATGTCAAGCCCGAGTTGAACGCACACACGAACCTGACCGAGATCACGACGGCGCTGGACCTTCTCTGGCGCAACAAGATAAACCCTGACAAGGTAGTGCTCGGGCTCGCCTTCTATGGCCGCGCCGTGGTACCCTCGGACCCAGGCTGCACAACGCCGGGCTGTCTTTTCGCGTCTGGGGCACCACGCCTCCCGTGCTCAGGCGAGATCAGCGTAGCGCTGAACAGCGAGATTGACGACATCATCTCCAAGGAGAAGATCAAGCCGTCGCTCGACAAGGAAGCGGCAGTCAAGCTCATGACATACGGGGGCGGCAACTGGGTGAGCTTTGACGACGGCGACACCTTCAAGGTGAAGATTGACTTTGCCAAGAGCCAGTGCCTGGGAGGAGTCATGGTGTGGGCTGTCAGCCACGACACCAAGGACTCCGAGTACTCGTCGGCTCTGGGAAAGGCCCTCGGCAGGGTGCCGGCGCTTCCGTCCACGGGCGACGGCACCGAGGAGGTGACGACCAACCACCTCCAGTGCAAGTGGACCGGCTGCGGACAGTCGTGCCCGACCAACTGGTTGCCCGTCTTTCGCAGCGGGCCAGACTCGACACCTGGATCATGGGAGTACATGAAGGAAACCGAAGGCTGCCAGGGCACTGGCGGCGCCCACACATTTTGTTGCCCGCCGGGAGAGCTGCACCCGGTCTGCGGCTGGTACACGCACAACAACGGTAAATGCAAGAGTGGTTGTCCGAGCGGCTACTCGGAGGTCGGAGCCAATGGCATGCACTGCAACAACGGTGACTACCAGAGCGCGTGCTGCTCGTCCGAGGACCAGAACAGCCGCGGCGTCAAGAACCTGCTGCTCTACTCCAAATGCCACTGGGGCGACAAGCCGCGGTGTGAGGCGTCGAGCTGTGGCGATGGCCGTAGCAAGCTGCTTGGGTCCATGAATGGGCCAGGGGCAGGCGAGTGCCAGATTGGAGATAATGACTGGCAGAACATGCAGTCGGAGGAGCGCAAGTACTGCTGCGACACTGGCAACAGCAACGAGCGCTGGGGCACATGCGAGTGGTACAATCAGGGCTTCCGGCCTGCCAACGATCCAGACTACTGCGGCAGCGAGTGTCCCGGCAACATGGTCCGCGTGGCCATGGAGAAGTACGGCGGTAGCTGTCGCAGCGGTGCCAGAGCAAAGTGTTGCACTCCTGAAGCCAAGACCATCACCAAGCGCGACACAGACGAGACGGACTACTACAAGAAAATGCTCAAGACCTTCATGGAGGATCCCACATGCCCCAATGACATGTACGGGGGCCTCTTCGACCAAGATGCGCCCATCCTGCGCGAGCGCAGTGCCAGTGCCAGTGCCAGTGTCAGTGTCAGTGTCGGGGCGGCTGCCGAGACCAACGCGACGACGTCGCTTGAGCCGCGGGCATCGACGACCAAGGAGGCCCAGGCCGTCGGCTTGTGGCTGGCGAGCTACCTACTGCTGCAGATGCGTGAGTCCAACAACGTTCCAGTGCTCAATTACATGCGCCAAATGTGGAACGACGCCATCGTGCCCAGATACGAATGGGTCACCTACGACAACTTGAGCGGCTATCTCAAGGACACGGTTGAGGCCGAGTGGATGCGGGAGCACTGGAGCGACATCAAGCTGGGCAACTACATCACCTGCAACCTTGACGCCATCAACAGCCGTATCCGCAAGTGGAAGGATCCCAAGAGCTCTCGGCCCTGGGTGTGCTGGTGCTATGGCTGGGAGTGCGGGTGTGAAGGGACCCTGTGCCCTCGGTCCCTGTCCCGTGGCTCTCTCACATCACCCGACACAGCCACGTCTCCCGTCAACCACACTTCCTCGCGCCGCGCCTACGATAGGGAGTACGTCTGGGAGGCGGAAGCGCCCGACGGCACTCTCTATACTGGAGTCTTCACGGCGCAGACCTGGCCGGGCCCGGCTGCCTTTGGCGTAGACTCGTGGCAGTGGCAAAACACGTACGTTATCGACACCCTAGGCGACTGCCCTCAGACGACCATGGAACGTCTGAACCACCAGGCTATCGAAGAGTACATCTCCCTCGTAAACGGTGACGCCATTGGCCGGAAGCCGACCGAGTTCGTCAACGTCGAGCATTACGTCGAGAAGAATGCCCCGAGCGAATGGGCCGAGCGAGTGATCGAGCAGCGGCTCTACGGCGGACGCCCCTTCCCCTCTGCTGCCAGCATTCCCCCAAGATTCTTTTCCGAATTCATGAAGGATGCCCAGCTTGCCCTCTCCCAGTATCCAACCACCCCAGGCGCCAGCAACGAACCCCATCCTGAGCGCCGGTTCATGCACGCCCTGGGCACCGAGGGCTGGGTTAGAAACTTCCTCCTCCTGCAGGACGACGTCAACATCGCAAAGGCCAGCATCCTCGACGGCAAGGACCCCGTCTCCGACACCCGGATGCGCGAGTTCATGGAGGAGAACCCCCTTCACTTCATCACACGCCTGCGCCTCGCCTTTGGGGTGCTCAATTACCTCAACGAGGCCGACGCCCTCGACGCGGCCACGCGCAGCATCCAGAGCATCCGGTGGGAGCTGCGCGTGTACCAGCACATCTACAACCAGCAGCACGGCACCGAGGTCGATGCCGTCACCGCCTGGGACGACTGGTACAAGGACTACATGCAGACCCGCACCCTGGGGGCCAAGGCTTGGATCTTGCGCTGGCTCGATGCCGCCGATGTGTACTATCAGGCAAACCAGCAGAACCACCCGCACCGGGCCCTCCTGTTGCAGTGCTTGTCGGTTTTCAGGACGAGGGCGAGTGCGCTTGGCGGATATAATCTTTACTGGTACCCCACCGGGACGGCGGAACAACCGGCCTGGGCCGTGTGATAATGGCAACATGCCTGGAACGGCTTCTGTATGCCCTTGGAAGCAATATCTAGTTATCCTATAAATGATCCGTCAAGTGCCTGTGTGGATGTTTGGCCCAAGTTGTGAAAGTGGTACCTGTTGACGGCAGCCCGAGACCTACCAATTTTGGAACCTGAGAACACTCTCTTTGCAGTACGGGCATCCTTACGCGCGCATGCTAAGCAGCCTCGTCTTCCGATCATGGCTGCAGGCCTTATAGGGAATTATGACGGTACGGCTCTTATGTAGTACTGCTAAAATAGCCAATCTAGGCAGATTAGTTATCATGATCTTTTGGCTCAGAGATGGAATTTGCTAGCAGTAATTTTATATTTTCAAAAAGTGTAACCAGAGTTGTGACATTATATTTTGTATATTGTATGTTGTATAACTTATAGAAATACATAATATGTTATATATGTAGATAGAGGAGGATTGAGGCAGCCTGTGCCCAGCCCGCCACTTTCAGCCATCGCTTATTAGCGCCGCAATGGGCTAGGGCGCTCTTATCTGGAACCCTACAGTGCAGCAGATGCAGCCTTCGCTTCTGCAATGCAGTGTGAAATGGGGTGTGGATCTTATGCTGTGTCCATCACCTCTGCCCGCTGTGGGTGACTGGAGGTCCGATTGAGGCTCCCACTATGTGGCACTGGTTGTGCCCGGGTCTTCTTAGGCCAGGGCCAAGCGTCGCATTCCCGGCGTTGTTGCATGGAGCGGCCGACGCAAGCCTTGAACCCTACCAAAGGCAACCGGGTTGGTGCGGTCGAACGGCCTGGGCAGGATCTAGGCAGGCTTGTCTTTGAAAAGCCTTTCCAGGATTCTGGGCCGTGGGGGTCCAGCTGCTAGCAGGTGTCTTGGGCCCTCCCAGGGCTTTGGCCATGGTACAAACATTATTAGTAACGCCTATTCATTCCATTACAATCAAGCTTTTCACACGGCCACGGATCGTTCTTCGGTTGTGCCTGGTCCGTCAGGGGCCAAGGGGTCTTTGCAACCACAACAGCCTCTTGAGTGGGCGTCGGCCCAAGTAATCTCCTACCCCTCGCTCTCACTTTTACACCAGACGCTGATTCCGTCGACGCCAAAGGGTGTCGGAATAACAAGATGACGCGCCCCAACTAGCAGTGCCGCACTCAGCTCGGTAGGAGGGAACAACTCTGCCACCAGCTCACCGCCTGCAGCTCGTCAAACACAGGACTAGACCACGGAGGCAGGCCTAGTCTCGATGTGGTATTGCGCCTGGTAAAGGTTCACATGCACATGCCGTGCCAGGCGCCACCGGCTGCATTGCACGCCAGAGCCGTGGGATCAATCCCGAGTCAAGCCATGTCGGCCGTTAGCAGCTTTCCCATGGTCCTGTTGCCACGGCCCGATATCTCACTACCTTGTGCCCACCTGGTGGCCAATGTCAGAAGATGAGTGCACAATGCAATGCGGCCTGCTGCTCCCCACGCTGCCCGCACATCCCATCCGGATCCAGCACCAACGCCGGCCCTGTCCCCCCCTGGATTCATCCTTGCTCAGCCACATCAGCACTTTCGTAGATACGGTATGGCGGCGGGCTGCGATCAAACGAGTCGCGCAAGCGCTCTCACAATCGCGGTTCTGGATGTCCCAAATATCCCTCACTGGCCCCACTCGGCTCTATGATGATTTGAGTTCCCCTAGATAATTATCGACACCACGCCCACAACTTGGTTTTCCTTTCTCTTCAGAATAAATTTCTGTTCTGTCTGTGAATCTGGGTCATCTCCCGCCAACAGTTTTGACTTGCCCTTTGTTTGGGTCGCTGGCGCTTCAGTGCCGAGCAGTTAAGCCCTCCTGTTGATCCAGCCCCACTCGCTCACGACTTACACGAGTGAATGACAAAAAGACAAAAAATGGTCGCATCTCCGCCAATCTCACCCATGGCCTCCGGGCCGACCATCAAGATCGCAGAGGGCGCCCACCCAAACCAGCTGCGCCGCTCCGAGTCCGAGCAGCGGTTCCGGCCCCTCCAGCCGACGGACACGACGGGGCTCGCGGGCGGCATCTACAACACGCGGGAGCTCTCGCGGGTCGCCACGCACAGGAGCGCGCAGCGGGTCTCGTTCGACCGCAACTCGGAGGCGGTCGACGTCGAGGAGGGCGACAACTGGCGCGACAGCGAGCAGCCCAAGGTCAAGCAGGTCTACCGCGGCAAGACGCTGCTGTGGCTCGCGTACCAGTCCGTCGGCGCAATCTACGGTGACATCGGGACCAGTCCCCTCTATGTGTTCTCGTCGACGTTCACGTCGCCTCCGGATTATGATGCCGTCCTCCAGGTCGTGTCGCTGATCATCTGGTCGCTGACTATCATGGTCACCTTCAAATATGTACTTATCGTGCTGCGTGCCGATAATGAGGGTGAGGGCGGCACTTTCAGCTGCTATTCTCTTTTGACCAGATTTGTAAGTCGATATCATCACAGCTAGCCTGAAGGATGTGGCGTTTCTTACTGACCTGTACCAGGCCAACATAACTGCCCGTGACCCGAGAGAAGAGGCTTTGGTGCACATGGAAAGGCACCAAACCGGAAATCTACGGCCATCAAACCTCGGCGTCCGCTCGCTCCTGGAAAGGAGTCGGTTCTTCCGCGGCCTGCTCAAGACAATCGGCGTCCTAGCCGTGTCCATGGTCCTCTCCGACGGCGTGCTCACGCCAGCACAGTCCGTCCTCGGCGCAGTCCAGGGCCTCAACGTCGTCAGCCCCGACATCTCGAGCTCCACGGTCGTGGGGACCTCGTGCGGCATCATCCTCGTCCTGTTCTTCGTCCAGCCCCTGGGCCTGTCGCGCCTGGCGTCGGTCTTCGCGCCGATCGTCATCCTCTGGCTGGCCTTCAACGGCGGCTTCGGCATCTACAACCTGGTCCAGTTCGACCACAGCGTCCTCAAGGCGTTCAACCCCTACTACGCCTTCCAATTCTTCATACAGCGCAAGACTGAGGGCTGGAAGATGCTCGGCGGCGTGCTGCTCGCCTTCACCGGCGTCGAGGCCCTCTTCGCCGACCTGGGCGCCTTCTCCATGCGGGCGATCCAGCTGAGCTGGCTGTGCTGGACGTACCCTTGTCTGCTGCTGGGGTACCTTGGGCAGGCGGCGTACATCAGCCACCACCCTGACGCGTACTCGAACCCGTTCTATAACTCGGTGCCTCCGGGGATGCTGTACCCGTCTCTGGTCGTCGCCGTCCTGGCTGCTATTGTGGCTTCGCAGGCTATCATCACAGCTACGTTTCAGGTACGTGTATGCAACTATTTACTAGTGAGCACTCCGTTGACAGGTGCTCATTGTAGCTCATTGCCCAAATCATGAAACTTTCGTACTGCCCGCAGGTGAAGGTCGTGCACACCTCCAAGACTTTCCACGGACAGCTCTACGTCCCCTTTCTCAACTGGCTGCTCATGTGCGGCACCATTCTCGTCACAGCCGTCTACTCCAACACCACGCGCCTCGGCAACGCATACGGCGTCTGCGTCATGTTCGTCACATTCTTCGACACGTGCATGGTCACGCTGGTGGCCCTCATCGTCTGGCGCATCCCACCCTACCTCGTCGTCGTGCCCTGGCTGTGCTTTGCCTCAGTGGACGGGTTGTACCTATCGTCGGCCCTTAACAAGGTGCCGGATGGCGCCTGGTTCACCCTGACCATCTCAGCGATCCTTACTGGCCTGTTCATGCTGTGGCGCTTTGGCAAGGAGATGCAGTGGAAGGCCGAGGCGGAGGACCGGTTCCGCCTCAACACGCTGGTCATCAAGGACGACGAGGGCAAGCTGAAGCTGACGCAGCGCTGGGGCGGCGACCAGCTCTCCCAGATCCGCGGGCTGGGAATCTTCTTCGACAAGACGGGCGTCATGACCCCCGCCGTCTTCACGCAGTTCGCGTCCAAGTTCAACGCCGTCATGGACGTCACCGTCTCTTCTGGCACCTGCACCCGGTCGAGGCGCCCACCGTCCCGGACGCCGAGCGCTACTCCGTCTCCAAGTTCACCACCATCCCCGGCTGCTACAGGCTCGTCGTCAAGCACGGCTTCATGGACGAGGTCATGTCCCCGGACCTGGCGGCGCTCATCTACGAGAAGGTCCGCTCCTTCGTCATCCGCCAGGCCGCGCGGGGCGAGGAGATCCGCCGCGAGGACCCCTCGCTGTCGGGCGACGGCGGCTCCCAGGCCACGCAGCGCAGCGGCATCGAGAACGTCGAGGGCGTCCCCATGTCCGAGGCCGCCACCCTCGACGCCTCGGGCGCGGCCGCCACCGCCAGCACCTCAGGCGCGGAGGTCGCCCCCGCCCCGGCGCCGTCGGATGGCCCCTCGAGCAACGGCGGCCCCCGCGAGAGGCACATCTCGGAGAAGCTGCCCATCGAGCTGCGCGACGGGGCCGTCGCGGCCGAGCTGGCGCGCCTGGACCGCGCTTACGCCGCCAAGATCATGTACGTCGTCGGGAAGGGCCAGATGCGGACGAGGACGGGGACGCCGATCTTTAGGAGGTTCGTGCTGGCTACTTTCTTGTGGATCAGGGACAACACGAGAGCCAAGATTGCGAACCTGCGGTTGGCTATGGATCGTGTTGTTGAGGTTGGGTTTGTCAAGGACATTTGACCAACGAACGTGGCCCTTCGAGGCTTTTCTAGTGAAATTTGCGTGAGCCGGCGTTTGGATGGTAGGCTTGAGCGAAGTGTCTTGATATCCACCCAGTTTGAGCCAGGAGTTCCGATTCAATGATACATATTAAACTAGACAAAGTCTGCCCATCGCCCTTTTGCAGGTGCTACGTTTTGCACTCAAAGCTCCCTTCTAAGCTGGCTAAATGGGGAGAAAGTTTTCATTAATCTAGCATTTCGACGCACGGAGCCCTCGTAAAATGATCCAACAGAACTGGACGCAGCGATCTTGCAATCGCGACAAATCGTTGCTCCGCATCCATGCTGGTCGTTGTGTCGAATGATACCACTGCAGGAAAAGGAGTCAGCAAACAAAGAACTGAGGGAAAAGCTTCATCTGGATATAGGGAGGACCAGGCCACAGTATGGTCATGGCTTGTTCCAAAACATGCAGCCTAACAATACCTTTGAGGTACAGGCTACAGATAGGAAATCGATTTCCCAGAGAGGGTCAAAATTGTATCCGGAAGCTGCTTAGAACTCGAGACCGGAGCAAGTCTGACAATCCGTCCAATGCGGCTGGCTTGGTCTGGCCAGGCGGATTGTGCTCCGTAACTCTAATTCCCAGCAGACTTTTGAGATGCTGTGAATCACTATTCATGCATGGAAACGAGTGCTAGGGTGTGACCACTCGCACGATATGCTCATGTAAACTCTTCGTCACCGAAAAAATGCTCTAAAACATGTGGTTTCAAATAACAGACCACTCTCAAGGTCCCATCGCCTTGAACAGCACAACCAATGTAGGTGTGCAGGCCCGACTGTGTCCTCAGAGACTTGGCGTTGCTATTCAACTGGGCATCAGCAATCATTGTATAGATATTCCCTGGGTCCTAATCAGGTTTTAAACTTACGAGAGTGTGCTCATGGCCTTGACGTAATCAGGCATGTATTTACCTCTCTGGCGATCTTGGAAGTAATCGTTCAGGCCTTGGATGACTGCTGCGTCGCTGCTAGAGTAATGCCGAACAGGCAGGTAGATCTTGGTCACTGGGACGGTGTCTCCTAGCCTGAACTCGACATTGTAAATCATCCCAGCTGTGCGATGGGTCTTATGACCCAGAGGCTGGTCCAGGGGCCTGGCTCCAAAGAGCCCCTTCCACAATTGGTGGATGTCAACCAGGCCGGAATATAGATTCGACCTCCTGATTCGACCTCCCAGTGTCATTATGTTTATGACGGAATTGAAACTTGTGTCGCGGCAACGAAGATAGATCTTGAAACGCGACTTTGTCAGGCTGATGAGATCGGTGGCTAGCATTTCGTATTCCAGACCTATGTTGACTGGATCGGAAGCAAAGTCGCGGAAAACTGCAAAGGCCTCCAGGTCTTCGTTTGACACACCCGGGGTTGTATGGATTGCTTGCATTATGACTTCCAGGTTTGACTGGCCAAAGGCTGTTGCCCTCATTTTTGGAAAGAAGTATACCTTGGCCGTGATTTCGGCTGCTAGGTCGAATGCGTAGAAGATGGAGGATGGACGGTCCCCGTCGTCCCCTTTAGCGCCCCTCTCTGGGTTCACGTGGCCGTTGAAGAAGGAAATGAAATGTCGAAACAGTTCCAGTCCCATCTCCGGCAAGGACCGCGCAAGTTGGTCCTGGAAGGCAGGTCCGACGGCTAGGTTGTGGGGATCGAGCGAGGTGCCCGCGCGCAATCCAATCGGTTCGATGGCGTATCGTATTGTCGGCAGACTATCCCTCGTGCCCCAATCCCAGCTCAGCTCGACAGGAGTGCCATCGTCCGTCACAAAGCTTGGCCAGGGGCTTGTCCCTCCCACAACCCCGGCCTCGTGGGAGACGCCGAGATAAGGAGCCACAACCTCGGCGAAAAATTTCAAATCCCGATACTGTAGTTCTGGAGGATGTCTCGCATAGTGTAGAAGGACAGCAAGTACTTTCCCACTATGTCGACTCCACCAGAAGCGCTGGTGTATATTTGTGGGGCTCTCGAGTTCTGAGTTGACTTGATGCCAGATCGAGAGCTCAACGGGGTAGCAAGGGTGCCGTCTGACCTTTTCATCATGCGTCTGAAGCTCGTTCAATTTGGAAGCCACGGAGAATCCGTCCAAAGCAAGTTGAAGACGGTGCACCCCGACGTCGGAGCCGTTGTCTTGCAGCGCTGGAGCCATATCGATTGACTCAAAGAGTCCCCGAAGGATTATAATGAGTTTGTACAGATCATGGTGGATTCAAGTGCCTCTTGCGATTTTGGAACGTTTAATGAAGGGACGATCATTTTTTGAGAGTAATGGGCCCAAAAGATACATAGGTACGAGGGGTGCGGCTGAAGGCAGTCCACATCCAAATATCCTCCCATTAGCCATATCGGGGCTAAGGACTTTCAGTCAACACTCGGCATATTGATCGATCGTGTACCCGGTATCTCAACAGTGCTTTCTCTCAGGCAAGGGTTGTGGATTGCAAGGTGGAATTCGGCGGCGCGCGATGTAGGTAGGACTCCAAGCCTCGTGTAGACTGGAGGGTCGGCAGCATGCAAATCGGAAGCAGATCCTAAGCCCAGACCGGTCTGTTCATGTGTAACTCGCATGTTCAATCTAGGGGGGCAAGTTTCACTCCCAGGCTTCTGAGGGTGGTTACCTTTCTGCAGCTTATAGGCGCATTTGGCAGTTCAGTTCTTGCTTGTCGGTGGCAGCTAATCAGCATTCTCAGCTCCTTATCACGAAAAGCTGGGTCTTGCCTGCATGAAACCTGGAAGCTGGTGGCGAATTGATCCTCACCGGCTGCTGTGGAACAATAGTGTGGAACAATGGCCATCGGAGCAAGTTGTTGTTCGCAGATTCGGCTGTTCTCACGTTCGCATCATCAGCAGGCCACCTTCGGCCCTGCTTCTGCTCTGCCGATCTGCCTCAGGAGTCCATCTATTGACGGAGTCAAAATTCGTATAGAAATACCCTGGTGTCACTCTACCGCAACTTCGACATCACGCTGGCCAGCCCCAACAATGGCTGAACTTTTTCGGGCGGCTGGCTCAGCAGACAGACTGAGATGGATAGATTTATCCTATTGTATTGACGAAGAGGGACTGATTCTCTTTTCCCGGTGTAGTTCACACGTGAATGACTTGAAAGCGGCGTCCTTGTTGTACTCCGGACGACCACGCAAGGTATCAAGGTCGTTGCGCCACCCCAAGACTAAAGCTAGGAGATCATGCAGCATCCGTGAAAACCGTCGGCCCTTACTTGGACAGTGTCCTGAGCGGCCCCTTAATTGTATCCGGCAACCCACTCGCCTGACCGTGCATCATCTCAAACCATGGCTCAAATACCTTGACAACCCTCTCATTCACCGCCCCACTCATGCCTGGCGGCACTTCGTGGTAATAGTGAGACTCGTACGCCGTCTCGATCGCCTGCCCGGTCTTCTCACCAGCATCATCGTCCAGGAACACCTCGAATGCCGTCATGAGGCACTCTTTCTTGGTCAGACTGGAAATCTGTCAGCATCGACCTGGATCCACATCGAATCACCGGCGTCAACGTCGACGGGGCAAACCTACTGCTCGTCCAGAAACGCCTCCTGGAAGCCCGGCAAAATATCCGTGTCGTAGCCGTTGGGAAGCACGTTGTTGATAGTAATGCCCTCCAGCGCCAGCATCGGGGCCATCACCCGCGCGAACTGCAACGCCGCCGCCTTCGCGGCGCTGTACTCGGGCAGGTTGATTATCGGATAGATGGCCGCCGCGCTGCCGGTCACGATGATCTTTCCCCCCTTGGCCTGCTCGGGGTTGTGCCGCATGTAGTGCACGGCGAGCTCCGTGCCGTAGATGACGCCCTTGACGTCGATGTCCGTGCAGCTGAGGTCCGGCTCGGGCGGGATGTCGTCGATCGCGGCGCCCTTGCGGCTCAGGTTGTAGCGGGAGCCGCGGTCGATGATGCCTGCGTTAGCGATGAAGGCGTCCAGGCGGTTCCATTTGTTCCAGGCTGTCTTGAGGAGATTGGCCTGGGACTTGTACGAGGTGACGTCGCACTGGACGAATATGGCCGTCTCCCCGGTGGGGTCTAGCTGGGAGGCGATGGCCTCGCCTTCCTTTGAGCGTCTGCCTGAGACGACGACATTGTATCCTTGGGGGTGTAGGCGCTCTGCCAGGTCTTGGCCAATGCCTGACTTTTGGGATAGTCAGCGATGCAGGAACCAGCAGGATCTTACGTGCAGGTGGCTTGATCGATGAGGCTTACTGTAGATCCTGTGATGACAACCACCTTGCTTTCAGCTGGTGCCTCGGAACCCATTCTGATAGAAGATCGTATCAGGTCTGTAATTCTATGACTTGGGACTAATGAGGTCTGGATCAAAACACATGCACCAAGGAGATCTGAAAGCACAAATGCCTCTCAATCGGTAAATGTCATGCATTTAAATATGTTCTTCGCCACCACAGCCAGCATAGAGGGCATACTATCAACTGTCATGATACCTGGTCTGAATTGTCTTTGGTGGAAAACCTCATTTGTCAGCCCATAGTCTTCCCATGCATATGCATATAAAGTTTCCTCCTCTTACAAGCCGAGATCGACCCGCAGTAGCAATTGGGTTCCAAATCATCAGGACTTGTCGTGTTTCCTGTCGTCATCTCGCCACATGTGCACATGGAACTGGGCACTAGGAGACGGCTTACATATCTGCCGAGGTCGTATTCACCTGTAGTACAAGTGCTTATTATCTGCAGCATCTTATACCCTGCTTCGGCATTGCTTTGCAAGGAGTTAGCGTATGCCCACCCAGCTTCTACAATACGCCCACCCAGCTTTCAACGTTGGCCCACTTAGTACAAGGAAATTAGCTATATATACTTTAAAATATAAATACACCTTAAGAGTTAGCTTTCCAAAATTATAGCTACCCTGCTATTTATATAAAGTAAACATTTTAAGTATTTCACTTTAAATATATACTTATTATATATTAATTAATACTTTTTTAAATTATTTCTTTATACTTATTAAAGCTAATTATTAAATTAAATTACTTAAAATTATTAATAAAAGTATTATTAAGATAATAAACCATTTAATTTATATAAGGTATAAAAGTAAATAAGCTTTATTGCTAATATTACTAATAATTATTAAATAAGTAGAAATCTTACTTAGCATTAATAAGTAAATGCTAATAAGCTAAGTTATATAATATCCTTCTTAATTAAGAAAAGGCAATAAAAATCCATTTATAAAGTAATAAAATTCTTTCCTTAAGAATATTTAAATCCTTAACCTCCTACCTTTTTTTTATTTCTTTTCTCTTTCTTATATTTTTTACTCTTTATTTTAATTTTATAAATATATAAATTAAGTTATATTAATTAATGCTAATTACTTAAAAATTAAGAAAGTATAAAATAATAATATAGGCCCTAAAAAAGCAAAAACTATAGCTATAAAGCTTAAAGGTTAAAAAATAATATTATGCTTAAGCTATTACTTAAAAAACACTATATTTAATAAGCTAGCTAAGGATTTTAATATAAAACTATTAATACCTTTAAGCTAAAGCCATATAAATACTAAAATTAATAATTATAATAATAATATAAGCTATAATAATAATATAAGCTATAGCTAAAGTAGCATTATAGCTTTTAATTTACTTAATAAATAGCTTTAAGGAAAGGGTAAGTTAATTACTTAACTACCCTTTAAGGTTAATAAATTTAAGCCCATACCCTTTTTAAAAGCTCTTAAGAAACTAGCTAAAATATTAAAATCTAAGAAACTAGCTTAATTAATTAACGCTTTAAATAGCAAACTAGTTAAAAGCAATAGCATTTTATAATTTAAAGCATTTTATAATAATAATAACCTTTTTATTATTATAGCTTTGCTAAGCTTATTTAAATACCTTAAGATTCTTATTAAGGAAATAAAGGTTAATTTTATTAAGAAAAAGGTTTAATTAATAAAGTATAACCTACCTTTAAATTATAGCTTTCTACTTATTTATAAGATTAAGAATAAAAATAATAAAGTAATTTACTTAACTTAATAAGATTTTAAGGATAATGCTATAAAATTTACTAAACTTAAGCCTTAAATACCCTTAAATATAAATATTATATAAAATTAAAAATAAGTTAAAAAGCAATATTATTAAGTTATGCTTTTTTATCCTTTAATAATTATTAAAGTAAATATTATAAAATTTAGTAAAATTCTTAGCCTTAAGATTATAAAGTATATTTATAAATATTAAATAATAATAAGTAAAGCAAAGTAAAAATAATGCTTAGCTAATTTAGTTTCTAAGTTAGCATTAATTAATATAAATTTAGGATTATTAAATAAAATAACTCTAGGTTTTTCTTATTAATACTTATTATTATTTATTTAACCTTATATTAAATAATTAATATTAATTAATGCAACTTTTATTATAATAATTTATATTAATTAATGCTAACTTTTATTTTAACTTTCCCTTTTTTCCTTAAAAATTTATATAAATTATTATGCTTATATACTTATATTAATTAATGCTAACTTATTAGCCTTTTTTAATATTTATTATATAAGCTAATAATATTATAGCATTTACCTTTTTTAATATTATTACTTAAGCTAAGAAATTAAGCTTTTAGGATTACTTATTTATTTAGCTTAATATTAATAAGTAATTTAATAAGCTTATAAGGAGTTTTAATTAATTATAGTAATATATTATCTTTTAGCTTATTATTAATAATTCCTTATAGCTTACCTTAATTATTTAAAATAATAACCTAAGCATAATATCTTAGCTAAAAAGTATTAATATTAATATAATCGTTAACTTTATAGTTTTATAATACTTTATATATTGCCTTATTAATATTAAACTAAGCATTATTAAAATTAGGTAATATAAGCAATATAAATTTAGTAAGAAGTACTTATATAAATTCTTATATAATAATTTATTTTATAAAATTATTTATTATAATAATTATGCTATGTAGTAATTTATATTTATTAAGATAAGAAAGAAAAAAGTAAGTAATTTGCTTTTATTAAAAATCCTATTTAATAAAAAGATAGTTATTTATAAGTTTACTTATATTAAGGCTTAGCATTATAATAAATATCTTATTAATAATATAAATAATATAATAAAAATTATTCTTATTAATAAGGCTTAAAAGATAATTATAATTATAATAATATAAGTACATATCTTATAAAAGCAATATATAAAAGTTAAAGTAAAGTTATATTTAAAGAAGAGTTTTGCTAGAAATAAAATTAAAAATAAGCAAGTTAATATAAATTAAGTTTTTATAAATCTATATAAGTATATAGGCTTCCTTGCTTATATTAATATATATAATATTCTTAGCTAAGAATTTAGTGCTGGTTATAAAATAGCTTGCTATAAAAATATTATAAATATTATAAATTACTTTTTTTTTATTAATTATTAAATTATTATAGCTTTTATTAAAGAGATTTATATAAAAGGTTTGCTTATATAATTAAGGATTACTTTTATTTAAGGTAAAAATATTCTTAAAAAGTTTAAGGTAATGCTTTTAAGTTATAATAGCATTTAATAATATATAATTATAAAAGAACGAAAGGGTAAGGTATTATAATAAATAATTAATAAGGGCATCTTGCTTATAAATAGCTAAGTAAATAAATAATATTATAAGGATCTTAAGTAATGCTATGCCTTACTTATACTTATATTAAGTTAATTCCTTATAGCCATTAACTTTATTAAAGCCTTAAAATTTTTAAAATAATATAAGTTAAATGCTAAAGGTAATGCAAAATATATTAATTTATATATTAATTAATATAATAATGTTAATAGCAGCTTAATTAACTTATATAATATTAATCTTATAGCGGCCTAGGTTATTAGTAAGTTAAATGGGTTAAGTTAGTATTAATTAATATAAAGCTGCGCTCTTATTTTGCATTAATTAATATTAACTTAGCTTATAAGCCCTTTATTTATATATTAGCTAATAAGGGTTTTATAAATATTATTATTATATATTAAATAATAAATAGCCTATTAAAAAGTATTTTCCTTGCTAATAAGGTAGGCATAAGTAAGATATTAATTATGCTTTTAAAGTGGTATTTTTGCTTTTTAAAGCGTAAGGCTAAGCTTAAAGTAGCTAGCTTATTTATATTTAATAATGCTATTAAAGAAGGCTTTAATAAAACGTAACTTATTATAATATAAGTATTTATTAATATTATTAAGCAATACTTTAATAAAATTTATAAATACTTTTTAGCTAATACTTTTAATATAAAAGTTTTTTATAAATTAAAAAGTAATACTAGCTATAAGCCCGCTTTATAAGTAATTATAATAATAATTAAGGAGCTTTTTATTTAAATAAAAGTAATTATAAAGCATAGCAATTTATCTTAAGTATATGTTTTCCCATAAGTTAGCACTAATTAATGCCAACTTATAGCCCATTTTTATATTAATTAATGCTAACTTATATATATATAATTAATTAACTATATAAAATATAATAAAGATTTAAATATTCTTATATTTTATAACTATCTTTTATTTAATAGAAAAAACTTTTGCTATTATATTTATTATAAATATAAGCAATTAATTATATTAATAGGGTTTATAAAAGTATAATATATATAATGATATACTTATAATAAATAAAAAGTAAATTAATATTCTTTGCTTAGCAATTATTAATACTTACCTTAAGAACTAAGCTATAAGAAAGGCTATAATAAAGAAGTATTTAACTTTAAAGAATATAAAAGGTTTTAATAATGCTACTTATAATAATAAGGAAAATAACTTAAACTATATTTTTAGCATTATAATTAAGACTAAAGCTATAAGCTATAAGGGGTTTAATGCTAATATTAATATTAATAATAAGCTTAATAAGCTTAATAAAGATAATAAAAATAGTAAATTAGCTAAATTTATCCTTAAAAGCATTTAAGCAAAGTTATTAACTAATTATATTATAAGTAATTAATTAATATAATACTTAAATAAAAAGATAAGCATAATAAAAAACATAATAATTTAATATATTAAATGCTATAAAATAGCTTCTTATTCTTATTAATTTTATTAAGGCTATATAATTTATAATAAAGCTTATCTTCTTTATAAGGCTAATATATTATAATTTCATAAGCTTTAATTAAATATTAAGCTATTATATTAAGGCCTTAAGCTTAAGTAAAACTTAATAAGCCTTATATTAATTTTTATAATATTGGTTATTAATAATATTAGTAATTATTATAATTTAAGCAGCTTATTTTAGGAAAATATAGCGCTTTTTATAAGTTTTAGCAATAATATATTTAATAAGATAAACTTTAAGATAAGATACCTTAAGTACTTAAATAACTTAAGCATATTTAATAAGCAAAAAGAAGCATTAATAAAGGTAGCTATTATTAAAGGCTAAAAGTAATAATGCTTATTACTTATTAAATAATAATATAACATTATAATAAA